GTCGGACAAACCTGACAAACAGTTGCGTCGGGCTGACCATCCAAATCTGCATTCCCTGTCCCTTGGGGTTATAATTGACGAGCGGTCCTGGCCCCTGGGGATACACCCAAAGGGATATTGTGATGGAATTCACTGTGTCTAGTGCGCCGTTGTTTGGAAGGTGTATGTAACTGTTCGGGCGGCCGAAAAACTGATACGAACTTCTTTTCTTTCCGTCGGGGCCCGGAGCCGGACGAACGCTACCGAGGATGGCCCGAGGGTTTTTGCGAGCGCTCAGGTCCCGTCCTTTAGTGGCGGCACTCAATGGGTAGACGGCGACAGGATTATAGGATGCTGCAAGTAGATGGACAAATATTTGACAATACACTTTAGAGTTAAAATCTCTCTTTTGGCATAGAAATATGTTAAAACTGTTACTCACGTCTGGGAGCAGTGGGCCGTGTTGGTCTGAGGGTTGGTCGTGGCCGTACTGGAGCTGGAGCTGGCGAATAACAAAAATGTTATTTGGCTATTATCAAGATATTGCGCAGGATTTCTTTGAAACCTAATATTAACATACAATACAACATATCCGACAAAGCAAGGTCTCCCATAAGGATTGCACAGATCCCTTGCCATTTTATAAGATAGTAAAAAAGCTGAAGACATATGTGGCAATATGGTGCTTGCAAATACGATTTAGACAATTGGTTGTGAGATAACCGTGTCTTATTTAATCGGATTTTTCCTTTGACAGCATTAAGGGTGCGAAAACCCAATGCAGTGTGTCAAGTGGTAAGAGGGTACAGATAACATTATATGCGAGGTTATTTCGTTGAACAAATTATTTAGCCTACAGTCACGCGCTTCATTTCAGAAAGTAAATATGCCAAATGAAGTGTTTTAAACAGATATCTTTCCCGAAAGATCATTTTCAGCCACATCATAGTCGCGCTGCACATTTTGAATTATGTTTCTTCAAATAGAAGTGAAGCAAACAAAAACAAAATTGTCAGCTGGATAAATGATCAAAGATAACTATCTTAGAAGGCTTTATAACTCACCCGCCTTGAAACATTTCTTAGCGGCACGTCGCACTTGCGCTGCAGTTAGCGCCACTGAATAGACTTGCAGACAAGTAACACGTCCCTTAAAGTAGCGTCTGTCTCCAGACCTAGCTCCCATGCGTACTGGATAGTTAGTGGCAAGTCGTATTCGACCGATAAATCTTTTTGCAATCTTTTTTCCATTTTTCCACAGCGCTGCTGTGCCCGTATTTCTGTTGTAACTTGCTCCGACAAATTGCCATTTTCTCAGCTGTATGGATCTGCTCCTCACAGGCGCTGTAAATTTTCTTCCCTTTCGACGCATAAAGCTGGCATACAACGTTCTCGGAGTTTTTAGCCAGAAATGGACTCCACGGGCGCTTGGATGGTAGTTAAATAAGGGCCCTGCGGTACCTTCAGGATAAATCCATGCCAACACCGTCATGGAGTATGACGTATCGAGTGCACCTCCGCGTCTGTTAGGAAACTGAACGTAACTAGACCGTTTGCCGAGAAGTTGGATGGACCCGCCTGGTCGGCCGAGAGGACCCGGAGCCGCACGAACATGATTGAGCCTTCCTGTAGGGCTCCTGTTTCTAAGGTCCCTTCCTCTGGCACCTTTGTTCAGTGGGAAGAACGCCACTGGTCTGGGAAGATCTGAAAATCGACGTAATTAGATTATCAATATTTACTCAATTTCTTTCTTAAATTTTTTTCATAAAATTTATAAGCTGAGAAAAATGTAAACCTATGTTAGATTATCTAGGTGTATTCAGGTAAGCAGTAAAAGTATTTGATACTTACAAACTGGCCGTCCAGTTGATGGGCGTGGTCGAAGAGGACCTTTACCTATACATTTGAGAATCAACAGACGAGATCAGCTCACTCTAAACATCTGTTAACATTTTCATTTTAACACTGATTGATTGACATTGAGGGGTGTGATACCCAATGACAAAAGCATTGCAATGATACGCTTCTCAACCAGCTCACCAGCAACTGCTTTCACTTCCAGCCGCGTTTCTCACGAGAAATAATCCATTTATTAAGAAATGAACTATCATTTGCTGATTTTTATGACGCTAAAATTTCTGAATAGGTGATTGGTTTACAATGTAACTTACCTCGATATGTTTTACGCTAGAACTCATTGTTAGCACTTGTCACTTACGTTGTTTGAAGCAAGTCCTCTGTCTTCCTCTTATCTCCCTTTGGGTCAGCGCGTAGTTAAACACTTGGAAGCAAGAGATTCTTCCAGAATATCGGCGCTTATCTCCAATCTTTTCTCCCATTCTAATTGGATAATTGGTGGCTAGCCGAATCCTTCCGATGTACTTCCGTGCCACTTGATAGTTGTTGATCCACAATCTCGCCGTTCCTGTTTTCCCGTCGTAGCTACAACCGACAAATTGCCAACGATTCAATCGGATCCGTTTGCTTCGTAAAGCAACAGTGTAGCGCCGCCTTCGTCTACCGCGTTTTCCACGCCGCGTAAAGCGCGCCATCAAAGTTCTTGGCGTTTCGAGCCAGAAATGTACACCCCATCCGTTTGGATGATAGTTTGCAATGGGTCCAGGTTTTCCTTGGGGGTAAATCCACGCTAGTAAAGTGATAGAGTCCTTTGTATCCAAAGGACCTCTATTGGGGAACTCAATAAAACTGTTGCGTCTTCCTGTGAAGCGATACGCTGTCCCGCGTTGACCGTCAGGACCAGGTGCAGGATAAACGCCCCGCAACCTCGCGGGTCGATTGGGTTTATGGCTTATGTCCCGCCCATGATCTTGAGCAGTCAGCGGGTAAACTGCAACCACTTTGTGACAAGCTATAGGTGGGATAAAAAATCATGTTGGTCGCTTTTTTTACATTTGTAAAAATGATAGAAGTCTTTGAGTTCTCAGTTATTGTTTACCAGCTCAAGTTGCCAGAGATGCAATTTGTTTACTTACGTTTCGGCTTCGGTTTATAAGGAGGTTTCACGGTTGGTTGAATAGACGGCTGAACACCTGTCAAAAAATTGTTTGTTTGAAAGGCAGAAAACATCAGAGAATGATAGACAAAAAGTAACATGAAAAACGAATATTTGCGCCCAACGTGGGGCTCGAACCCACGACCCTGAGATTAAGAGTCTCATGCTCTACCGACTGAGCTAGCCGGGCATATGCGGCAATATCGTGTAACTGGAGCTTAATCATTTGGTATAATATTCAGCTTCTCTTGTTTGTCTCCTTAATATTGCATCTCGCGGGAATTTTGAAAACAGCTTTTTAGGGTAACATCAACAACTTTTATATAAGAGGCTCAGTGCTCCAAGTAGACTAATAATTATGTAATCCTAACTTTGGGCTGATGAAATGTTAAATGAAAGTCTAAACTAGTCGAGTCGCGGTGACAAAATCACAAGCGTAATCGATGAATGGAGTTTTAAGTATACTATTTCACCGGCGTGGTAACCTACCAGGTGCTCTGAGACATTTCGTCCCCATCTTCTTAACCTGGTGACTTGTAAGAGCTTTGTCGAAAAACTGTAAACACGACACTCGACCACGGAAGGCGTGCTTGTCGCCTGGCCTCGCTCCCAGGTACACATCGTGATTGGTTGATAGATCAAAATAACCAATCTTTTTACGCACGACTGGCTTACTGTTCACAAACAGTGTAGCTATACCAGTAGCCTTGTCGTAGGACATTCCAAAGTGATTCCATTTCCAAGGTAATACGCTATCAACGCTTGCCAAATATGGTTTGGTATCACGTGACTGCCTGGTCACAAACTCTGCAAACACCATGTTTCTCCTCATCATCCACAGTCTTACGGCTGATCCTTTGTCGGCGAACTGAACAATGGGGCCCATACGGTTTTTGGGTAGTGCCCATATAAGGACCGTTATAGCCTTCATGGTGTCCATTCTTCCCTTGTTAGGGATCTTGACAAAGCTGTTGGGTTTACCAGTGAACTGGTACGCGCCGCCGGGTCGTTTGTCAGGTCCGCGTGCAAGCCGCACCCCACTCAGTATTGCAGGAGGATTCCGACCCAGCTTTTCCATTCCTCGGTACCGCTTGTTAAGTGGGTAAACGACAACTGGTTTGGGGGTAACTATGATAAAATGTTAAAATATAGCGCTTATTTATATGTGGTCATTACAAAAGTACGGTTCTAGAGAAATACATGACAAAACACAATTCTCAGTCTGCTTTTAATCTTCTCCAATGTTCAAAGTTTCGTTGTATCATTTCGAAATGCCTATGCCTTGAATTGCTTGTAAGTAATCTAATAGATCATTATATTAGTATCAGGATATAATTTCTGCTAAAAAGAAATGCAACGCCCAACGTGGGGCTCGAACCCACGACCCTGAGATTAAGAGTCTCATGCTCTACCGACTGAGCTAGCCGGGCTCAGCTAGATGTACTATGGCGTTAATGACATAGGTAGGATGCTTCCTCCATATAGGCTTCGCGACAGAGATTTTGATATGAGTTCTGAGCTGCTTCAGTTATTCCTTCATGTTTGTTAAATCAGGATAAGTAATCCTTTGTACTTACATGCTGGTGCCTGAGTTGGTGGCGGTGGGGGTGGAGTGGTACGGGGAACAGACGGGCGTCCTAAATAAACAGTTATCAATGGTCAACGTTGCTAAACGTAAAAGTATAAAGCCTCAAGTGTGAAGCATTTATCTCTATATTTATTTTATCAGCAAGAACTATATGAAATTCGCGCGATTATCAAGTTCAATTACAGTTTGGGCCGCGCCCTTTTGAATAGGAAGAAAGTGATGGCTTCTCTGATCTTTAAATGTTTCTCCAGGAATGTTATAATATATCTGCTTATGCTAACAATAATTTAATTGACTAAAGTAAGATTTTATCCGATTTCTTTGCTAGAATAATTATGGGAAAACTGCTCTCACATGGTTATATCCGCTTAAGTTTAATGCAAGTCGACTTATTCACCAAAAGGTGAAGTTTAATATGTTTCCTCTCTTACTGAAAAATTTCTCAGCACTAAATATGAAATACCTAGAACACATAAACCAATTCCATTTTTGAGATACTCACGTCTCATACATCTTTTCATGGCTCTCCGTATCTGCTTTTTCTGTAAAGCAACTCGATAGAGCTGCACACAAGCTACGGCGCCTTTAAAGTAACGCTTATCGCCGTTCTTCACTCCGATCCTTATCGGTCCAATTGTCGACAAACGAATGCTGTTGATTTTACGCGAAGCGACCTTTTTACCATTCACCCAAAGTGTAGCATAAGTTCCATCGTAAGTTGTACCGACGAAATTCCAAACGCCTCGCGTCAGCACTGCCTTAGTAACGGCCGGAGTGGGGGCACCTCCTATCTTCACATATCGAACAAAGAGCGTTTTGGGGTCTGTCTGCCACAGGTGTGTCTCCCAGGCGGGTCCCCTGCCGTAGTTGATAATTGGTCCTGCTGTCCCTGTAGGTTTCACCCAAGCAAACATGGAGATGGAATTGGTCGTGCGCAGTTTTCCATTATTGGGAATTTCAATGTAGCTGTTTGGGAGGCCACGCAGTTTAACGGCAGATTTTGGGCGGCCATCGGGACCACTGGTCAAAGCGACGTTGCTGAACAAAGCTTTAGGTGCTTTATTGGGGCTTCTGTCTCGGCCTCTACTGATTGGATCAAACGGATAGAGCCCCATGAGCATCGGCTGAGCTGTAGAATAAGGACAAAAAACATACCATGAAGCGCTTTTGTACAAAATAAGAGGATGAAGCCGTACTGAAAGCAAATGACAAAATAATAAACGAAAGAAACCACATGTATGAACAACAGACATTAGGAACTGTTCATTTGGTTCGTTTACATCATCGTTGCTAGGCCTCAAGCTAATAAATGATCTCGTACTTATCTCAGATCCCACCGTGTAAGTGAATCAACTCATCAATGAGTCATCATCAACTCTTTAACCTTAGCCTTCTTTACTAGGCGCAAAATGTTTGTGGTCGACTCTTTGCAGTCCTTCGGTATCACCCCTAAGACTTACAACCATGTATTGCAACAACTCACCTGGCTTCGGCTTGGGCCTTTTAGGATTTGGTTCTTGGAAGAGAAAATACAGAGAAAACACAAGTTCAGTATCAGATAATTTAGGTTGTAAAATGTAAGAAAACTAATTCACTGATCTTTCTGTCTGTCTTTTTATCTTTCTTTAAGTGCATTTGTCTGTAAGTTTGTAGGTACGTTTTTCAGTTAGTCTGTTTTCCTTTCCCTTCCTGTTCATCTGTCTTTCTCTGTTTGACTTAAATTCTTATATAAAAAGAGTAAGCAAGCAGCTCTTACTTCGTCTGAAACATTTCCTTTTCTGTGCTCGAATCTGTGGTCCAATCAAAGCTTTCTTGAAGATTTGCAAACACGAAATGCTTCCTCTCAATACGCGGCGATCCCCTGGTTTTCGCCCCATAATAGCAGGGTAGTTAGTGGCGAGTTTGTAAATTCCAACACGGCGCTAAATGGCGAACAAATGATATTGTTAATGACTGATACTCTGCTTTGTTCATTAACCTATTGCGTCTGTTACTCTTCATGAGAAAGGGTACTGGAAAGAAGGTTAAAAGTCAGCCGAAGATAACAACACAAACAAACTAAAACGTAAGACTGCGACTATCAGCAAAAAAAAGCAAAGAAATTAGGTTTAGTTGGAAATTAAACTCTGTGTGCGAGACTTTTTTCTGCATGCTGTTGTCATCACCAATGTGAACATATCGCTTTCCTTAATTACTGACAATGGGTCCAAATGTGTTAAGTTGGTAAAAACAGTCTATTGTTATGTCTGTAATACCTGAGCATCAATGAAGCCATTTCTCCAAATGGTTCCAACTCCCTTCTTTTTATCGTAAGTAACAGCCAGATAATACCATCGTCCCATTTTGATTTTCCTACTTCTTAGTGCTGGAACAGTTTTGCCGTTACGCGTGGAGAATCGGACGAAAAACTTTCGATTACCAGGTCGTCCTACAACCCAGACATGTACTCCACCCCAGGATTGGGGCTTATAATGGAAGATTGGTCCAGCGCTTTTGGGCTTCACCCATACAGTGATCGTTATTTCGTCCGTTGTGTCCAGTTTTCCGTAGTTCGGAAACACCACATAGCTATCTCGACTACCTCTCAACTTAATGGCACCTGAAGGGAGACCATCGGGTCCGTTGTCTGGCCGCACATTACGGAGTTTTGCTCGTGGGTTCTTATTTGGAGAGATATCCCGTCCACTGAGTACACCACTGAGTGGGAATGTAGCCACAGGCGTCGGGGTACCTGAAATCATCATAGGTACATTAACGCATCTAAGTATCGCTGAACAACGAAGAGTGATATATGCAACAATGACATTCACTTCTTACCTGTAGAAGGTTTTCCTGGAATTATTCCGGCTGCAAATGAGAAACAAATGATACAAAATGACTTAAACAGTATTGTAAGATCAATCCGTGCAAGTAAGTTTGTTGCACTCAGTTTTTCCTTTGCCTCTTTCTTATTCCTACTGTAATTTTGCTAAGTTACTGGAACTGATTTCTGAGTTGAATGTCTCTGAACATTATTTCGATGCTATACAAAATAAAAAGGTAAAATAAAGGCATACGATTAATGTAATTACACTCATTAAATTTTATTGAGGAAAACAATTTGAAAAACACGAGACTACAGACTGGCCATGGATTTATCATACAAGTTAACCCGCAGGTAATCTGGCTTACATTTTCAATTAATTTCTGTTTCACCTATCATACCTCCTTTGAAGCACCTTTTTCTCACTGCAATGATCTCGCGCCTGGTCAGAGCTCTGCTGTACACCTGTATACACGACAAGCGACCGCGGAAGAATCGTTTTCCACGCCTGGTTGAGCCCGCGCGGGCTGGTTTGTTAGTAAGAAGCTGAACTCGACCAATAATCCTACGTAAGACTGGCCTGGCATTAACGTACAATGTGACAATACCAGAAAGGAAATCGTACGAGAATCCTACGTAAGTCCAAGTCCTGGGCTTAAAGAACCTCTTTCGAGTCACGACAGGAATTTTCTTTCGTCTGTTTCGGCTGACAATGAGCGCTTCAATTCGATCCAAGCCAATGATTTTTAACCCAACCCCCACTCCCCGTGGATCGTATTGGAACACCGGCCCTCCCCTTCCTTCATTGTACACCCATGCTATGCAAGTGATTGAACGTCTGGTGTCCAGTCTTCCATTATTTGGGAACTCTATGTAACTGTTAGGACTGCCAGAGAATCGCAATGCAGTGTCCGGTTTGCCGTCAGGGCCTGGAGCGATATTTACACTCGAAAGCTTTCCTGGAAGATTCTTGGTAGGGCTGAGGTCACGTGCACCAGAAGTAGCGTCCAGTGGGTACACGGCCACCAAGTTACGGATAGCTGTTTGAACAGAGGACAAAAATATCTTACACATTTTCTTAAAGAAACGTTTTTTAAGACTCTTACAACTGTTATGATGATGTAGAAAAAAAAAGAAAAAAAGAAGGAAACGAGACTTACCCGGTGTAGGTTTGGTAACAGGTAAAATTGGCTTTGTGGGTTTGATTTTACCTGAAACAGAAAATACACTCGATAAGAACTTGTCTAAAATGAACATTTACACTAACGTTGTTTCAAATAATTTTGTTTTAATTCAAACATTTTAAGCATTTTCTTTACAAAGGAACTCTCTTCAAGACCATAATGAGGCGCTAGAAGTAATAATACTTGCAGTAAAACCGACTGCACCGGAAAAGAGAGACACTCTATTGCTCTTAAAATGTTGACTGGCGACTCATTCAGACTGATTAGAGATACGATTTTCGAAAAAACAGTGCAGAGAGCGAGAAAATAACTATATTTTCCTTGAACAAAATTTAAATTCAGATTAAATAGGTCTGCGACAAACCTGGTCTGAAGCAGCTCTTTCTCGCGGCTCGGATTTGCCGGCTTGTCAGGGCTTCATTGTAAACTTGAACACAAGTTATTTTCCCCCGGAAGAAGCGACGATCTCCCTTTCGTGCACCCATTCTAACGGGATAATTGGTGGCAAGCTTTATTCTGCCGAGATTTCTTTCAGCTGAGATTTTGGAATCCACGAACAAACGTGCGTACCCAGTGTTCTTATCGTATGAAGCTGCAAGCCAGTTCCAAGTGCCCGGTTTCACTCTGTTCGTAGCCACAGGCCGTGTAAACTTCTTGGACCTTTTCACAAAGCGTGCGAAGAGAACATTCTTTCGAACCATCCAGAAATGCACTCCAAATCCTTTGGGATTAAAATTGAAGATCGGTCCAGCGCTCTCCGGGTTTACATATGCAAGAATGGTTATAGAATCCTTTGCATCCAATCGTCCGTTGTTCGGAAACTCGATGAAGCTATCGGGACGGCCTCGGAACTTATACGCACTACCACGCTGGCCGTCAGGACCTCGGGCTGGTAAGGCACCCACGATTTTTCCCGGACGGTTTTTCGTTGGGCTTATATCACGGGCACCATATTTAGACTTCAAGGGGAAGAATGCCATTGCAGGAGGTAGAGCTGGTAACATGCAACAACAACAGGATCATTTTCAGAGTACAAAAACTTTAAAACAAGAAGATAAAAGGCTTAACAGTCTGAAATGCGGACGGAGTGCAGGAGGTTGGAACGCTACTAAATTGGTCATACCGTGTTTATACCAAGATAAAAATCTTCCCTTGCCAGATGAAGACATTATGTTTGGATTAAATTTTATAAAATCTAGACTTCAAAATAGATCAGTTCAAATAAGAACTCCTGGGTGGTATCTGTCGATTGCTCTCCTACCTGGAACAGGGGCTGTTGGTGGTCTGGTGGGAGTCGGTTGCCCTGGAAACAGAATAAAAAACATTAACCCGCGATATGTATGGTATAAAACAACCAAATGCATTTCTGTGGCTAACGCTGCGCAAAAATCAAAGTAATCTCTGGTATTCGAGTATGGAATACGTGATCGTGGTGCATTAGAATCCTAGGGTATTCGAGTCGCGCACAATACCCCGCGCACACCTGGAGTAATCGTGTTGACTATGCTCGAATACTTCGCTGGTATATTTTTAAAAGTACACTACGCGTGTCTCGTACTCCTAAAATATTCTGGAGTATTGCAGCACACCGTATCTTCAAAAGCTATTGTACCAAAAAAATGTGTCTGGTTACTTTATATTCTATAACTTAGCCCACATATCTTCATTCCCATCCTACTTTGATGAAGAACTTAAGAATTTGAATTAAAGCGTGTGTCCTCAGTCTTCACTGTTAAGACTGACAGAGATAAAATATTTTTTGATTTAGCGTAATGGCAAGTAATTATGTTCATGGCCTTTCTCAAATCCAAGACTATGAGGGTGGGTGAGCTGAAAATAATGGTTTAATTGCAGCTTGGAATGAGCAGCATCAGGACAAAATGTCAGGTTGATTGTTGTTCAATATTCAATTGGTTTAAGTGTATATCTTACGTCGAGGTTGGTGATTAGTACCTGGTTTAAAGCAAACATTCTGTACATTCTTTATCTGGGGCCCAGTCAAAGCATCGCTGTAAACTTGAAGACACGTGATACTGCCACTGAATGGTCGCCGACCACGGGTCAACCCTCCAAGCCTAAGAGGTTTCTTTGTAGCAAGCCTGATCCAGCCGAGCTTCTGAAAAGCAATGGGTCGAGAGTTCCGCCAAATAGTTCCCATTCCCGTTCGCTGGTCATAGGTAATGGCTAAGTAACTCCATTGTCGCAAGGTAACTCCCCGCCGTCTTGTTTTTACAGTTTTGGTTGGTCGACCGTTACGGCGGACAAAACGAGCGTACAAAATATCCGGCGATCGAATGCCGAAAGTCACCCCTCTCGGTCTGAACTCAATTATTTTCCCTGGCGCGTCCGGTTTGACCCAAGCAGTCACTGTTATGGAATTCTTGGTGTCCAGTTTCCCACTGTTCGGAAACTCCACATAGCCGGTCTTAAATTTCGGGAATTTGATGGCTCCACCAGGCTGACCATTAGGTCCACGAGCGGGTCGAACACCATATATTAGTCCTGGGCTGTTCCTCAGGGGACCAATGTCTTTTCCTCGAGTCTTTTGGTTCAGTGGGAAAATAGCGACAGCCTTCGGTGGTTCTGTTGATACAGAAATTTAATAAATTCGAAATGGGGTTAAACGTGAACTCTGGAATCATGTTAATTGCTCATGTACTTACTTGGTTTCTTAGTGGGTTTTTTCGGTCCCTGTTCACTACCTCCTGCCTCTGCGGGGGAAAACAAGAGAGTCATAAAAATCTGACTCTATTCATCTTACTAAAAGTAATGTGCGTTTTTATGGTGATGATTAGAATCCAACATGTATTTATGAAACGACAGTCGTTTGGTAACACTCTTTGTTGCTAATATTAGGAGACTCACTTTTAGTTCGCATTGTACTTACTTCTTCCACTAATTTACCAATGACAAATGTTACGTCACGTCATTGGGCTACAGGTTTGCCCATTTTTGATAGACTGTCTGCTGACACTCCTTAATTTCTCCTTCAAAATTGCCTCTGAAATCAGGAAAGGCTTACCAACCTGCACACGCTTTGTCTTTAATGCGTTTCACTATAGTTCCCAGGCCTCTAAAGTTGGTCTTGTACGAGTGCTGAGGATCTTTAGCTACCGTGAGAGTCTCACTGAGATCAGCATTAGTTCCAACGCCGATACTGAAGATATTTACTCCCATAGCAACAAGCTGTTGTACTGGGCCAAGCACTCGGTCAGACGATTTACCCGCAGTTAGGTAAACCAACGTTTTCTTGCCCTTGCTAGCGGGAAAGAGCCGCCTTAATGCAAGGGTCAACGCTTTTCCTGATAGGCGTGCTCCACCGTCGGGCTGTAGCAGGCGGGTGATGCGTTTTATTTGCGTCGGCTTGTTAAACTGACCAAAGCTTATCTTGACTGCAGGGCGATACGAGTTCGTAATTAAACCAATCCGGACATTCTGACTGGAGACAGTAAAGGAATCCACCAATTCCAAGACGAATTTCTTTATGTAGTGGAATACTTTCTTAAGGCCGCCGGCTGCGTCGATTACGAAGCCAATGTCCATCTTTACTTTGCACACTGTAGAACAATCGATGGTTTTTTTTTAATTCATAGCATTGTTTAAATAATTTCATAATTACGTCTCAGCAAAATTTGTCGTTAAATGATATTAACGTTTAGTCTGCTTGGTTTTACTTGTCCTGGCTTTTTTCCACAAAAACCATGTGCGAACAATATGTTGGTATGATTAGAGACATAAACAAAGCAGGATCTTTGGTAACTATACTACTGTTAGAGGAGAAGGCTACCAAAAGCAAGGGAATGCGACGAAATTAATTTTTGTAAATGAAGCTGAACTTAAAAGTTAAATCGCAACTGAAGAGAAAAAGAAAAACAATAATACCTTTGTTAGGCGCTGTTGTGGCAGCAGGTCCTGTTGTGGGACCAGATGGTCCGACTGGCCGCGTAGGAATAGTTGTTGGTTTCTTCACGACAGTAAAGCCTCAAATATAAAAATGAAAGCAGTTATTTCATGTAGAAAGTCGTTTTTATATTCTGCGTTACAATTTGATAAACTAGTTCTTTCACGAGGTTATCGTTTTGACACAAACAAGACGTAGGAACAGAACAAGTGCAAGCATTTTAGTTTTTTGAGATATAAGGACACAGCTGTTAAATGACAATAAAAGTTGATGCAAAGCAAAGATAGGAAAGGTTAAAGATCGTGGAACGTTCCCTTGAAATGCTGGATTATTACGTTACCTGGTGGAATAGTGATACAAGGCTTTCCGGTTGTTGGCTTTGCACCTCCAGGCTTTGTTGGGCCGCTTTTTGGCGTTGTTTTCGCTCCTGGGCGCATGACACATCCTGGACCTCCAGGTCCACCCGGTCCTCCAGGGCCTCCTGGGCCTCCAGGACCACCCGGTCCTCCAGGGCCTCCTGGTTGACCAGGTGGAGCCGTTTTCGGGCCTCCAGGACCGCCTGGACCTCCTGGTCCTCCTGGTCCCCCGGGGCCTCCAGGTCCTCCGGGTTTTCCTGGAGGAGCAGTTGTAGGACCATTTGGACCTCCTGGACCTCCTGGACCCCCAGGGCCTCCTGGTCCTCCTGGACCCCCTGGTCCCCCAGGGCCCCCCGGACCGCCAGGACCACCAGGTGTTCCTGGGGGTTTGGTTGTGGTTTTTGCAGGCTTTCCAGGTTTCTTTGTTGGACCACCTGGGCCTCCTGGACCACCAGGACCACCAGGTCCACCAGGGCCACCGGGACCTCCAGGTCCCCCAGGTCCGCCCGGAGATCCTGGTCGCTTTGTTGTTGGTCCCCCAGGTCCTCCGGGACCTCCAGGTCCGCCAGGTCCCCCAGGTTTGCCTGAAAAAGGGGAACGAAGTATGATAGTATTTATGGTTCACTTCCCGTCATTGTCGTTGTCAAAGGTGTATTGTTAAAGAAAAATCACAAAGTGATAATTTCTCTAAGTTTTGCCATAATAAGTTTTTCTTTTGTCTTCTTCGCGGTATGCGATTTCGAGGTATGCATCTTTGCTTCTCTTAGTATAAACGAGTCGTTTTGAGTAAGCTAACTCTGAAAGTAACGTGCAACGTGCTGCCGCTGTTGGAACCCTCAGATGTGTATTTACCATTTATCAAATTACCTATTCCACTATCATTATCATTAATTTTACCATTATGATTATGATAATAGTCAGTACCACTTTTATGATTATTAGCAACCCTTTATTTCTTTTCTCAATATTTTGTGATCTGACCTGGAGCTTTTGTCTTGGGTGTTTTTGGCGTGGTCTTCGCTGGTGGCCCTCCAGGCCCACCCGGTCCTCCTGGCCCGCCGGGTCCACCAGGTCCTCCAGGACCACCAGGACCTCCAGGGTTTCCTGGTGCATACTTGGTAGGTTTGGTTTTAGTACCAGGAGGTTTCGTCTTTGGTCCCCCAGGGCCCCCTGGTCCTCCAGGTCCTCCAGGTCCACCGGGCCCTCCTGGTCCTCCTGGCCCTCCTGGCCCACCGGGAGATCCCGGGCGTTTCGTTGGTTTCTTCGTAGGAACTGGTTTTGTTGTTTTTGGACCTCCGGGTCCCCCGGGACCTCCAGGACCCCCAGGGCCTCCAGGACCTCCTGGTCCTCCTGGTCCACCAGGGCCCCCTGGGCCTCCAGGACCGCCTGGTTTTCCTGGTGGCTTAGTCGTGGGTGTTGTTTTAGGTACTCCTGGTTTTGGTGGCTTTGTCTTTGGTCCTCCTGGGCCTCCTGGTCCGCCTGGTCCTCCAGGTCCTCCAGGACCTCCTGGTCCCCCTGGACCCCCAGGACCTCCAGGCTTCCCAGGTGGTGGTTTTGTGGTAGGCCCACCAGGACCTCCTGGTCCTCCTGGGGAACCTGGACGTTTTGTAGTGGGACCTCCAGGTCCTCCAGGACCTCCTGGACCGCCAGGACCACCTGGTCCTCCGGGGCCGCCTGGCCCTCCAGGGCCACCTAAAGTTCAGAATAATCTAATGAATATTTTGTGCTGTATAGTGTATCGCATCTTAAAAGCCAAATTTAATAGAAGAGACATGAACTACCGATATCAGCAAAGGAAAACACGTTAAAACCTCTCCAATTTCTAGGAAAGTAATGAATAATATTTGAGACATACTTTTGCTTTCATTGCTCATCACTTCATAATCTAATATCTTGATAGTGTTTCGATGCATTTTTCAAAACATTGGCCATCGTAATTCAATCTCGATTTTTCTCAGCTTTCAATTAATGTTAAGTAGCTTTAGCAAAAAATTTAAAACACAGTAATTCCCATAGACGAATGACAACTTGTTCTATCGAAAACATATTAAAGTGGCAGCTTTGCATTACTCCTGCTGGCTTCACCGTTACGGTTTAATTTTTTACCTGGTGTTCCTGGTCGTTTAGTTGTTGGTCCTCCTGGCCCACCAGGGCCACCGGGTCCTCCAGGGCCTCCTGGACCCCCTGGTCCCCCTGGTTTTCCTGGACGTTTCGTTGTGGGTCCTCCAGGACCTCCTGGACCTCCAGGCCCTCCTGGTCCCCCAGGTCCTCCAGGCTTGCCAGGTGGCTTTGTTGGCTTTGTTGGTCCTGTTGGTCCACCTGGTCCTCCAGGTCCTCCAGGTCCACCAGGCCCACCAGGTCCTCCTGGACCTCCTGGACCTCCTGGAGTACCAGGTGGTTTTGTGACGGGTGTTGTAGGCTGTCCTGCTGGCGGCCCTCCAGGTCCACCTAGAATTATCGAAAAAAATACTTGATGTTTAAGATTCACGTTTCCTATCACGGGGTTGTAAATGGATCCTTCCGACTCAGATCTGAGTTTGTTAGGTAGGTTAAGTTCCTGGTAATTAGATCATGTTCAGGAGGTTGTGTTCGACATGTGATGTTCGTTGCGATACTTCAGAAGAAACTTACGAGATATCTAAACAACTGTACTAAGACTAAATTGTTCGCTTTTAAAAAATGTTGATACTCTAATACTGTCTTGATAACGAGTGCTCCGGGTTTAGTTGGTCAGAACTTTGCAAAACTAACGCAATTCGCCAAGTAGTATAACAAATATGAATTTAAAGTTGTTAACAGTCGCATCATATTCGAACATTAAGGACAAAGACGAAGAATTCAGTCTGAGAGGAGCATATAATATATCGCAACATTTTAAAATTTGCTGGCTCGTTGATAAAAGTTAAAAATGTGTTATGGATTGCAGATAGTGTTGTGGATTGCACAAAGCTCTCACTGTACCTGGCCCTCCTGGTCCTCCAGGTCCTCCAGGCCCACCTGGTCCTCCTGGTCCTCCAGGACCTCCTGGACCTCCAGGTCCTCCTGGCCCTTTTGGCCCCCCTGGTCCACCTGGCGTACCTGGGCGTTTTGTTGGTTTGGTTGGTTTAGTTGGTACACCAGGTCTAGCAGTTGTTGGTCCTCCCGGACCTCCAGGTCCCCCAGGTCCACCTGGTCCACCAGGACCCCCAGGCCCTCCAGGTCCTCCGGGTCCACTCGGCCCTCCTGGTCCACCTGGTTTACCCGGGCGTTTTGTTGGTTTGGTTGGTTTTGTTGGCACCCCAGGTCTCGCGGTTGTTGGTCCTCCTGGACCCCCAGGTCCACCGGGTCCTCCAGGTCCTCCAGGTCCGCCAGGACCTCCTGGTCCTCCGGGTCCTCCTGGACCCCCTGGTCCACCTGGGCGTCCTGGGCGTTTTGTTGGTTTGGTGGGTTTGGTAGGCACACCTGGTCGTGCAGTTGTTGGACCACCTGGGCCTCCAGGACCCCCCGGACCTCCAGGTCCGCCTGTTGAAAATAGAGCAATAACTTTTTAAACGACATATTTTCATAAATATTATTCATTAATTATTTAATTCATTACGACCCTTACATTCTTAACGTCCGTAACATGATGTGAGCTTCAGGTTTTTAAGCGGTACTGTTATAAAGGTTTACTATTTGGCTGGTTTCCAGCTGGTTTAACGTTACATTATCTATATATGGAAATTGTGGCAGCTGCACCACGGCCAATCAAACGGAATGCAGATTAGTCGATTAATTGAATCACATAATTAACAATTTTGTTACTTTCCTGTACCACAATTTGCCAGCAAAACAGCAAGTTTAAGTAAGGATTCTTAAAAGGCAAAAAAACCCTTTGGTAGTGTCACCCTATATTCATCAAACTTGGTATGACATGACTGCTGAAATTGAGTTCAAACGCTCGTCTAGGATCTTTTTAATACTATCATTTAACTTTGATTTCCTTATATTTTGTTCGTTTAACGTATAAGAAGACTCGTTCCGTATCACAAACCTGGTCCTCCTGGGCCACCGGGTCCACCAGGCCCCTTAGGGCCTCCTGGTCCGCCTGGAGTGCCCGGTTTCCTTGTGGTTGGCTTTTTCGTCGGCACACCTGGCCTTGGAGTTGTAGTCTTGGGACCATTTGGACCTCCAGGTCCACCTGGACCTCCAGGACCACCGGGCCCACCCGGACCTCCTGGGCCTCCTGGACCGCCTGGGGTTCCGGGGCCTCCTGGTTTTCCAGGAGGCTTTGTAGTAGGTCCTCCAGGTCCTCCTGGACCTCCAGGACCACCAGGTCCTCCTGGTTTTCCTGGTTTCTTTGTTGTGGGACCGTACGGACCGCCAGGTCCCCCGGGACCACCTGGGCCACCCGGACCTATGTAAACAAACCATGAGACAGTAAACACGAGGAGCTTTTGATAACGATTGATAAAATGCAATTGATGTCTGCTGCTGATAGGATCAGTTTGTTTTGTCTTCCCGAGAGTCTCAATGTTTACTGAGACGAAGTCTTCCAACTCTCTGGAGAAGAAACTTACTGTTTCCCGAGGGAGCAGACACTAAGTGTTCTGTTATACATTTAAAGGATGAACATTGTGGATTAGCAAAAAAGGAGCGTTTATAATGGTAAAACTTCACTTTTTGTAAACACCACAAATGTACCTTTAAAAAAACCGTATTTTCGTAGTCCTTCTGCTAAACCAGTATTCGATTTCGTCTTTCGATAAAGCAGACGAGCGCTGCTTTTTCGTCACAGGTTAGTCCATCGTAATTTTAAGAATTGGCGGAGAGCTAGCGACAAATCTAAATTTTCTGGAATCCCCGAGGAGTTAAGATAACAAAGCTTAAAAAATATCTCGCTACAATCACACCACCGGCCTAAGCGACGCTCTGATTACGTGAAAAAACCTGAAAAATGATCGCATTTAATAAACGTATTCGAATCAGGATACAGTTTTGACATTCTGTCAAAATTTAATTTGAGCGGGACACATTTTGATTAATCCAGGCTCACGTGATTACCAATCAACCAATCACAATCTTCTTTCGAGCAAGGGAAACCGCAGGCGTATGGCAATAATCAATATTTCTATGGCGCAAATCAACATGAAGATATATTCAAATGCATGTTACATTTTAAGTGACACATAAGAAAAAAAAATAATTAGGAACAAACATTGTGAACGTACAGAGGGTCAAAAGTAATTAAATACGGACAACCGAGTGTTTAATAACCAAGGTGGAGGGCACGAACCCAGGACACTATCGCCCTCTTTAAGTAGCAAATTAACGTTTAACAATTAATATCAAGACCAAAACCTCTGTTACAGTATGATGTTATTGATTAAGATATTATTCATAAGTCAATTAAGACGATATCTTTGACACATTACCTCCCGGCCCTCCTGGTCCACCAGGTCCTCCAGGTCCTCCTGGGCCACCAGGTCCTCCAGGTCCCCCAGGTCCCCCTGGTCCTCCAGGGCCATTGGGTTTCCCCGGGGCATAAGGAGTTGGTGTCGTCTTCTTGGTTGGTGCTCTTGGAGATGCTGTTGTAGGACCACCAGGTCCACCTGGTCCTCCTGGACCACCTGGCCCTCCAGGTCCTCCAGGACCTCCTGGACCCCCAGGCCCTCCAGGGCCACCAGGTCCCCCAGGGCCTCCAGGACCACCAGGACCTTTTGGGCCTCCCGGACCTCCTGGTGTGCCTGGTTTCTTTGTTGGTTTAGTTGGCTTTGTTGGTGTTCCCGGACGGCTTGTTTTGGGTCCTCCTGGCCCTCCGGGTCCTCCAGGCCCACCTGGTCCACCTGGGCCTCCAGGACCTCCAGGTCCACCAGGCCCTCCAGGTTTCCCTGGCTTCTTTGTTGGCTTAGTAGGTTTGGTAGATTTTCCTGGGACGGGCGTTGTCTTTCCACCAGGCCCTCCGGGACCTCCAGGGCCTCCAGGACCTCCTGGACCTCCGGGACCTCCAGGCCCTCCAGGGCCTCCAGGTCCTCCGGGTCCTCCAGGTTTACCAGGTCTCTTTGTTGGTTTTGTTGGTCTTGTAGACTTTCCTAGGAAGTAATTTTTCATAGGCGTCTTCACCGCATGAACACATACGAAATTTATGGAAGAAATGTTGTGCAACGGCTACAATTGTGCTTCCTTCTTTTGTAACTACGATATCCATTTTATTTTCGTAAGTAAACGGCTCACACTGATATCGTCAAGAAAAATTTGGTATAAAACAATACTTGGAATAATTGTTATGATACAACGAAGTTGCCGGTCTCCTTTACCATCAGTTGGTAAATTAGCATCTCGCTCAAAACTATAACGATCATAATATATCATAATTTGGCACTAACATCAATTGGCAGCTTAGGTGCATGTCAATAGAAAATGTATTGTTCACTGACACTATTTGTCCTAATCCTTGAATTATTTTTTTCAAAGCTTCCATAAGCTCAAGTCGTACCTGGTTTCTTGGTTGTTGGTCCGCCTGGTCCGCCGGGACCACCTGGGCCTCCTGGGCCGCCAGGCCCTCCTGGACCTCCAGGTCCCCCAGGGCCTCCAGGCTTACCTGGAGGCTTTGTTGTTTTCCCTGGTCTTGGGGTTGTCTTTGGTCCTCCGGGTCCACCAGGCCCACCTGGACCTCCAGGACCACCTGGTCCTCCGGGACCTCCAGGGCCACCTGGGCCACTAGGTCCTCCGGGTCCGCCGGGTCCTCCAGGTCCTCCAGGTCCACCTGGTTTACCTTTAAAAGCGTAAATGAGATAGCATCAGGCGATGCTATGATCAAACTGTGTAATAGCAAGATGGGTTGTGAATTCCTCACCTGGAGGATTTTTCGTTGGCTTTGTGGTTGTACCAGGTTTAGGCCCTCCAGGACCTCCTGGGCCGCCTGGTCCACCCGGTCCTCCAGGCCCACCAGGACCCCCGGGACCACCAGGACCACCTGGACCACCTGGTTTTCCAGGTTTACCTGGGCCGCCTCTTTTCGGTGTTGTCTTAGATACTGCAATAAAAACATGCCAATTGTTAGAAGTCCATCAGTCAATCTTGAGATGCATAGGATTTATTACTCAAGAGTATCCTTTCTAATGAACGCTTTCCGCTCCACTATCTTTTCGCCAGAAAGAAGGACAGTTGAGGTTTGTGCGTCATATATTCTATCTAAGAGATCGATCACATGATATGAGTAACCTCTACAGGTTTAAAACTGTAGGTTTTGAAACGAATCCACTCTCGCATATCAAGGGACTAACAAGTGTAAATATTAGAAGAATTGTAGACTACTATTTGACATTTTGAAGGGTACCATTTAGCTTAACATCTTCATACTAACCCGGTTTTGTAGGACCTACTGGTTTAGTTGGTCCGCAAACACATGGCTGAAGCTTTGAAACTGACAGAGTACCACCCGCACCTAAACAGCAGCAGGTTAACCATTAAACAGGGTATATGACAGATTAGATAAGTTACATAATGTTCAAATTACAGAATCAGAAAGAGGTTGAAGGACAACATCCTCTTCTCTTTCTCCACCGTGGGCAAGTACATGCTGTCGATGAGTAAATCCGTGTTTTTTCCTTTTTTCTGTCCACGTAAGACCTTGTGTGATGAATGTGTTTTGGAGAAAAGTAGGAGAGGTAATCGGGAGCTCAAATTTTTGGAAGCTTATAATAGGTCAACACATCTAACGGTATAGGACCCTTATAGAACATTGGTTATTTTTAAAATTATTTCTAGATATTTTTTACTAAGGAAGCACAAAATCGACAGGTATTGTGCAGTGTGATTCAATGAATATAATTGTTATCCAGTTTGAACATTTCATTCATTGATCTACAAATGACCTCAATGTTGCACTCCGTTAGATGATGTGCGTCTGTGAGCAAATATGTAAAAAATATCGACTGAGTTGAGACTTTGACTCCAATCAATTTTTTCTCGCACGGTGAGTTCGTTTGGTGCTTAAGCTCGTTGAATACTTACTCAAACAGATCGCTTTCTTAAGATCGTTTGTGATGTACTGTATCTGCTTAAAATCCGACGTGAAAACGTGCGTCTTGTCAGGATCAGTTGCCATCGAGTCCAATTCCTTTGCGTTGAAGTACCTTCCCACTCCTACTGAATAGATTGTGATACCGTTGGCTCGTAGTCTCTTAGAGATTCCATGTACGTCATCGATTGAGCCACCATCAGTAATAACCACCAGTACTTTACGAGCTCGAACACGTCGGCTTCCCGTGAAAAGCCTTCTGTTGGCAAAGCTGAGAGCCCGACCTGTTCTCGCTCCTGTCCGTGGATAGTAGATTGGTCGGTTGAGAGCCGTGAATAACAATGAGTTACTCTGATATCTGAAATAACCGAAAGTCAATGATCAAATTCTACATCTGTCAATTTACTTTAATTTTTTCATAGAAAAAATTTTTTGGAAATACGAGGGCCAGAACAGGCATTAGATAACTTCCACTGCTGTCTGATGGATAAGTATTATCCACCCTTCGAAATTCAAAGATGGGAAACCAGATATGTAAACTTTAACAAGGAGGTCAAAGATGATCGCTATTTCCATTGTAAGGGGGAATCTGTCATACCACTTTCGTTCGAAACAATCATTCTAAACGTTTCAGTTTTCCGTGGAGTGATTGAACTGAACATCAACGAATATTTCAAAAAAAGTCATTCATTTTGGATATCGCGACCAGTGAGTTCAGATTTCCCATCTTATACTGAAAAGCAGCCTGATCACAGTTATAACAGCGAATACATCATTGATTTAAGAATATATTTCACACTAGCTTTAAAGTATTTCCTACACTAGTTTTAAACTATTTCCTACAGATGATAACAGTACTTTTTCATGAGACAACCAACCTTCGGAAATTAAATATCATCTTTGGTCTTGTGCCATACACAGTTAAGGACACTCGGGTATTTCTTTTGGAAATGGCGAATCCCATCGTCAGTCCTCGGACAAATTCGATTAGTTTTCGGAAGTTTCCGACACCGTATCTTTCAACGCTTGAAGAACCATCGATTAGGAAAGCCAGATCTATTTTGGCGCTACAAGCTGAGAGGATGTTAATACAACATAACGCTGGTTAGATTAAGCGATGTCGTAACATAAGTGTGTGTAAACTGAATTGTGTTTATTTGATTATGAGAAGTAAAGTATCAACCCAAAGCTGGGAGTGATTTCAATGATCTAAATAGAACCCTTCTCCATTCTAAGGCCAAGGTAAGAGTGAATTTTGTATTGAGCGAAAACATCGATCACGCAGTGGATCAGTACAAAATTGAACGATATGCACAGATTGACCTGGTGTTTTAACTGCTAAGTCTTCCTTAAGAAAACACTATTGCTGACTATGAGTTATATGTCACAAATGTTTATGACTAAAATAGCACTTTGCGATTTCTTGAAGGAATATTTCGTAAATATAAATACATGACAGATGTTGTGTTAATATTTTGGATTTCTTTACCTTGCGCTTTTGTTGGCTTTGCTGCAAAATGGAAACAAAAAAAAACAGAATTAGTCATTTTAATATAATCTCATATGTAGACAGTTTAATTCAATTTGATTTAATATTACGGTGTGATCCGACCACTAAATGATTTTTCCACTAATCCTATCTTATTTATTTATGATATGACAGCAGTAGAGATGTCGTGATTATACATTCCTTGACATTAACACTTTGGTATTACTTACGACAAGGTGGACACATTCCTGGAAGCACTCTTGGAGAGACTGCAAATGATTGATTTGTAGGATTGTAGATGTCATCCTTTTGTCCTTTGTTATCAGGTGCGTGTTGTCCCTGATGGTCATCATCGTTGTCATTTCGTTCATCATCATCTTCATCGTCTTCTTCGTCATCGTTGTCATCGTCATCGTCATCATTATCATTGTCATCGTCGTCGTCGTCCTCGTCATCTTTATGTTCTTCATTTTCAGCCATCCGATCAGCTTCTTTCTCTTGTTCCACGGCTTCTTTCTCGATTTCATCCTTGTAATTTGGCTCTTCGGAGGACTTCTGTTGTTTCACATTTTCCTTATCGTTCTCTTTAGTTGGTGTAATAGAATTATTCTCTCGAACATGGTTATTTTCGTTCTCTAATATCAACTGCGTTGTCAGCGGATTCGAGTCATTTTTTTCTAAAAACTCTTTATTTTCGTCCTCATGTTTTCCAGTGCTGTTGTAGAATTTGTCTTCATTCTGTTTAAAATCGTACCCTGCAAAGCTCTGTTCCGTCCCTTTGAATTCATGGTAGTCATCTGCGTCTGAAATAAAACCCTTCGTTTGTGGTGAAGCATTCCTGTCAGATCCCAGTTGGTCCCAAGAAGAGACTTTTCTAGTGGAAGCTTTTTCTGATGTAGGACGTGCCTTGACTGGGTTTGCCTTGCTATTCTTGGCAGCAGGTCCGGGATTCGCGTAATGCGGCGAAGTTGGAGCCACTTGAGGCTGAAAGCTCGGTACAGCTTGGGACTGGTAATTAGGTGGGTACCCTGGATAGTTAATGTAACCTTGGAAACCCTTATAACCACCAGTGTCAGGGACACACGGTGGTTTATCTGAAAAAGGAAGACGGAAATATAGTATTTGATTAGAATATGTGACGAGATTCTTAACTCATCTTCTCGTGGCATACGATAACTGGATGATGATATGTGTACGAGGCAAAGTATGTTTCTATTGCGAAATGTGAATAGAGTGAGTTGAGGTGGGGAATACGAAAAATTAATGCAATGCAAACTGGTTTATTTTATAACTAACCTGGACAGACCATGTTTGATGGACAACATGGCATTGAGGAATACGCATATTGCTGTCTTGGAGCACCCCAGGCTACAAATTGAAACGAAGGAAGCTTTAGAGTTAGTCACTTCTTATTCACTTAGTGTTCTTCTAACCAATTAAATGCAGATCATCGCAAAGCTGATGGTTGTAAAAATTAAGCCCGGGAAAATTCAGGCTCGAATGGGATCCGAGCTAGTGACCATTCTGCGATACTGGTGTAGCACAGAAACTAACGGACTGACTGAAACTAACTGAGCTAAGTTTAGGCTTTATTTTCGCTTGTTAGTTGTGATTTCTAACCTCAAACATCTCTCTATTTTTCCGTGGCTCAGATTGTTTGCTCTCATATATCCTCAAATTCAACGGAAGTTAAGTATAAAATGATACAGTTTACACTTCTAATAATTTTCGTACCCAAATTTTGTCTCTTCACCGGTTGTTCATCCTCATACTCATCCTCGTCGTAGTCTGTAAACAAATCATCGACTTCTTTGTTATTGAAATTTCCACTGCTATCTTCACCCCGGCTTGCCGACGTGGGCGTCGTTTTCCTTCCGTTAGTTTCTTTCCTGGCGTTAGCACTATCATCACTTTTATTCCTATCGTCTATACTTCCATTTTTCGCTTTGTTCTCCTCATCATCATTTTCTCGATCATTGGAATTTTCAGAGCCAGAGCTTTCGTCGACCTCCTCCATGAAGTCAGGTGTTCCAGAGGTCTCATGGCTAGGGGCTGTATCGACAGGTTTGGTTTCTAGGTCTCCTGCGCCATAATCCTTTGGTTCCTCTGTCACGTCCATACGACCGTCGTTCGCGCTGCTCTCGGCCGAGCCTTTGTGCATGACGTAGGGTGTTAATGGAGACATTTCAGTCCCTTCAGGTCCAGTTTTCATTGTTTCATTCGGCATTTCATTCACTTGGTTGGAATCAGTTATACTGTAGCTACTGTTGGAAACGTTTTGTGCGTTTTCGTAGCTGTCTTTACCAACATTTGGTGCGAACTGGACGCTATTATTTGCAACACTTTGAGTGAATTCGTAGCTATCATTGGCAACGGTTTGAGCTTTGTCGTGGCTATCTTCGGCAACATTTGATGCATATTCAACGCTATTATTTGCAATACTTTGTGTGAACTCGTAGCTATCATTGGCAACGTCTTGTGCGTTTTCGTAGCCATTGATGTTAGGACTTTCTTCATACTCAGTGCTGCTGTTGTTAGGACTTTCCATGTACTCAGTGCTGCTGTTGTTAGGACTTTCTACGTACTCAGAGCTGCTGTTGGTCGGACTTTGCATATATTCATAGCTGTCATTGGTCGGACTGTGCGAGGTCGCTTCCAGAGAGCTGTCTGGATCAAATGATTGGTCATTTTCTTCGGACATATCAGCCAAGTGATTAACACCTTCATTTGTGGTATACTCCATGACGTCACTACTGTTTTTTTTAGCGTCGACGTCACCTATGTCTCGTTTTTCACGGAAGTTAGACGCAGAGTGCTCCGACAAATAAAAAGACTTTGATTCAGTGGCTAAGCTCTCTGCCTGCCGCTTTTCCACAAATGAAGGTTTTAATTCCTCCACTGTGTTTGGCTCGTAATACATGGGTCCATAATTGTCTTGGCTGTACCATTCTTGGGCAAAAGAATAGTTTGCTACGAGAAGCAACAGCGTGCTTCGTAGCAGTAATAAAATAATCATCTCAACCCTGCAAAAAAAAAACGTATTAATGAACACCTTACGATTTTTCCATTCTATCTCTTCAGCTCAGAAAATACAAGCTAAACACAGGGACACATTTTGTGTCTAAAGTTTATGTCTTTGGATCGAGACGACCAATGAACAAAGCGTTAATGATAACATTTTTATATCGCTGTGTTTCAAATGTGACTTCTATAAATCGAACATCCTCTCCTCTCAACCATTTCAAATACGTCTCTTCTTATTATTTATTTCTTTTGAAAGTTATGTCTCGGTCCTGATTCAAACTGTACTCACGCCCTCCATGCGGCAAGGTGAGTTCTCTTGCCACTACATGCCGCCCATTAAGATAATTATCAAACTTAGCATAGCAACAAAACACGAGGTAAAAAGACATGGCATTCTTTATTCTCGATGGAAAGGTGCCAAAGTTTTTCATTCAAGGTACAAATCTAACTCCAAACTTTTTTTTTTGTACTTTGCCAAACGTATCAATCACCATCAATTACTCAACAGCTGTTTAGGATTCTTTAATATTTTTATACACAACACTTATTACAGTGTGCCGATTGCGTCACTTTGCAGTACATCAAACTTGTCTCCTTACTTGTGGAATATAACACCTCAGGTTGTTCCACCTGTTAAGATTTCCCTTTGAATTCAAGAAACCAACTTGCTACAAGTAGAAAGATCCTGACTGACCTATAGGTCTTTCGTGGCTGAGCTTTGGAGTCAACTTTATTTCTATTTTTAACTAAGTATGATCACTTCCCGGCAGACTCAAGGTTTGCGATGGCTAATTTTTGTCATCTTTCTATATCGGTAAACTTAAAGTAAATCATCATTACAGCATAAAATGCTGATAGGTTTTTGTTTGTTTGTGTTAATGTAGATATCTTTTTTGACACTAACACACAGGTTCTCAGTTAGGAGAAAAACGATACAATCTTATAAACGTCAAGTTTAAAACAGGTAATTATCTCGAATCTTCACAGAATTATGTCACCAGTGAAAATTAACTTCATCCTTTCACTATCAGCTACCAGAAAAATCCGAAAATTCACTTTGTAAAAAAAGAAAATGATAAAAGGTACCACATGTAAGTACTGTAGGATTTCCTCCACAGACGCAAGAGTTCAGACAACATTTCTCAGTTCTATCATTGACTTTATAGGTCACAGGGTTAAATCCCAAGATACAGTTAAAAAAGAAATTGTGTCTAAGATAGAACCTTTCATGCATTGAATTTCATGCAAAATAATCATTTCAAAACTGATCCAGGTTGAATAGACTTAAAAATCCTTCATTTTTCAGAGTCAATAACGGTAGAGAGCTTACGGATCAATTCTGTGTCAAACACCAACTGAAACAGATCGGAGAAAATGTATTCAATTATCCTCGTCATAACCTTTGGGTATCTGAGGCTTCGGAGTAGCTCAGAATAGGAGTCCGGCTTTTTAAAGTCTAAACACGGCTGGTCGATCTGAATAACCGCCCATGGGTAGAATGAAAACAGACTACAATGGCAGTTAGACATCGCTAGGGTCATCTCATTTCTTATCCTATCAAATACGCCTTATAATGGGAAAACTCTACACACGAATATAAAACAAACTCTATAAGACTAACAATGAACTGTTCAACAGAGGATGTTTCTATTTTCCTTTTTTTCTTCTTCTTTATTTGTCTTTGGCCTGATAACGTAAACTTGTCAAAGGGTTCAAGGTCATCCGTTGTCAAAAAGTCAAAGCAGTGTTTTTATTGCCATATTAATGATAATTTTCCTGTTTCCTTGTTAAGAAAAGAAAACCCACAGTTTAATAGGGATTTATAGAATATTCAGCCGATTGACTTTTGCTTCTTTTCTGATCGCTGATCTTATTAAAATTTATGCGTGGAGAGACGAAACAAAAGAAGCGAGGATCTTGAGGATGTTGAACCTCAATATTACAATAGCTTTGACGAATATAACTCGTTAAAATTACAGTCGAGGAGGACTATTCTACCTTCATATTCGAACTCTGTTATCAGCCAAGCTAAATTATTTTAAATTCTTTACTTAAATGCGCAAAAAGCCTCTTACCCTTGTCTTTCATTAATGTGCCAGTTTGAGGGGCTGTGCTCTTTCGTAGAGAGATCCTTGATGTTAAGTGTAATACAAGATTTACAAAACGACAACTGAAAAATTCATGTCGGTCATGTTATGGTCACGTCACCAGTCTGTAAGCACTGCTCATGCCTTGGATTTCACTGTTATAAAATAGTTTTTATAAAATAACTGGTATGTTGAGAAACGTTTTCGTATTATTAACTGGGCGATGATTACGCCTTTATTGTCTTCATCTGTGCACAAAGAGGTGAAAGACAAAAATGAGAAGCAGCTGGACAGTATTTTGCTAATTTGGTATCAAACAGGCCTCTTCTTCTTCAGATATCGTTGTGTTGTTTATAAAAACTATCATTTTGTTTTTGGTGGTTTATTTTAGTACCAGCCTTGAACGAAATAACACGGAAAGCCCCAAGTTAATTTTTATCAGTTCCTCTTGAATGTGAAACCACTTACGATATTTGAATATGAAGCGTCAATAAATTGGGCTTATTATCACGAAGTTTAGTTATGAAAATCACCTTTTAAAACCTTTGATTCTGACCCTGACACCTTCAAACCACCAAATGACCTCATTAACATATATTTAAATTGATTTAATTCATTTCTTGAGGTCCGAAACAGCGCTTTAGTTTCCGGCGAAGGTAGACAGAACTTATCCGGGGCATTGTATTCACTCGCTGAAAAATCTCTTCCAAAAAGGAACAAAGATAAAAAAATTCCAAAGGAATGTTATCTTCTCACAGATAAGAAATAATTTTAAAAACTTTTATTGCAGTGAATGATGTATAAAATAAAACGGTGTAAGATCTAACTCAGATACCTTTCTGCAAATTAGTTCTTAGATTAAACGTTTCCAATGTGTCTTTCCTTTCAATAATCTTCGTTTTTCCAGTTATGCGTGAAAGAATAGCCTCTCGACCTTTGAACAGAAGTCAACACAAAACTCTTACATGCACTATGAACCATTGTCTTATGGCCCGTTTCGGTACCATGTTAAAATTATTATGACTTATTGAAACGGCTGGCAGTTTATTTCTTCATGCCATATTCAGGATAACGCATTATTAAACAAAGGTGAAAAACGAAAATGGCTGTGCCTTTATAAAAGCCATGAAAACGTGTTCAACAGCGTGTTTTATGCTCTACGCGCATAAATTATACAATTCAAGTCATTCCATGAAAAGTTATTCATTGCACGACCCGACCCAATCCTCGCGGTTTTTTTGTTGTTGTTTTTCTTTTGTCACTCCTCCGCTACTCTTGCGCTTCGTTTCACTGATTGAACGTCTGAACAGGCTAGCACTTTAAGGAAGTTGTGAGTTGCGTTTAACCATGCTTGCACTTGATAACCCTGACACTATACCATGTCGCGTGACATCATAGGAAAGTCTGATTTTAATTTGCATTGTGTGACTGATAGATTCAACTGCAGAGGCAAAATCAACAGTGTACCACATTTTAATTTTCTTTGTTAATTTTACGATGACATGTAATGTTTGCTACGCTGACATAAGTATAGTTTCTTGATTCAACTCTCTGGCACGTTCAGTTTTAGGTTACACTTGTCACTAATATAAGACTGTCTGACGTGACATCCAAATCCTCAGTTTTCAGAGTTGTCTCTTTCTTTGGCAATTTTCCTGAAACTCGTTACATGTCGATGTGAGTAAGCCCTCTGTGATTCGTAATACAATGGAAACGACTGGTGACAAAAAGAATAGCAGCAGCCTTGACAAGAGTTGCGATACGAATGACTTCCAAGCCGATGCAAATTCATCGTCAAAGGAGAATTACGAATTTGACGATTTGCTCCGTCTGGTCGGCGGATTCGGTCGTTATCCGATGCTGTTGTACGCCTTTATGTGCTTGATGACGGTACCTATCGGCCTTCAACAACTAGTGCTTGTATTTTATGGCGCGTCTCCGCCTTTCCAGTGTGTCGCCTCGAGCACTACGATGAACAGTTCTAATTGCGAGATCGACAAATGTTGTGCCAATTGCACCGAATATGAATTCAAGGGTAAATATACAAGTGCCGTCTCTGAGGTTAGTTTGAGTTTAAAGAAGTTTATAACAATTACTACCCTTGAAAATATAGTCTTTTGGTGAGATTGTATGCTAAAGAAATATTTATAACACCTTGTAACAGTAAAGGAAGCTAGATTTTTACCCCGTGATTTGATATTCCCTCATAGACTCTAACTGGGTGTTATCCAATATTTACCTATATAATATCGGTTTTAATTAACATACACACACACACACACGCCCTCTATAACAGCAATGTTTTGAAAAAGCCACTTTTGATAAAATAATTGGTTATATTCATTTCATACGACTTTTGCCCACTAAACACCTTTTTTGGAGTACCGTTGTTAAGTGTTGAGTGTATCTAGTATTAACGTTTGCAAGTCTGAGTGCACGAAACAATAAACGACGCATAGATGATATACAGACAGTCAGAAATCCCAAGAATAATTAAGCGTTTGACCTCCATGGTCTGCAAGGTCAAATTTTAGGCAGTGGGGTAAGCCCGCTGGTCTTGTAGCTTGTCGTCCCATATTCAAGCCCTCCGCCCTGCTACTCTCTGGATTTGTTCTCGATTGCTCTGAATTAAGAATTCAACTCCTTGGCTTGTGCTTTTGTATTTAACCAACTGGTCTTCCTCCTGGCTCCTGCCAGTTGGGGCTTTTAAACGCTATGTTTAAGTTCATTTACAATGTTCATGTACAATTATTGCTTAATTTGCAAACGCATTTAGACTTGTGGAATTTCTCTGAAGAACTGTTATTGTTATTATTCACTAATTTCCCATTCTAGCCGCACCTTTCCTCTGAAATTATATTAAAGAATTTGGATTGTCGCCTTCAGACCGATGGATGTGTCAGGAGCCCATAGGCTCCTGATGTGTCTATTCTGTTTGCTGAATAATGTCTTGATATCATATTGCAAGTCCGTCTTACTGAAAATGAGACACGACAAAAGAAAGACTTGCTTTTGAAAAAAGATCGCTTTTATTTATTTATTTATTTTTTGTTATTTTTTTTTCCAGTGGGGGTTGATTTGTGATAAAAATCATCTCAAAGCGTTGACTCAAGCAGCATACTTGGCAGGACTTCTCGTTGGCTCCTATGCTTTTAGCAGCATATCTGATCATTTGGGACGAAGGGTCGCTGTTTTCCTCAGTATCGCCATCCTGGTAAGTGCATCGCGCAATGACTACGTGGTTACTCGTTTCACAATCTATCATAAAAAAAGGAAATAATTTATGCTTATCCCAATTTCAGGCCGTATGTGGCACCGTCTCTGCAGTTGCAGACTGCCTCTCTCTTTTCGCCTTGTTCCGAGTCGGTGCGGGAGCCGCTGCCGCTGGTTGTCTACTCTCCCGCTTCGTTTACTGCATGGAGCTGTCAGTTACGTCAAATAGGACTGCTGCAGGGTTTGTCAGCAACATCTTCATGACTGTGGGTTACGCCATTTTAGCTTTACTGGCCTACCTCATGAGAGACTGGAGACATCTGATGCTAGCAGTGTCGGTACCAGGGGTCCTACTGCTCCTTTTCTGGTGGTAAGTCTCTTATTCCTGAAAGTGAACATAGGAAATTATATCAAGTTGTAAACCTTAACTGTCATTTTGTAAGCCAACTAAAACCGTATCACTTTGTCTTAATGCAAAAAAGGTGGATTCCTGAATCTCCGCGCTGGCTTGTCGCTCACAATCGTCTGGATGAGGCTCATGGCCTGCTCATGAAGTACGCTACCAAAAATGGCGTCTCCGTTGACCCTAAACAGCTGAGGCACATGATCTCGGAAGTAAGGAAAGCTGATGTCAGGAAAAATGACACCCGAAAATATGGGACTTGTGATTTGGTTAGGACACCAAAACTGAGAAAGAGAATTATCATCTGCTGTTTCAATTGGTGAGAAAAGACGATAGAAAGATAATTTGTTTTGTCAATTATTTTATGTGTGTTTCGGTTGTTTGGTGTGTTTATACGCTTAGATCAATTCATTTTGTGTTTTGTTTTGACGTTTAGGTTTGTTAACGCTCTGGTGTACTTTGGACTGAGTTTGAATGTGAAGAATCTCGCTGGAGACATGTACCTGAACTTTTTCATGTTGATTATCATCGAGTTACCTAGTGCATTGTTGGCCTGGTTTTGTCTTCAGAGGTAAGAACATTTGATAAAAGAAAAGGACTCTAGAGGTTGCAAAACAAAATGTTTTGAAAATAATGAGGTGAAATGATGTCCTAGAACAATATATTTTGGTTTTTCTTGCTGTTTTTAAGAATAATGTGTCAACTAAACCTAAATACACTTCTCAGATCCTTCTTTTGGACAAGGGTCAACAAACTGTTCAGGAAAGCTCTCCGATCAGTAGTAATGGGAAAAGACGATCTGGAAACAAACTGACTCTATCGTTAATGTGTGCCTTATCGACGTGTCCAAAAAAGAAACGTCCTTGATGCGTTTAGAGATGGTTCAGTTGTGTTATATAACTCAATGTTTTGATAGGTTTGGTCGCCGCATTCCGTATTGTGCCTTCATGCTAATTGGCGGAGTTGCCGGCATGCTGGTGTTAGCTGTTCCAAGCAAAGCTGGTAAGAAGGGTGAATGATAGGTTGTTGAATTTCCTGCAGACGAGGATATTGATCTAAAAACCACTAATTAAATCTTTTTCACTTCGCTGCCCGCAGTGTCAGTATGACAGTTTCCTTACCAAAAAACTAGTTGAATCAGTCAGCCAGTCAGACAGTCATTCTCGTTTATTAGTCTATCCATCTGTTCAAACTTCTGCCCGTCCATCCATCTTTCCGTTCGTTCGTTCCATCGTTCGTTCGTCAATCGGTCCGTCAGTCAATTAGACAGACAGGCTGTCAGTCGGGCGGGAAAAGGCAGTCAGGCAGACACTTAATCGTTCAGTCAATGAGTCAGACACTCAGTCAGTCAGTTAGACAGTCAGTCAGTCAGCCACACAGTCCGTCACATAGTCAGTCAGACACTCATTCAGTCAGTCAATCAGTTAATCATTCAGTCAGTCAGACTGTAAGACAGTCAGTCAGGCAATCAGTCGGTCAGTCACCCAGACAGTCAGTCAGTTGTCAGTCGGTCAGTTGCAGTCCGTCAGACAGTTAGTCAGTAAGGCAGTAAGTCAGTCAGTCAGTCAGTCAGTCATTCAGACAATAAGTCAGTCAGTGAGAAAGTCAGACAGTCATGACACTCATTCAGCTAGTCAGACAGTCAGTCAGTCGGTCAGCCACAGTCTGTCACATAGTCAGTCAGACACTCATTCAGTCAGTTAATCAGTTAATCATTCAGTCAGTGAATCAGTTAGTCATTCAGTCAGTCAGACTCCAAGACAATCAGTCAGACTCCAAGACAGTCAGTCAGACTGTAAGACAGTCAGTCAGTCAGGCAATCAGTCGGTCAGTCAGCCAGACAGTCAGTCAGTTGGTCAGTCTGTCAGTTGCAGTCAGTCAGACAGTCAGTCAGTAAGGCAGTAAATCAGTCAGTCAGTCATTCAGACAATAAGTCAGTCAGTGAGAAAGTCAGACAGTCATGACACTCATTCAGCCAGTCAGACAGTCAGTCGGTCAATCAGCCACACAGTCGGTCAGACAGTCAGTCAGTCTGTCAGTCACTCAGACAATTATTTAATCAATCAGAAAGTCAGACAGTCAGTCAGTCAGATAATCGTTCTGTCAGTCAGTTGGTCAGTCAGTCAGTCAGTCAACACTCGTTCAATTAGTCAGTCAGTCAGTCAGTCAGTACGTCAGTCAGACAGTCAGTCGGTCCGTCAGTCAGACAGTCAGTTAATCATTCAGACAATCAGTCTGCCAGACAGTCAGTCAGTTAATCATTCGGACAATCAGTCAGTCAGTCAAACAGCTAGTCAGTCAGACAGTTTATGACTATCAGAACTTAACTCCTAGTCGTTATTCTCAGAATATCAAGCAGTGATCACAACTCTGGCCATGATCGGCAAGTTCTGTATCTTATCCACTTTTCTGACCATCTATGTTTTCACTGCCGAGCTTTTCCCGACAGTTATCAGGTACGTGACAAGTGAATACAACGCCTACCCTTTTCGTGCGATAAATGAAATCTAATTGCAACAAATGAAATAAGCTATTTGTGAAAACTGAAATTTCGTCCCCGCAAGTGTTTTTCTTTGCGATCCGCATTTGCACCAAGTGATTATTCTTTCAGTTTTCTATTTGTTAAAATATAAAATATAAATATATGTTTAGGAACACAGCTGTGGGCGTTTCCTCCATGATGGCCCGTATTGGAGCAATATTGGCACCTTACATAGTTCTACTGGTAAGATATCTGTCATCCGTAACCTTTTAACAACAAGGATAGCAATCCCAAAGTTTCGGGGTTTTAATTGCTAAAATTATATCACCTCTTCCTCTAGGCGGACCTTCCCAATCTTAATAAAAAGCTTCCGCTGGTCATCTTCGGAATACTTGGAGTAACCGCTGGCATAGTGGGTCTATGGCTGCCTGAGACGCTTTTCAGTCCCATGCCCCAAACCGTGGAACAGGCGGAGGCCTGGCCTGAGGACTACAAGATTTATTGCTGCAAGCAGCCTGGGCCCAAGAAATCAAACGCAGGGTCGAAAAAAGTCAACACTGGAGAAGAGGAAGGACAGAAACTCTGCGATGTTGAAAGTCAGGTGTAGTGCAAAGGCACAGAACGTAGTTTGCTTATAAAGAAGTGTCTATCGTACTTTGTGACGTGCAAAATTGCCTCACATATGTAGAAAGGTAAATCCACCGAATGAGAAAAATAAACTGAAAAGGGCAGAGTTCCTTTAAAATGAGCATTTAATGTGTTTTGTGTGAATAAAGTACGTTTGGATTAAGTCTCGCTACCGATGCGATGATTTTATGTCAGGTTAAAGTGCGCTAACTCTGTGGTGATGGCCCAACACGAGAGGAAAACGCCTTGTGCAACCAGCAAGTGCGTTTATTTTTCGTTCAGCAGATAATGAGCTAGAAATCTCTAACCTTCGGGAATGGTTGGACGTGTAAGGCGAAGACATGCGTGAGAGAGGTCTGTGGGGCAAAAATATGGGATCAGCTTGGACTACAACATGGTGTGGGGCTCGGCAGATAGCTTTGGAAGAGGTGGTGAGTGAATCGATCGCGTTTCTATTTTATCGTAATGTATAGTATGCAAATGGTCGTAAAATCGACAAAATCAGATGAACTGCGATGGAAAAAGAAAAAAAAACAAGTAGTCTTTCCATTTTATTTCCCACATGAATTGAAACTCGAAAGAATTGAACTACATCATACACCTAAAATATTCCCTAAATATCGTATGAGGTGACTTATAGCTTTGGATAACCATACAAACATATCATTAAGATTCATTATCATTCAAGATGTGTTAATCTTTCAACTAACTAAACATTATCACCGATGCCACTGTTTTCATATGTTGCGTTAGTAAGCCGGGTATTCTGGTTTCCGAAGCTTTCATCTTGAGACAGTGATGAATTTCCCACTGCGGAATGAAATTGGGTGTTTGCTCGTCTTCTTTGCTTTGAAACTATTCTGTAGAACGACACTAGAACCAGCGCCATTGGAAGGAGAAGAATAAGTGATACCAGCTGCATGACGAGTAAAGCCACATTAAACGAGCTGTTGGCTTTGTGTTGAGTTTCTTGTGACCAATAAATCTTAGGATCTGCAAGAGATTTTTGGGAAAAAAAAGCAAACGTTCCTAGAGGAAAGTTGCGATATTCCTTTACCCTCTGTTGTCATAAACACGCTCTTCTTGACTCTCACGTCGCCTACGTGCGGGGTCATGCACGTCCCTGTTCGTTTCTACTCTCTCTCTCTCTCCAGGGCTCTGAGAAGACTGAACGTTCTTATCGTGGAATGCGAATTAATTTAAAATTTAACGTTCTAGAGGCCGACATCCCTGAGACCTACAGTGTACTCTCTGAACTCTTTTACACAGAAGATCTTAATACGGAAAGGGGTGTATAATCATCTAAAATATTGCGTATAGCAAGACAAATGACAATTTCATTAGAGCCAACTCTTCTTTATAGATATGGCTTATTAAGAACTTTAGATAGTGACGGATCGAGGCTATCTACATGAGCACTCACCAACACATACCGCTCCATTCTTTTCAGAGATGAATCCATCTTTACACGTACAAACTATACGATCATTCGATGAGGAACAAAAATGTTGACAGCCACCGTTGTCCTCTGTACACGAAGGCAAAGCGAGTAGTTCTGTTGCGAAAAAAAAAGGAGAGGAGTTGACCCTCTTTGGAAATAACATTTTCCTTTTACTTTGGAAAGTTATCAAGATATTGTTTTGTTAAGTATTCATTTATTTGGTAATGTCTAAGGCGAGAGTCTTGCATATGAACTCAGCCTTAAACATGCGTGACTGGCTCCATGAAAAGTGCAAGAATAAACAGATCCTGTGATTTGGTTGGATAACCGACTGGGTAAGCTTTCTTGTAGGTATTCATTCCGACTGTTGTCATGGAGATGGGTTATTACTTAAATAGAGAAGTTTACATCTTCACCTTTCTCACAAATAAAAGTTGAACTCCGGGAACAGTTTAAGTCATTCCATTTCACCACACCGTTGCGAACTTCAAGAACATACATCTCTCCACAAAACTCTTCTTGGCGATAATTGTCAGGCTGCCCTGAGTACCAGTCCCGGAATGTCACAGGGGATGCGTCGACCCACAACCACTTCGAAGGATCGGAAGGTGCTCTATGTAAGCCGAGCCAAAAATGCCTGCTGTGCTGTTGCGTAATGACGAATTCTCGAATCAGGAAAGAGTTTTCTCTTGCATTGGAGACTGTGACCAGGTGAGCATTATATTTACTGCAGTTGAAAACAGCAGCGCGCCAGTTGAGGGATGACTTTGGTGATAGGTAACATGACTTCTCGAATCTTTTCCAGTTTTTCGGACAACCTTTTGGAATTATTCGAAGAAAACCGTGATCAATATTCGGAGAGCGTGGGGGTAATAAGTGAGCATCGCAGATAGATGCAACGCTCTTGAGAAACCCAGATTTAAAAGATAAAGGGCTGGTCGTATTGACAGCGTGCTCATATGGCTGGAGAAGCTACTTTATTTCTTACCGATTTCAGTTAAGTCGAACGAAGATTCCTTTTATATTTTGTTAAAATGACTCAATTTATGTCCATGAACGTCTAATCAAATGGAAGGGCCATATTAAAGAAACTTGTTTCTTTCGGAAGCACATTATTGCTTCTTGTTGCTGTTTGCCTTCTTGTTCGACACCTTACTTTCGAAGACCTGAGAATTAGCACGTGTTGCGTTTCTACATTTTGTCAATAAACTCAACCGTCCGCACTTATGCCCCAATGTAGCGGTTCTTTTATATACCTCATGTTTTTGTTGGAATAATAGTAAAATCATTATACCAGCTGTTGAAGAACGTTCGACCTGTTGGAATTAAAAACGTTTCGGATATGCGCCTTCTAACACGACTATGGATCCCAATTTATCTTGTCGGTCCGTCAAATTTAAGAAGGATTTTAAGCTTAATGACACTTAGTTATTCGCGTTCTAGCATCGAGGAAACGATCAAAACTTACAGAAACGACACTCTGTTGACAGGCATTTGCTAAAGTAGACCTTGTTTTAAACAAAAAATATGCATGCGTTTATCAATGACGGGTACCTGTCGACAGGAACATTCCGTTTCTTTACTGATCTCACGTGAAGCAATACGCATAAGCTGAGGTATAAGCAGGTATCTGAATAAAGCAACTTACTTACCTAGTTGCTTGTTTAAGCAAAATATCCCTGCTGCATGCAGTATTATAGCAATTCCAACGATATTCTTAAAATTCATCATGATCTTGTTGTATTTATAGCCTCAGTATTAAAAATGAAGGGATGCGTTCATGACTGCTGTTTTCCTGCGTCGTGGAAGATGCGGCTTTCAAAATTGTTTGTTTTCTGTAAAAATAAAAAATTGGCAAGGGATATCTTATTTTACCCTTTGACAGGTGTTGTATGCCTAATAAGGAATCAGGTAGAGGCAGCTTATTTATCATTCGCTAATGAGGTCGTTAACGTGGTGCATCTGATTAAACGAAATAAGCCTCGTTTACGCCAATCATCTTAAATTTGAAAATGCTTTCTTTCCCCGGTATCGTTTTGATATCGTTTCCAAGAATTGCCCGCACTCTCAACATCACCATGACTGATTTGATAGAGAAACTTTGCATCGGAATCAATTCCGAGTCCCAGTCCTCCGAAGCCGCACCTTTCCCTGCTAGACAGGGTTATGAAGGAAGGCACGGGGAATAACAACAGACACCAGGTCACAAACGTCATATTTCAGCTGAAACAAAGCTAGATATTTGAAATTCATCAAAGCGAAACTTGGCAATTCTTTCCACAGGATTTTCCGCCACTTTTTTCTTGCACTTTTTCACTTTCAAAGTAAAGAGAGCGATATTTTCAAAACATTAATTTGTTGTTTCCCAAGAGGAAGCATTAATTTCATTAAGTAATTTGTTGCAGCTTCCTTATGGAGCAATGCGCAGAGAGCACCTTAGTGCGGGCGCATAATTCCAAGAGTCACGTGCTCAATCATACGATCACCGCACCTCCGCCACTCCCACGTTATAAACGTCATATCAGTTCAAATGTACATAGGGAAGCAGCCTAAGAATTTTTATTTCGCTTTCTCGGACGGTGATGGCGTCGAAATCATGTCTAGTTTTTATTCTTCTCATTTGTTTCGTGTTGAATTCGTTTTCAAAACCGGCTCATGAAGAAAATGGTTTCACATCTTGGGTGATGCGTTTAGAAAGCGACATACGAAACAGAATATTGTCAACTGGTCTTTGTTCAGTTTGTAAACTATTGGCGTTTGTCGCTCAAATTGCGCTCTTAACAAACAAAATCGAGGCGGACGTGGTTTATGAAGGACGTTTGTTATGTAAAGAACTAAAGATAGAGGATTCACGAGTTTGCACCGATGTTATCTCAGAGTTTCGAAACGAAGTATTGACGGTCGCCGACAAAGCGTTTCTCGATCCCATTGAACTTTGTGGAAGTCTGTTAGGTCCTTCGTGCGCTCATGCCAGAGATCTTGGGGAATTTTGGAATTTAACCGTGCCTGGAAATAAGCCGCCTGTTAAACCTGTTCCTCCTCCAAAGGTTGGTTTTTTCTACCTCCAAATTTCTTAAGTTGTGAAATATTTCTCTGTGACGGTTTCAGTTTACACTCTCTTAATTTTGGTTTCGTCGTGATTAAGAATTACGTCTCACAATTTCTATTTCACGCTAAATTTTAATAAAGGTTAGGGGTATGAAAGCCTTAAACTTTTCCCAAACCTTGCCTTTATTTGATTTTGCAAGGCTGAACAGGCAAGTAAATGTTCAAAACAAGTAAACTGATATGTTGGTCATGTGACAAACAAATCTTCGTCTTGTGACTTGATCAGATGCGCCGCTTACGTAAAGCATCGTTCAAAACAAGATTCACCGGTAAAATTTCCGCACAGCCCCATACTATTGTAAAACAAATCTGTTTTCCCAATGGCAATGTATTGTTTTAGTCATTGTTTTCTCTATTCAAGAACTGAATGCTTAATGAAGTATGGGGCTGTGCGGAAATTTTACCGAATCACCTACTTGTAGAAATTTAGCGTTACAAAATTTATTCTGTACTACATACATTAACTATACGACTTCAGGCAACATTAGAAACCCTGAAAGTTTCGTGCCTAAAATGGCCTGACCTCTGAAAACAAAGAGAATTGTCACACTGAAATTAATATCATGGATTTATCATGGATTTATCATGGATTTATAATTAGCAGAGATACCGACCCCTTTGAACAGATATTGTGAAAATTAATTCAATTTTTTGCGAGATTTCATTTAACTGTATACTCAAGACTGAGATTTTAGTCAAATAAGGTCAAAATACATCTTAAAAATTTTGTCTGATGTAACTAAACATGCTATGCAGTGACTGGCATGAGGCTCTAACACATACAGTGTGTGTAGCTTCAAAACCCTGTCTTGCATTGTTTCTCTTTCAAGTAACAAGAGAAGGTTGGCAGTTGGTGGTTATTGAAAGAAGCCACCTTTTATTATGTATTAAATACCAGAGTAAATTTGTGAAGAGAAATCAACTGCTGACCACTCAGGAATGAAATGGTTATTTAAGTCAGAAATGTAATGGGAGAGATTGCTGAGTGAAAGGTTATTGTTTGTTTTTAGCCTGGCTCACCAGTTTCCCGTGTGTTACACTTTTCTGATGTTCATCTTGATCCCTTGTATCAAGAAGGGAGTGACCCTGATTGTGGCGAGCCTCTGTGTTGTCGCAAAAATGATAAGCCTCCAGGTATGTTGTGGTATTTCTTATACTCATGATTGCTACAGCTAAGGTCCAAACAATCTCTTAAAGATGAGATAAGTGAAAGCTGAGTAAGTTTACCATTTCTTATAATATGAAAATCAATTTTACTTGTAGCATAACCTACATGAAATTTAACCCTTTAACTCCCATATCAAATTTGTAATTCTCCTTACTGTCAACCATACAATTCTTTTAATGTTAATTCAGAGAATTTAGTATTGGATCAACTTATTATCCTCAAATTGACATTTTTCTTTATTCTCATCATTTATCTGGTTGATATTGCATTGATATTTTTAGGAGAAATTCTGTCTTGGTCACTCATGGGAGTTAAAGGGATATTATTAATAGTTGATTATGTGATTTGGCACCATTGGTCTCAAAAGGCTTCTTATAATGTAATTTGAGGAAATTCACACATCTGTTCAAAAATGGTAAAATTGAGCCAGAATACAATGGAATTGCCAACTTTGAATGAAAATTTTTGTCTTCTAAAAGTTCTTGTGTTGAAAAAGACCTATGAAACTTAGATTGCAAGATAGTCTGTGATTATGATCACTTTGTTTTGATTACAGCACCTGGGAAGCCCAAAGCAGGAAAATATGGAGACTATCAGTGTGATATTCCTGCAATAACTTTTGAAAGTATGTTGCAGCACATCAGCAGTACACATCAGGTGCAGATATACGGAGTTCTTATTAGTGTTTTATCTGTTTTTTTGCTGGGATGTACATTGTCAGCATGCAGTAAACAATTGCTTCCTTTTTGTGGAAAGAAGGCTTTGATAAAAAGAATGAATTGATATAGTATTTAAATTTTACATTTCATATGTTTGTTCACCTATCTTTGTTGTTGTGCATATTACAGGACATTGATTATGCAATTTGGACAGGAGACATTCCTGCACACAACATTTGGAACCAGTCACGTTCAGATCAGGTGATGTTTACATAATACTTGTTCAGTAATAATAATGATGATGTTGATGATGATGATGAAGAGGTATTACACAAGCTCTATAATAATCCATTGCACAAGGTCAATTATCATCACATGAAATGAGAAAAAATATTGACCATGGATAATAATTATTTTTTGTACAGAAAGAGGCAATTAACTATGCCAGTCAACTTTTAGAGAAATATATGCCAGGAGTGACAATATTTCCTGCTGTTGGCAACCATGAGGGTGCACCAGTGAATAGGTGTGTTAAAAATATATAAATAACTTTTTTTTTTAACTACCAACTTGAAAGGAATTTAGGAATAAAAACTATGCATTTTAGAGTGCACAGGTAAAAGATCGATTTCATCAGTTCAAAAATAATAACTTATTATTACACACAGTTTTTGAAAATGAAAAAAAATTTATTTGTCTCTGGTTCTGTTAGGATTACTTGGTATCAATTCATGACTCTATAGAGTAAAATTTTGAGTGCTTAACCCTTAAAGTCCCAGATCAAATGTGCAATTCTCCTTACTGTTAACCATACAAGTCTTATGTTGGTTCAGGGAATTTAGTATTGGATCAGTTCATTATCTCCAATTTTGATATTTTTCTTTATTCTCATCACTTATCTGGTAGATATTGTATTGATATTGTAAGGAGAAATTTGGTTACTCAAGGGAGTTTAAGGGTTTATTATTCATTGGTTTGTATAATGCTTACAGCTTCCCTCCACCATTTATTACTGGTGATAACTCAAATCAGTGGCTCAGAGATGCTTTAGCTAATGACTGGATCCAATGGCTTCCAAATGATACAATTCCTACAATTCACAAGTGAGTCAATGTCCACACTTTAAACTTTGAAAGAAAAACACTCAAGAGGAAGATGGATACTTTTGCTTAGGATAATAGGAAAGAGAGCAGTTAAGCTATATGGCCAATGTCATAAGAGCTTGGTTAGGTTTTTGTGGCATGAAGTGACTAGGTGTATTGCTACTGCCCTCAGATGAAAGTCCATGAAAAGTTACCCTCCAGAATTTTGTCAAGTTTTCCTGACAGTTCACCTGTACCCATTTACAGGAGGCAGCCAGGATTTTCAAAGAAGGGGTCATACTGTGTCAAACAGAGGGTACTCACCAGATTGTCATGTCGACCTTCACACTCTGTTTTACTTAATGTGACAAAAGAAAAGGCTTACAAAGGGAGGGTCACAGCACCCCATGACCCTTATTCCCCCTTCCCCCCATATTAGCTATGCCCTTTGCAATTTATACTTTTGGGTTGTGAGAGGCAGCAAGTTAGTCAAATATTTTGCCCGAGATCACAACACAACTACCAACCACATAGCCAGGTTTCAAACTCAGATCTCTGGAACCCTAAGCATTTAGAATGTTAAGCAACTAATAAAGCAAAGTGGCAATCTTTATGCAAAGGCAGATACCCTCAAAAGATAGTTTAATCTTGGCAAGGTTAATTACTTTTGCCATGACTGTAATTGCTTCTTATTGTTCTCTACCCATAGAGGAATCTTCTACACAGTCTATCTGTCAAAAGGATTTAGGATAATTTCAATCAACATGAACTACTGTAACAATATGAACTGGTATGTCAACTGTTTATCTGCTCAAACCATGTATTTATGTGTGGTATTTATTTGCTGTGTCATTTGATTTTGTTTCATACACACTCAGTCTTGTATGCCATGCATGAAAGACCTTGTTTTTTGTTATTTTAAATTCTATATTAACCTCTTCTAGGTGGCTTTTAATTGATAACTATGATCCTGCTCATCAACTGAAGTGGTTGATAGACACTCTACAAGAAGCTGAAGACAATGGTGAAAAGGTTGGTTTTATCTTAGAGAGAGAGTTCAGCTTTTAAGATGTGAGTGACATGTACTGCACCACACCTTCTTCTTGTAATAATAATACATCATATTCACCAGTTTATTGATGAGTATTTATGACTTATCAACCAGAGGATGTTATGTTGATTGTCACATGTCTTATTTGTAGATGTTGATGACAACCAGTAGGGTTAAAAGGGACTACTCTGGGGCTTGGAAATAATCTGAAATCCAAGCTGATCTTTTCAGATTGGTTATAATTGTTGATAATGGGTTTAACAAGAATATTTGTAGAATACAAAAATAGGTTAGTAGCGATCTGAAATAAATTATAAAGGTGAGAATCAAAACTCTTGTGATGAGAGCACCATTCAGCTGGGAAAAAATAGATTGGTGTGAATGGAAAAGTTGTGAAGCAACTTTTGAAATTATATTTGTCTGTTTAAATTTTAATTTAACCTTTTAAGCTGTACTTTAACAAGATTTAACAAGCATGCAGATGTCTGCTACTTTGAAGGAGCTGAATAGATATGGGTATAAAGCTGCTTATATGATTTCAGGTTCACATTATTGGCCATATTCCTCCTGGCAGTGGTGACTGTCTGACGCCTTGGAGCTGGAATTACTACAAGATTATAAATCGTTATGAGAGTACAGTCACAGCCCAGTTCTTTGCTCATACACACCTTGATGAGTTTGAAATCTTTTATGATGAAAAGACTAGGAAAAGACCCACAAAGTAAGAGTTATTATTATTACTTTTAAGCAATTGCCTGCCTTTTTTTAAATACATGTAATGGTGCAGAGGAACAAAAGTTTGATAAATACTTGAAAGTATAATGTCCAGAAAAATGTATTAGAAATTGGAGAGGTGTTCATAAATGTTTTACCGGGTGTTGCGGCAAACGAACATCAAGGCTCGATGAAATACCAAGAAAATCGTGACCGGAGAAAAATGCCAACCAAATCCAGGGGATATATTACAGGGACATAACTTTAATCAATCTCGTAAACTGTAAACGAATTAAAAAAGGGACTTATATAATAGATTGTATTCAATTAAACACGTGGCGACTTAACAGCGTAAATGAATCTAACATAATAAAGGAACTAATAAATGAACCAAATGCTACGGCAAACACAAAATATATATACAAATAAGGACGAAAGAGCTTGCTCGAAACGAGATAAACAACAAAAAAGCGAAAACAACTTACATATCAGTCCCTATACGCCGGTGGCTTGAAATAACACTTTATAAATAAACTTTAGATGAACACCGAACATGAACAGGCGATTAATGAAAGCGGGAGAGAAAAACTATTTAAAGGAATCAAATGGCACAAAGGCCAACTGTAACGCAAATGTCACGCAAGTTTGAAAGTCACGCATTTACACCGGGAGTACACCTATGTTTAAATCTAAGGTGATAGAACTGTCAGTAACAAATCACTGCAGACAAGAAACATCTGTTTGTGAACATTTGTCGTTCCTGCTCCAATTGTTGTAACCATGAACATACCAATTCCATCATAAGTAACTGCCAGTCTACCAGTCCTGTGTCTTTATACAGATTTCCCTACCCACCTGCCCCACCATGCTCTGCTGATTAACCCAGATTTCAACTACTGAACTCTGGGCATTCAGGCCAAATTTTTCCAGATATGCAAGCTGTAGTGAAACTCTGTTGGTATGTTTATCAAACCATGACAACAGATATAATGGACATTTCATGGAAGTGTGACTTGAGACAGAGACAGTTAATGGTTGTGCCTGTTTGGCTGATTCATAATATGTTGATTATACTCGACAGCATTGCCTATATTGGACCAAGTGTTACAACTTACCAACAACTTAACCCTGGATACAGGATTTATGAAGTGGATGGTGATTATGTAAACAGTTCTAGGGTAAAATGAACTCTCCATTTTTTATTACTTTTTGTGTGTGTGTGTGCCATAATTAGCACCACCCTGTAAATGAGGTTTCCCCTCCCCCCTTATCAGTCATCATTAAAAGTAAAAGAATCAGTCTGTGTTAAAACATTTAAAGAATGATATGTATGGCCATAAGTTTGGAAAAATTTAACAAGTGCTATCCCTTAATAAGGCACCCACTTCAATAAGCGCTGGCTAGTTACCTAAATCTGAAAGTACTGTACTTCCTGGATTAAGAGCAAATTTTGGCTAAAAGGAGGGGTGCTGATTGGAAAGAGGTTGCTGAGGAGGGTGCTTATTATTCTCTTGTACTGATTCTGCTTTATTTGAAGCTTAAAAAGTGATACATTAAATAAAGTGCCGATAGAAACAGGTTTTCCTTGTAGCTATATTATTTAAGGTGAGAGAAGAGGAGGGGGGGAAACTAATTCAAGAGAGCTGCCAGTTTGTTATAATGACCAAGGGAGTGGGCACCTATTTGGAGGAGGCTGCTTTTCAGGGCGTGGGTGCTTAGTCAGAGAATACGGTATGTACCCTGGGCACCATATGAAAGATTTATTGTGCATATAATGTGTAGGAACTTGAAGTGTTGGTGTTTCTTATGTCTCTACATCAATTAGTTACAGTACTGATGTCCTTAATTTGTATTCCTGGGATTTGCTCTTCCCACTGACCTTGGTTTTTTTTTTGTTTTTTTTCCAAAGGCTATCCTCAACCATGAAACTTACATTTTGGACTTGGTGGAAGCAAACAAGGGGAATGTAAAGTGGAAATTGGAGTATTCTGCCAAGGTATAGTCCCAAGAGAAATTTAAAAAGGTGGTGGTTATTTATTTTGGCGAAGGGGAAATGAATGTATCATCTTGATGGCAACTCTGGTGATTGTAATTATTTTCTGTTTTTTATTTGAAAAGGAGGCATATGGAATGAAATCACTTTTGCCTGAAGATTGGGATGACTTAGTACATCGCATGGCAAGCAATACAACTTTGTTCAATACTTTCTACAAGTAAGTATTGTGGAACAAATCATGAGCTGATTATTCTTCAGTAGTCAAAATTCTTGTTTATATGTTTACTTGCATGTGGGTACAGATGTTTTCAAGGTGCAAACCCAAAAAGGGAGTGGAAAGTTGTTTCCCTTTCAAGAATGTAATTTCTCTACACAGTAATATTGCTGAATCAAAAGGAAATAATGGCCAACCTGAGAAAGTTTGATTGTGAAACAAATTCTCCTTGTCAGTACTAAAGGAAATGTATATAGAAGAGTATAGAGAATATGGATACTGATGTCAGGGTGTAAAGGGTTAAAGAAAAAGTATGCCTGACTGTGTTATTCAAGTTGATTGTTTGATGTTAAAGTGCTTTAGCAGTGCCATTCCTCTCTAAAGTCTCTGCTTAGGATCCTTATAAGTGATTTATATTCTGAACTTTTGTTAATATTTTTTAATATTTGTTTAGATATTACACAAAATCTTCACGAAACGATTCATGCGATGATAGTTGTCGTAAGTACACGCTCTGCCGCATGATGAGTGGACGTTCCCATGATGACAGTGCCTGCACCCTTAACACAGCTCTAACACAAGAGGAGAAACATTTCTTTGATCAATCTCTGGATTTTTGCTGAAGTTGGAATCTCCCTAAAAATTATTTGGCATTACAAATAAAAGGATAAGATGAACTTATTAATTTAAGTGTATAAAAAATGCAGATAACATGGTACTATTTAGCTTAATTAATTGTGAATTAATTATTTATATTACAATTGTTCTTTCATTGGCTATGTGAAGTTGTGCTTTTATTTTGAAAGTTTTCAGTTTCTAGTTGCACTCTCTTGATCCAAATGATAATAGAAAAAAGATATAGTAACATTTGAAACTCGTCATCTTTTAATATGAGGGCGATTTTGTATAGAGAGCTCATTAAAGGTATTTAAAGCATAAATGAACCATGGCTAGTTGAACCCAGTCAACTACAAATGTGAACCATTTTTTACATAGTGTTATTAAACGTTTCTTATTCATTCATATGTCAAAATGAAAATAAATGAATTTTTCTTGGTTAAATGTGTCATGATCAATCCCTCAAGGTATGCAATTAGTATTAAAGTAATAAGATGTTTGTTTGAGTGAAAAATAAAGGGGTGCAAGACCTTTCTTTAATCTAAAGGAGCTGCAGTTTGATGAAGCATATATTGATTGAATGTTACTGGAATGTTTCTTGTGTTGTTGTCTCTTTGGTTTAAATCACATGATATAAGATGCTGCAAAAATGTTTTGTCAAGAGTTAAACAGCATGTTATGTAGCACATGTTCTATATTTAAACCTCTTCACTATAAAGGAGAGTGACCATTGAAGAAAATGGGAAGGGAAGGGAGTAATATGACAGATTTTTTTCAAAGGCTGGAACATTTTTACAAAAAAGAACAGCCTTTTCTCTAAAAGCAGCATCAGCCTTGTGAGGGGGTGAAATGAAACAAACAACTCAAGAAGTAGCTATTCAGGAAAGACTTACATTATAACAGCTTGACCAGTGAAACATGGGGTAAATCAATTTACTGAGTCAGGAGAAATTATAGTGCTACAACTTGCTTGTCAGTCAGTGGGACATTGCTTTGTTGATACAGAATATAGTCAGTCAGTAATTAAACAGCCACTAACTCAGTCATTTAGGCAGTTTGTGACCCACTATATCTGCAAGTCATTCAGTCTGCCAGTCAGTCAGTCACTTGGTCACCCAGTCTATCAAGTGCTCAGGTAGGCAGTCTCTTTGTCAGTCAGACAGTGAGTCAGTCACTCAGTCAGACGCTCAGTCCCTCACCTTGTCACTCAGTCGGTAGGCAAGGGGCAACTCTACCCCAGTCCGCTCTCCTCCTTCCCTTCCACTTCAAGGTTTCGGATTCCTCACGACGAGATCATGTAACAGTTGTGAGGATTTTGCACAGCTGTGTGGATTTTGCACTGTTCTTTTGGCTATGAGGCACATATTTGATATTTTCGTCATTGAAAATGAACGATCAACTCTCTCTTAAAGCTTTGCATATCATTTTGGTTGGAGAGCACTTGAGGAGCCGGTTGCACAGCGAGCAAGAGCCTCCAATGATTCGAGACAGGCGATATCACCTCCGTATGTATCCTTGCTGTTTTATAGGTCGAGACGTTGTTGACTGGTTGATGAAAAATAGCGACGCTAACAGCCGTGCAGGAGCTGTACAATGCATGGATATTCTTTTGGAAAATGGAGTAATTCATCACGGTAGGTCTAAAAAAAAACTGCCTCAGTACGCTCAAGCGCACCAGCCCATGACGAATTGATAATTAAAGGTTAAGCTGCTAATTAATCCTATACTTTCACACAATACATTTTCTACAACAACACAGTACTTGTACTTACATTATTTATTGCATTTTGTCTGAGGGAAGAATCTATTCATGCTATTATCAGTGTTAGCGATTAGTTAGGGCGGCTGTAAACGCTCTCTGTTAATAGAGAAAGCTCTTTAGTGACGTATCGCGCTGAGTGGCTTAAATCCAGCTATCTGCCAGAACAATGCAACGAGTTTCGGATGAGCGTCTTTTTCAATGTTTTCACCTTTGCATAATTTCATACAAAGTCGTTATGGAACAGGAGGTTTGCTGTTTTTACCATATCTTGGTTGGTTAACGCTCTATGTATTTATAGAGCACTTCAGCTAAACTTAAGTCTGACTTAATTGATTTGCCTGACACAAGCCTGGCTCCGGTTGTCATTTTGTCATTTGGCGGTAACGTTCGTGTTGAACTTAATCTTTGCCAAGTAGCAATTTGACATGATATTTACTAATACTGCATTCACAAGGTTGGTTAAGATTCTGCAACGATCATCTTTAAGAGGGTTCCAATCGAGTTCACCGTTTAGTCGTAAAAAGCGACAAATTTCAACCATTAGTCGTAAAAAAAACATTATAACTGTTAAAAATTTTTCTTTTTATCACAAAGTAATGAAGTCTGTTCAGTAATAGATCGCAGAAGACATCAAAATGTGGAAATTGGAATAAACACTTGGCTGCGTCTCATGCACCACTTTCTTGTTCTTACCACATTTTCAGGTTATCTATGATAATTATTTTACTGAAGAGACCCACGGCAATATGTAATCTAGTTGGTTAACACTTGACGGGTGGATTTGGGGCACTAAGTTCTCATGTCTTTCGACACTACTTCAACGACGCTGACCACCAACCAACAATTATTGTCTCCTGCAGTCTTAATAAGATTTTACTTTTAAAGACTCTTCTATCATCCGACACCTCTCCTTTTTTTTCTTCTTTCTTTGACAGTTGTCGATGACCATCACTTCAAAGATGAGATGTTGTTTTACAGATTTCGAAGAGATGACAATACAGTTGTGAAAAACTCTGACCTTGATGTAATATATAAGGGTTGTGATATTTACTACAGGTGAATTTAAGGAAGGAAGTCTCATTTATTTTTATGCTTATCATTTCAATTTGCCAACAACTCAGGTCTCTGATTTTCTGAGTCTCGTGGTAACTGACTCATTACTTCTTTTTCTGTTGCAGGGCAAAGAACGAGGACAGCCATTTAATCAAGTTACGCCCTTGTCATGACTTTGTCTTTAGGAACTGTTTCACAGGATATGAGCTGGTAGACTGGTTAATACAAAAGAGTGAAGTTCCTGACAGAGCACGTGGAGTTGTACTTGGAAGAGAGCTGTTAGACCAGGGAATTATAAAGCATGGTACTTTAAAAAGACCCAGAATGCTAGCAGTTCATTAAGAACTTGAGACAAAATGTACATTTTAGGCCTTTGATCCTTTTGACTACGCTGTAGCATCTAATTTCTCCTTACAATATCACCCCTGAATCAACAATTAAGGTCAGGAGAATAAGGGAAATGATCACCAACTAAAGAAGCTCCTGATTTATAAACAAATTTACTTTGTCAGTACCACCAACAACAACAGCAACAACAAACTTTATTTATTTTAGCAATTAAAATACATATCTAACAATCCCTAAGGGTAGTCTGTGACACATACAACTCTAAGAGGGTCCAGGATTATGAAAAGAGAAGGGCTCAATGTAGAGCTGAACAGAGGAAAACTGTGGATATACCCATGTTCGGGCTATAGGCGTATTATTATTAACAATCCCTACCCAGAAAATAGAAAAGCTGATCGAGGTGGGAGAGAAACTAAAACAAACATTAAAATTAATTCTTCAATAACAAGTTTGACTGAACAGAGGAAATGACTAGGAGAGCATGCATATACATGAACAATGAGAAACAGTACAATACATTATAGATAAGCCAATTAGGTATTACATATTACAACTGGAATAAAATTACATGCAAAAAACAACAACAACAACAAATGAAACCAAAAAGATTTTAATTTTCTAAATTTATCAATTAAAGTATGGACGTCAACTAAGTATCCTCTTATATCAAAATGTTCAGCAACTGTTTATGCAATAGTCTTTTAAATTTTATATTTAGGGAATGTATAGAGAACATTATGGAGAATATGCATGCTAATGATAGGATGTAAAGGGTTAAATTGCTAAGTTGGTAGCCTGTGTTTGGTGGTTATATAGCACTGAGGCTGTAATGTTTTTATTACTTAGTGTTTGCATGTTGTATGTGATCTTAAGTTAAAGTGGGATATGTAAATATTGTACAGAGTGACCAGCATCTCATTTCTCAGTACATTAATACTGCTCAATCATTCATTAAGATCACAAAAATAGAGGAAATGATCATCAACCTAAGAAGCTACAATTATGAAACAAATTCTCCTTGTCAGTACCAAAGGAAATGTATAGAGAGCAGTTTGGAGAATATGGATACTGAGGTTTGGGTTTAAAAGGATTAATTGCCTCTTTGGAAAAAGAGTGAGCTTTTTGCCTGTTTAGAGAGTCCTTTGCTTCCTTTGCAGGGCAACCTATAAACTTTAGTATTCTTTCTCTTTCAGTTACAGATGAATTTCACTTCCGTGATGAAAATATCTTTTATCAGTTTATGATTGACAAAGTAGTAAACAAGAAAATGGTGGATGCACTGGGAATTGTTGATAATAAGCAGCCAGGCTCACCAAGAAATTTCAGGCGGAGGAATCTACCTCCTCTGAACACACAAAGGTCCAGCCCAGTTCCTTTTGCAAAAGAAAGACCAGAATTGGATGAACAATTTGGTGAGGAGAAGGAAATAATTCTGTTAGGGTAACTGTTGAACCTAGACATTTCTTCTAATTTTCAGTTCCTTTGTAGCAGAGTTGTCCAAAGTAATGAAATAAATGTTTGAATGAGGGAAGGGTGCATTTTCCCACTCCAGTTTAACAACTATGTCACTGTTGCACTGGTATTTGGGGGTTGTTTTGTTTTTTTTAAACATATTTGCTCTACCATCTAGAATTGATTGGCTCAGGTTCTTAAAGTTTTGGTAGGGTTGGTTTTTCTTTGAAGTTACTTATTCAGTTTTAGACAAACATGATATAAATATCCTAAAAATTTTTCCTGAATTGTTTAACCTTACAAGTAACTTTAACTAATTGCAGATTATGAAAGATCTCCAGAAAGTCCAGTTTTTTTCCCCTCAAGTGGTAGTTCAAGCCAGTCACCCAGACCAGGTACAGGATGTGACTGGACAGTTAAACCCTTTAACTCCCAGAAGTGATTAACATGTAACTTCTCCCTATAATATCCACACATTATCCAGCCAACATGTAATGAGGATATTCAAATTTATCAAGTAGAGGTTGGTGGTTCTGATCTATCACTAAATTCATGTGACTTATTTACAAGGAAATGTGTAGCAGCTAGAAGGGAGAATTGATGATCAGATCCTGGGTTGAGAGAACACCAAACTAAGGGATGTGACCTATGCATTAATTTTGTATTGTACTTTTGTTCACCAGCACAAATGTTACTCAGACATAGCCTTATTTAAGGTATTAATTAATGTTGTGTTTGCTTTTCTCTCTCTCTTCATTTTTATTAGTTATTGTCAGAGAAATTACTACAGGAGAGTTAATGGATCCAAATGGACCTTATGTCATGAAAAATATAAGTGTAAGTACTCCTTCCCTTCTCAAAGTGCAGAATAGAAAAATGTATTTTGTTGGCCAATTAATACTTGTAGAACATGGAGCAACCTCAGTTTCTCAGCAACTACTCAACAACCCCTCCCCTAACCTAACAACAATCAACTGATAACAAGTCAGGGTTAATGTTGGGATAGGGGAGGGGTAGGTGTGTAGTTGCTCAGATACTAATATTGATCCCAGAGCAGCAAGCGTTTTCTTTTTGCATTATAGGTTAAGAGTGATGCAGTTGGTTTTGGATTTGTTGTGCGGGGGTCTAGTCCTGTCTATGTCCAAACAGTTGATCCTAAAGGTCCTGGTGCCACTGCTGGGTTAAAGGTCAGAACAGTATGACTTGTTTGTCCTTGTAATATCTTTCCATCCCCTGCCCCTTCCTTTGTTCTGTGTGAGATGTCCATCTTTTCTATTTACACTGGTCACAACTGAACATGACTTAAATCAGGTTGTTTTGTCCAGAACCTGTCTCTGCTTTTGTTGTAAAAAGTATAAGGAGTGTTGCTGTTGGGGTCAATGTCAGTATCTAAGCAACTGGACACCTGACCCTTCCTTAACCCAGTAACAGTCAACTGATAATAAGTGCAGTTTCATGTTTGGTTAGGAAAGGGTATGTGTTTTTGCGCTGAACTTTCATTTTATTATAATTATTAATTGCAAGTGCTGCTTATAATGATGCATGGGGTGGGGCACTCCACTTAAATTTATATATTGCAATAATTATCACAGCGATTGTTGTGTAAAAAGTTTAATTAAAGACATGTTATCTGGTTCAGTTGTTTAGTTCAGTTTCAACCAAGCTAACCAACTTATTGTAATTGTTAACCAGTTATTTGCCACAATGTACTTCAATTATGGAGGCAGTGAAAAGTAACTTCTCAGATGACTTCCAGGTTTTATTTAAGTTAAATTTCAGTTTGTTTTGAACACTCGGGTGACCCAGTGCTAAAGTAGTTTCTTTGTCTTTTAGATTGAATTTTGTCATTAAATTGAATATGGTTCTTCCTCTGTATTGGCTCTGTGGTCCTCTATTCAATGCAACAATAGCTGTGCAGTTGCTCAGATCCTGGCTTAATCTACTGCTCCTTCTGAATGTGATGCTAGTCCATCTCAGGTCACCCCTCCCCCTCCCCTCCTCCCTCCCCCAGGCAACCCATCAAGTCTCCCTTGCTATTTGGGAGTACACATTTGTAATCCTGGGAGGAGGTGCACATTTTAGAGTAAAGTTCTCTTCTTGTCCAAGATCCAGAGCTCCAAGCTGAACTTATTTCAAAGTCACCATTTGGTAATCTTAATAAATCATAAAAGGTTGAAAATGGAAAAGAATATGATCTGAAATGTTACACTATGCGTTATGCAGTTGTTTATCTCACTTTCACTTTGGACAATGAGCACTTTAAGTAATTGTGATGTTTTACTTTGCTATACAACTGCTGAACACAGATAGCCAATTGTTCACTTATGCAGAGAATTTAGTTCAAATTTTTTCTTTTTTTCTCACCTTGGGAACCACAAGACACCCAGTAATGCCTTTAAAATAGGACTTGGCCTCTCAATTCATTGCTGAGGGTTTTAACAACTGTTTTTTCCAACCTTGCTAAGAATGATTGTGTAACACTTTGATTATATGAAGACTTTCCTCTTGTAGGTACGAATGTTTTTAAAATCAGTAAATGGCAAAGATGTCCTCTATTGGAACCACAGACAAGTGTCTCAGGAGATTCTGAGAGGGCACAATATTGTGCACTTAGTTGTTATGACCCATTTTAAGGGTGTGGAGTAGGTCCTTTTGACCTGACACCACAAGCCTGCCAGCATGCTCTCATTGTTAGTGCTTCAGTAAGGGTGTTTCTTCGCCTTTGAGCAATGCTTGCCTGCGAGAGGTCTGGGCCTAGCTGTTTGAAGTCCAATCAGCACTACTCCAGGGTTAGATTTTAATCTGGGTTTCTTTATTCCTTTGTTCAAAAGCCTTTTTTGGATAATTTTCTCTATCCTTTTCAGGGCATCCATGAATCAATAAATTGTAGACCAAAGGAATGTTTCTGAGTTTTCTGATAAAGCTTTCAAATCTAAAATCAGATTTCACACTACCAACTCCTGGGTTTTCTTAACCCAGCTTTGAACAACCTGGCCCAAATATTTTGTGCCAGACCACTTGCAGACCTGTGGCCTACTTGCTTTATTCAAGGCCTTAACCCTTTATTTCCCAAGATCTCATTAGTAATTCTCCTAACTGTCTGCCATATAGTTCTTGTGATGTTAGGTTGGAGAAGTTGGTATTGGATAAACTTATAATCCCCTAACTGGTATTTTTCTTTATTCTTATCACTTGTCTGCTTGATATTGTAAGGAGATATTCTGTCTTGGTCATTCATGGGAGTTAACCCTTCAAGTCATACTAGTGACCTAGACAGAATTTCTCCTTACACTATCAATATGATATCAAGCAGACAAGTAATGAGAATAAAGAAAAATATCACTTGGGGGATTATTCGTTGATCCAATTCTAAATTCTCCAAACTAACATCACATAAATTGTATGGCAGACAGTAAGGAGAATTACTAATGAAATCTTGGGAGTCAAAGGGTTAAACTTACTTGCTGCAGCACTAATGATGAAGGCCCAATTAAAGGCTATGACACCAGCCCCTATCACAATGAAGAGAAACAGCTGCAATTATTGATCGCTGAAATTAAGAGTTTCTTTCAAATGCAATGGACTGAATCAGTTTTATTTAATAAATGTGATGTTGATGTGATTGTTACCTAATAGATATCACAACTCATAACTTCTTAAATTAAGAATTTCTTTCAAATGCAATGGACTGAATCAGTTTTATTTAATAGATGTGATGTTGATGTGATTGTTATCTGATCAATATCACAACTCTTAACTTGTTAATAGTAATTTTGATATAATCAACATCAGATGATTAATTTATGAAAATAAGAAATCTATTACATTTATATGAAAACTTTAAGGATATTTTTTTTATCAAAAATGCTTATTATAATTGTATTTATAAATGTTACCATAAATGGAAACAAATGGTAATAAACAAGAATTAACAAGTTTATTGAATCATTATCTCTAGTGAGTTAGCTTGGGTAATTCCAGTGTAATTGAGATAGGTGGAGGGGGGCAGGAGAAAATAAAGGGGTGGGAGTTGTTTATCACTGGGATTAATCAGTCAAAAAACATCTAGGGACCGACATACTTTGGGATCTATTGGGTGGGAGTTGGGAGGCAAAGGGGTACAAAAGTACAGGAGACGGGAGAACGTGGTACGGGGAGCGGGAGATTCTGACCCCTTGTCCACCCCCCTACGTATGTATAGTTTGATCCATGTCATAATCATTTCTAATCTTAGTTTACTGGAAATAGAAACTCTCCACTTTTCACCCCAGCCTTTAAATTATCTAGTGGGGTTGAGAGCAGTTTCTTCTATACAGCCTCTGTGTAGTTTTTGGCACATGACAATCAATACGAGTAGTAATAATCATATTTGGTGGGTTTGTGACATCTAATGCCGCAGCTTTTTTAAAACCATTCTGTTATGACACTGTAAGATTATCATGGTTCTGTAGACTTCATGATTCTAAGTTCCTAAGTAGAAATAGAACTGGTTGTTTCGGATGACAGTGGCTAGCATAGAACCATAACGTCAGACACTTAATATAAATTGTAATGCTCCTGTTGTTAATGATTAACTCTTGCACTTAGGCAAACACACCATGAGTTCATCACAGAGTTCTCAAGTGTACTGTATCTGGAGGCGACCACTCCAGACTGCACTGTTTAGTTCTTTGTAACAGCTGCAGTGGCGGCAAATGAAGATGCGATTGCCAATCTCGGCCTCCTCCGCATAAGAAAAAGACCTAGAAAGATCCAGAGACAGACTACGAGAAGCTGTATTCGAAGCTAATGTTCAACGCCATGAACGAGTCAGAAAGTCTTTCCAGGCACTGCAAACGCAGAACGAGGATCTGACAGCTGATTTATTGGGAAAAAATCGAGAAATCGAGGAGCTGAACAGCGGCGGCCAGGAAATATGCCGACCTTGTGAAAACCAAGGAAAAAGTGATCGAAGATCTTAAGAAATCCCTGGTCGAGGCAGAAACTCACATTTCGGTAACGCAGGGGAGATACGTAGTTTGCAAGCTACTAATGCAGTAGCAGTAGATGAGGAACATGGGAAGCAGAAAACCCATCGCTACGGCAGAGTGCTTGCCATCCTCCAAGAAGAACAATGCAGAATGGCCAACGCCTTTCGGCTGGCGAGATGCCCCCGCAGCACCGTCAGGGACTTCGTCGAAATCGCTGAGTTAAAGACTGTCGATGCCAAGGAGAATCAACTACCACACTGGTTCAGTGAAACAACTAGTACAGGCATGTCGCATAGGTTTGCGACGTTATCTACCGATGATGACTGCCATGCGGAGGAAAGAAGAGTACTCCCACTGACGTTGAATCCGCGCCTCCACGAGCAGGAATGTCATCCGACTCAGAAATGAAAAAAAATAAGACGGCTTCTTTATGGTGCCACCAGCTTTAAAAGGGTTTCGGAGGCAGGGCATTTCGGGGATTGGGAATTAGAAAACCTTTTTAATATGGCTAATAAATGAAATCGAACCAATTTGGCCAAGTTTCGCCAACCAACGCAAAAAAGTGAGCAAAAGCCGTAGTAGCTATTGAGAGCACAGGTATCTTTTTGAAATGACTTTTCCCCTGTTTATGTAGTTTTAGAAGCAATAGGTAAGTAAATATGTTTACGATAATTTCAGTTTACGACCCACCTACAGGTTACCGACTGAGGTTGCCAACAGGTCGCCGACTGTCGGCCGACTGTTGGCCGTCAGTAGGCCAAAACTTTGGCCTGAAACATAACGAAAGCTGTCAGTCGACAGACGGCTAACAATCAGCCAACAGACGGCCGACAATATCTTTCGGGAACTGTTCTTCACTTTTACCCTTTCAAGAGCTCTTTTGGTCAGCACAACTTTTAGTTACCAATGGGTCACCAACAGGTTGCCAACAAGTCGCCCTCTGTCAGCCAACTGGTGGCTGACAGTAGGCCAAAACCTTGGCCTGAAACATAATGAAAGCTGTCGGTTGACAGTTGGCCAACAGTTAGCCAACGGTCAGCTGGCAATATCTCTCGGGACCTGTTTTTCACTTTTATCCTTTCAAGAGCTCATTTGGTCTGCACAACTTTTAGTCCAAAATTGAACACTAGTTTCTAAAAATGGACACTAGTGTCTAAAATTGCATGCTAACGTCTAAAATCAGGCACTATTGTAAACAATTGTACACTAGAGCCTAAAATAGCACATTAGTGTCTAGAATCTGACACTAGTGTCTAAAAGAGAACACTAGTCTAGAATCTGACATTAGTGTCTAAAATAGAACACTAGTCTAGAATCTGACACTAGTGTCTAAAACAGAAATGTCTAGAAATTGAAACTAGTGTCTAGAATCTGACACTAGAGTCTAAAATAGTACAACAGAGTCTAGAATCTGACCCTAATATCTAAAATAGAACTGACTAGTATCTAGAATCTGACACTAGTATCTAAATAAGAACGCTGGGCCCTAGAATCTGACACAAGTGTCGTGAATAGAACAATAGAGCCTAAAATCTGACACTAGTGTCCAAAAATAGAATAGTAGTGTCTAGAATCTGACACTGGTGTCTAAAATAGAAAAATAGTGTCTAGAATAGGACACTAATATCTGACATAGAACACTAGTGTCTAGAACCTAACAATAGTGTCTAAAATAGTGGTTACAGTGCTGTATTCTTTGAAAAAACAGATTACAGATTTGCAAGAATTTAGGATGGGGCTCCTGAAATTTCTTAATTTTAGTTCTATAATACATATTTTCATATCATGTAATCTGCTTTAACTTGTCATGAGCACTTACACTGAAAAAGCATGGAAATTTTTAACACAGTGAAAAGAAAAGTCAGAAAAGTCAGCACATAAATGGTATGCTGAGGTTTATTAATTCTTACCTGTAGTTACCAGAAGTAGAGTTACACAGACTAAAGACACAAACTTATGTACTTGCTAAAGCATCTTTGACAAGTCTTGCCAGTCACTGAAATATCTCTGAAAGTATTTTGGGAATAGTAATCTCCAATAGCTGTTTTGCATTTTTTGGAAAATGTTTCTGATAACTGGAATAAAATAAATTCATGAATCACTTGCAATAGCATCTGCTGTTGTGCATATAACAATACAGACTGTTAAAATATCTGGGGATTTCAAGTCACAAATTAAATTAAATAAACCCAATGAGCCTTGCAGTGAAATAAAAAAATTGCACACAGGTGAAATGATAAATAATCCAATAAGTTAAATCAAATTATATTATTTGTTTTGCAAGCCAATTATTATCATTATAGAGAAAACAAGTTCAACTGCTATTCCAAAACTGAATGATAATTAGCTGTTTTCAGAGTCTAGTGGATGGGAATTTTTAACTGTGCATGAATACAGTTATCATTCAATCAAACATTCATTAGAGTTTGCATCCACATATTCATTCAGTTTCCTCTTTCAGTTTACTGAGTAAAGAAGCTCTTCATCTTTGACACCAGCCCTCAAATTATCCAATGAAGTCGAACAGCGTAGTTGTAGAACACTGGTTGTCAAATATGCAATATGAGGGGTAATAATTACGTTTGACATGTTTAATAGTGGGTGATCCCTTGGAAGAACTGGTGGGTCTGTGACATCTAATGCTGCAGCTTTTATAACACCCTTCTGTAATGCCACAGTAAGATCATCATGATTGACAGTTTCTCCACGACCTACATTTATAAGTGTTGCCGTAGACTTCATAATACTAAGTTCCTCTGCCGAAATGAAATTGGTTGTTTCAGGGGTCAATGGTAAGCTCAGAACAACAAAGTCAGATGCTGTCAAGAGCTCCTTTAATTCCAAACAGAATGTAGCACCTGAATTTTATGGAGAAAAGAAACAAAAATAAGTAAGAAATACCATAGTGTACCCATCTTGTGATGATGTTCCTCAATTGGGGTTTATGACAATATGTAGGTTATATTGAGGCCTGTTACTACATATAGCCTCTATCTCCACTATAAGACATGGAGTAAGAAGCCAAAAAAATAACAATTCAGGCTTACATTGTAAATGAGGTTTAAACCCTACTTACAATTACAGAAACCGTAACTTCTCACAAAAATTCAAATTCAAGTAAACAAGAAATTTAGGGATATGGCTATTTTTTCTCAAGGACCCTTCCCACTATCACTCAGTTTAATTCACTCACCCACCTCATCACTCACCTCATCACCCCCCTCAGGTGGGGGGGGGGGTTTCTTGTGGGATCAAAAATTACCTCCTAGATATAAAAAGGTGACTGATTTTAGACAATACTTTTGAGGAATATCACCATTGAGACCCCACAGCCACAATTGTGTGAACTTGGCTTAGTTTAAGTTATTGTAGACTATTTGAGAGTACAAGTTACTCTGAAAATCATCTTGATCCACATCAATTGTTACCTGAATGTATTTCCAGCTCTTCTTTCCTTGTCAGACAATGATATAAAATGTTCATTTTGAATCCTTTAGCTCTCTCAGCGATTGCTCTTCCAATGTTCCCAAAACCAACAAGGCCAAGAGTTGAACCAGTCACTTGTGATGGAGGAATCCAGCGAGAAATATTCTAGTAAAATAAAGTTAGCTTCTTATTAATTATTCTATTGTAATACTTAGGGATCACTTTCATACCAAGTATCTGAAATTACCTTATAGACTCCTCTTTATGTAACAGACACTCAAAAACTCAATGATCTCGTTAAAAATGAACTCCTCCCCCCCATCTGACATCAGATTAGACTTCAAACAAAAAATGCCACACAGGTTATTTAGCTGTATATCATACATCTGTTTCAGGAGAGACTCGTGACTCTGCATCAATCTGCTCTTCAAATACTAGTCCCACAAGAATGACCATTCATCGCTACATGCAAACTGAACAGTTTCAAGTGCTTGACTTACAAATCCACCCAGTTTAAATAATTCCTCTTCTTCTACACATTTTGGGAAAAATTACACCAATCAATACAGTTTTGGAAATAATCCAGAAATTTCCGTCAACACTCGGAAGTCTTTCGGAAATTTCTGTAATCCGTCGGAGTCTTTTCGAGATGGAGGATACAATCTTACCGCTGATTGTGCTGCATCAGACGACTTTGCTACTTCGTTTGCTTGTAAAATTGACCTCGCAGATGCCAACAGCAAACCGAGAGAAAACTCTGCGACGGAATCGCTGTTAAAATAGCCCGGAACATGACCTACACGAATTCCACGTGCGGTAGCTTCCTCTACATCAATGTGATCCACACCTGCGCTTGGAGTACTGATCACTTTTAAATTCGGCAGCAGGTCCATAATTTCTCTGTTCACTCTAATTTTTGAACGTCTAAATCCATGGTTACAAATTATTCCTTTCACTTTTTCCCGCTCGTTTTGGCTCAGATCGACGACTTTCACTCCGTGGATGAGAATAAAATCGTCCTTAAATGAACGCTCGGCAAGTTCTAACATCATAGGCAATGGAGAAGTCGAAGGAACCAAACACAACACAAGTGGACGTGAAGACATCGTAAAAGATTTCCAAAGATTGTAAAAGGCCAGCACTGTGATTATATTGAAAAGTAATATGAAAGGGCTCCGTTAACGTAAAAAACGTTAAAAATTACACCCCGTCTGCAGGTTACAACCTATGACTAATAAGTGTGCGTGACACCACCCGTGACGAAAAACAAAAACATAGGCGTGCTATACATGCAAGAGTTATTTTTTGTGGAGTGGGTGGATTACTTGAAACATTGTAAGTGATGTCTACATTCTTACAAAAGGAAAGAAGAGTATTAACGCCGAAAAGAACGAAAATGTCGAATTAACTCACACACAGGTATTTTGTGGTAGATTATGTGTGTTATGCAAATAACTGTAACCAAGAATAACCTGTATTGGTGCCACGGATACCTGTTCGTACAAAATGCAGACAGCAGACTGCTCAGCAACATACCACTTTCTGTGCACTAACATAGATGTTAATTAAAAATAAAAAATTTAAAAAAAAGAAAATGAAGCAAAACAATGATCTCTGACGATCGAAAGTTTAGAACAAACGGAATCCAAGATCCGGGCTTGAAAAATGGATAAAACTGCGTTCCTATGCAATCCACTTGTCCGGTGGCATCCAGTTTGATCTAACATGAAATGAATGTGGTTCTTTGTATTGTCCGTGAAAGATGTATAACGCACCGATCCCAGCACACTACCTCAGGGAAGTGCTTGGCTCGTGACGCCACATGGGGAGTCTGTACCGGTCCATCCTTTAAGTTAGTGCCATCTCGTATTTGTCATCACCTTTTTTCTTTAAGACTTCAACTTTCCTGCACGACTTCAATTTTTTTTTACGACTTCAACTTTTTTTTACGACTTTAACTTTAATGCACGACTTCAACTTTCTGCACTCAATTGCTAGAAAATGAATCAGTTTTCAATCGAGGATAAAATATTTGCGTTGACTTGAGTTAAGCCAGTTCTCTTTATCGCCAATGTGGTGAGAAGAAATAAATTCAGACATGGCCAACGCGCTCGTCCACATCTGCATGATTGGCTCATTTTCTTGCTTAAACCTGTTCCTACAGACTATAATAATCGCTTGGCTTTGTTTCTATTTGAACCGTCACAAAACTGCTTTACTGTTAACGTCTCCACCAAAGCCTATTGCACATAAAATTAGGACAAAATGACATTCAATCTTAAGGTAAACATTTGTAGGCACTGTTGAATAACAGACCAGAGAAAGTAATCCAGAAAGTTAAAGTCGTCTTGGAAAGTTAAATTCGTGCAAGAAAGTTGAAGTCGTGCAGGAAAGATGAAGTCGTGAAAATTCAAATATGATGATTCGACAATTGAAATAAGAGATGGCAGTAACTAGGCTCCGTGGTCTTTACCTTTATTCTCAATTGAATGTCTCTCAATAGAATTTCAAGAAACTTGTAGGAAGATTTGATTGACAAGCGGGGGACTGGTTCAAGTTAGAATCGATAACAAATCGATACTAGCACTAACGATTGATATGTTAGCAATATTTGATTAGTTCATCTTTGCTTAACAAGCGGGAGACTGATTCAAGTTAAAATCGATAAAAAATCGATACTAGCACTAACGATGGAGTTTTATCATCAGCGATAGTTATTTTAGCACTAACGATTGAGTTTTATCATCAGAATAGATAATTTTTAAGACTGACGATTGAGTTTTATCACAGATAGCTATTGATACTTTAGCACTAACGATTGATTTTTTATCAAAATAATACAGCGATTGATATTTTTTGAACACAACCTGCACAAAAAGATCGAGTTTTGGTTTACCGCTTCAGCGATTGATATTTTAATGCTCTCAATAGAATTTCACGATTGAGTTTTATCGATAACAAATCGATACTAGCACTAACGATTGATATGTTAGCAATATTTGATTAGTTCATCTTTGCTTAACAAGCGGGAGACTGATTCAAGTTAAAATCGATAAAAAATCGATACTAGCACTAACGATGGAGTTTTATCATCAGCGATAGATACTTTAGCACTGACGATTGAGTTTTATCACTAGCTATTGATACTTTAGCCAATTCAGTTGATATTTTTTATCGCTGGCAATTCAAATTTTTGGCACAAATGGCTCCCTATTGCACAATTGCAACAATCCTATATAAAGTATACCACTGCTTTTTTAATTTCTTAAATATCTCTCAGCTACAGCCCTATGTTGTAAATGGTTACAATGATTTTCAATGACGAAATGTAAAAAATTCACAAGATCAACATCAATGATAACAAAGCGATTATCTAAGTCCTTAGATAGGTGTTTAAAATAGCATGCTAATGTCTAAAATCAGACACTATTATAAACAATTTTACGCTAGTGTCTAGAAATAAAACACTAGTGTTTAGAATCTGACACTATTGAACAATAGTGTTCACACTGCAGTATTCTTTGAAAAAGCAGATTACAAACTTGCAAGAATTTAGGATGGGGCTCCTAAAATTTCATAATTTCAATTCTATAATACATATTTTCAAATCATGTAATCCGCTGTAACTTATCATGAGCACTTAAACTGAAAAAGCAAGGAAATGTTTAACCCTTTAACCCCCAGGAGTGACCAAGACTGAATTTCTCCTTACTATTTCAAACCAAAATCAAGCAGACAAGTGATGAGAATAAAGAAAGATATCAATTAGGGGATTATCAGTTGATCCAATACCAAATTCTCAAAAGCAACATCAGAAGAACTATATGGCAGACAGTAAGGAGAATTGCTAATGAGATCTTGGGAGTTAAAGGGTTAACTCCCATGAGTGACTAAGACAGAATTTCTCCTTACAATATCAATACAATATCACCCAAATAACTAATGAGAATAAAGAAAAACATCAATTTGGGGATAATTAATTGATCCAATGCTAAATTCTCTGAACTAACATTCTAAGAATTGTATAATTAACAGTAAGAAGAATTACAACTTTGATCTGGAAGTTAAAGGGTTAACACAGTGAAAAGACAGGTCAGAAAAGTCAGCACATAAATAGTATGCTGAGGTTTATTTATTCCTAGCTGTAGTTACCAGGAGTAGAGTTTTATGGACTGAAGACACAAACTTGAGCACTTGCTAAAGCATCTTTTGCAAGTTTAGCCAGTCATTGTAACATATCTTAAAGTATTTTTGGGAATAGTAATCTCCAGTAACTTTTTTGCATGTGTTCAAAAATGTTCCTGATAACTGGTCAGGAATAAGATAAATTCATGAATCACTAGCAATAGCATCTGCTGTTGTGCATATAATAAAAAAAACTGTTAAAATATCTGGGGATTTCAAGTCACAATCTAAATTAAATAAACCCAATAAGACCTACAGTGACATCAACAGCCATACACCCTGTCAAAAAATTACATACTGGCTAAATGATAAATTCCAAGGAGTTAAATCAAATTCTATTATTTTTGATAATAATAATGATAATGAATGATAATTAGCTGTTTTCAGAGTCTAGTGGATGGGAATTTTTAACAGTGCATGAATACAGTTATCGATCAATCAAACAATCATTAGAGTTTGCATCCATGCATTCACTTAATTTCCTCTTTCAGTTTACTGAGTAAAGAAGCTCTTCATCTTTTACACCAGCCTTTAAATTATCCAGTGAAGTCCAACAGTGTAGTTGTTGAACATTGGTTGTCAAATATGCAATATGAGGGGTAATAATTACATTTGACATGTTTAATAGTGGGTGGTCCCTTGGAAGAACTGGTGGATCTGTGACATCTAATGCTGCAGCTTTTATAACACCCTTCTGTAATGCCACAGTAAGATCATCATGATTGACAGTTCCTCCACGACCTACATTAATAAGTGTTGCTGTAGACTTCATAATACTAAGTTCCTCTGCTGAAATGAAATTGGTTGTTTCAGGGGTCAATGGTAAGCTCAGAACAACAAAGTCAGATGCTGTCAAGAGCTCCTTTAATTCCAAACAGAATGTAGCACCTGAATTTTATGGAGAAAAGAAACAAAAATAAGTAAGAAATACCATAGTGTACCCATCTTGTGATGATGTTCCTCAATTGGGGTTTATGACAATATGTAGGTTCAATTGAGGCCTGTAACTACATATAGCCTCTATCTCCACTATAAGACATGGAATAAGAAGCCAAAAAAATAACAATTCAGGCTTACATTGTACACGAGGTTTAAACCCTACTTACAATTACAGAAACCGTAACTTATTCTCACACAAATTCAGATTTAAGTAAGCAAGAAATTTAGGGATGTGGCCATTTCTTTTTCAAGGACCCTTCCCACTGTCTTTCAGTTTAATTCACTCACCACCTCATAAATGTTTATGGTTACCAATTATCCTGGAACAAGTGGGGGGGTTTGTGGGATCAAACATTACCTCTTAGATATAAAAAGGTGACTGATTTGAGACAATGCTTTTGAAGAATATAATCACCATTGAGACCCCACAGCCACAATTGTGTGAACTTGGCTTAGTTTAAGTTATTGTAGACTTTTAGAGAGTACAAAGTTACCCTGAAAATCACCTTGATCCACATCAATTGTTACCTGAATATATTTCCAGCTCTTCTTTCCTTGTCCGACAATGATATAAAATGTTCATTTTGAATCCTTTAGCCCTCTCAGCAATTGCTCTTCCAATGTTCCCAAAACCAACAAGGCCAAGAGTTGAACCAGTCACTTGTGATGGAGGAATCCAGCGAGAAATATTCTAGTAAAATAAAGTTAGCTTCTCATCAATTATTCTGGTGTGATACTCAAGAATCACTTTAATACCAAATACCTGAAATTACCTTATAGACTGCTGTTTATGTAACAGACACTCAAAAACTCAATGAACTCAACTCCTCCCCCCCAACCAAAATGGGCTAACTCACTGACACTAGATTAGACTTCAAACAAAAAATGCCACACAAGTTATTTAGCTGTATATCATATATCTGTTTCAGGAGAGACTCGTGACTCTGCATCAATCTGCTCTTCAAATACTAGTCCCACCACATTAGTGTCAACAAGAATGACCATTCATCGCTACATGCAAACTGGACAATTTCAAGTGCTTGACTTATAAATCCACCCATTTAAATTATTTATCTTCATCTGTGCATTTTGGGAAAAATTACACCAATCAATACAATTTTGAAAATAATCCAGAAATTTCTTTCAACCCTCAGAAGTCTTTCAGAAATTTCTGTAAGCCGTCAGAGTCTTTTTGAGATAGAGGACACAATCTTACCGCTGATTGTGCTGCATCAGATGACTTTGCTATTTCGTTTGCAAGAACAATTGACCTCGCAGATGCCAACAGCAAACCAAGAGCAAACTCTGCGACGGAATCACTTGTAAAATGGCCCGGAACATAACCTACACGAATTCCACGTGCAGTAGCTTCCTCTACATCAATGTGATCCACACCTGCGCTTGAAGTGCTGATCACTTTTAAATTTGGCAGCAGGTCCATAATTTCTCTGTTCACTCTCATTTTTGAATGTTCAAACCTACTGCATAATATTCCTTTCACATTTTCCCGCTCACTTTGGCTCAAATTGGCGATTTTCACTCTGTGGATGAGAATAAAATTGTCCTTAAATGAACGCTCGGCAAGTTCTAACATCATAGTCGATGGAGAAGTTGAGGGAACCCAACACCACACAAGTGGATGTGAAGACATCGTAAAAGATTTCCAAAGATAGTAAACAACAGCCAGCACTGTGATTATATTGAAAAGTGATATGAAAGGGCTCTGTTTACATAAAATATGCTAAAAGTTACACCCCCTCCCCAGGTTACAACCTATGACTAAACAAAAGGAAAGAAGAGTATTAACTCGAAAAAGAACGAATTAATGTCGAATTAACTCACACACAGGTATTTTGTGGTAGATTGAGTGTGTTGTGCGAATAACTGTAACCAAGAATAACCTGTATTGGTGCCACGGATACCTGTTAGTACAAAATGCAGACAGCAGACTGCAGACCGGATACAAAATGTAGACTGCAGACTGGGTACAAAATGCAGACTGAGAATCTGAAGAGCTTTTTAGTCTGGTCTGTGATGACATGTCATCCTACAACTTACCGAGTGTCACGCAATCGCTTTTAAGCGAGCAGCTTTCGCGATTATTTGCAATATTGGGGAATATTCCTGGCCCATTTCTTGATGAAAATCGGTCGTAAGATAATTTCAAGCCTCCATATAGTATTCTCACTTTGTGCGCGAGTTGATAAAATATTTGCGTTGACTTAAGTTAAGCCAGTTCTCTGTATCGCCAATGTGGTGAGAAGAAGTAAATTCAGACATAGCCAACGCGCTCGTCCACATCTGCATGATTGGCTCATTTTCTTGTTTAAACCTGTTCCTACTGACTATAATAATCGCTTGGCTTTGTTTCTATTTGAACCGTCACAAAACTGCTTTACTGTTAACGTCTCCACCAAAGCCTATTGCCCATAAAATTAGGACAAAATGACATTAAATCTTAAGGTAACATTTGTAGGCACTGTTGAATAACAGACCAGAGAAAGTAATCCAGAAAGTTAAAGTCGTGTTGGAAAGTTAAATTCGTGCAGGAAAGATGAGGTCGTGAAAGAAAACTTGATGAGAAATAAGAGATGGCAGTAACTGAGCTCCGTGGTCTTCACCTTTACTCTCATTTCGATGTATCTCAACAGATTTCAAGGAAGTAAACAAGATTTGATTGACAAGCGAGAGACTGGTTCAAGTTAGAATCGATAACAAATCGATACTAGCACTGACGATTGAGTTTTATCACTAACGATTGATATGTTAGCAATATTTGATTAGTTCATCTTTGCTTAACAAGCGGGAGACTGATTCAAGTTAAAATCGATAACAAATCGATACTAGCTCTAACGATTGAGTTTTATCATCAGCGATAGTTATTTTAGCACTAACGATTGAGTTTTATAATCAGCGATAGTTATTTTGGCACTGACGATTGAGTTTTATCACTAACGATTGATATTTTTAGCACAAATGGCTCTCCATACTCAGAGCACCGATAGTAAGAAATACGCAGGCAAGGGTTCATGGGATCATTGACCAAATGCATCGACGCAAACATATTGATGACATGACTAACAAATGGCTTTCACAAACTCCAAATCCGCCTCACGAAAATACACAAACCTACACCGGTCGGTAGACCTATCATCGCAGTTTGTGACGACCCTACTGCGAGAATGTCATATTTTGTGGAGACACTGCTCCAGCCTATTGCGCAATTGCAACAACCTATATAAAGTATACCACTGCTTTTTTCAATTTCTTAGAAAAAACAAAGATAGGCAAAGATACTATTCTGGTATCAATGGACGTTTCTAGCTTGTACACAAATATAAGTCCAGAAGAGGGAACGAATGTAGAGTGTGTAGCATACTCAACCATAACGCACCGATCCCTCCAAACACATGGAACCACTATGGGTACAAAAATGGCAGTGTCATTCGCCAATATTTTCATGGCGCAAATTGGAACGAAATTAATCCAACAAAGCGAAACATTGATGAGGTTTTCTCCCTTTGGGATTGCGACAGAAAAGAGTTAGATCGGTTTATTAAACGAGCTAACTATTTCCACCTTACTATCAAATTCACGGCCGAAATATCAGAGAACCAAATGGAAAAAGATTCGCAAAAGATTCCATCTTGGACACCAAAACCCATTTCAAGCCGACCGAGACTAACCACTAGGCGTAAAATATGGTTTCATTAAAGGTGAAGCAATAAGATTGCGTAGAACTAACTCTTCAAAAGAAACATTTGAAGTGGGACTCTTGAACTTTAAACAACACCTCAAGAAAAGAGGGTACCCAGAAAACATCATGGAAATGTCTCTGCCAGGTGTCAAATTTACCTCTAGACAATCGGCTCTTTACATATACACAAAAGCCAAAAGATCACGATCGTTTATTTCCTTTTGTCACAACGTACCACCCGTCATTTAAAAATTGAAAACAAATACTGGTGGGGCATCGGAGTCTGATACACAGTCAGCCCTTGTTTACAAAACCTCCGATCATCTCTTACAAAAAGGGAAAATCCCTTGTGAGGGCAAAAATATAATTAGAAGGCGATAATGCGACGCGACCACAAAAGTTACATGGGGAGGTCGAGCTGGTCTATCTTTTCCTTTATACTCATTTCAATGTCCCTTATTAATTTAATAGATTTCAAGAAAGTAAACAAGATTTGATTGGTTCATCTTTGTTCATCAGGCGAGAGACTGGTTCAAGTTAAAATCGAGAACAAATCGATATTAGCACTGACGATTGAATTTTATCACTAGCGATTGATACCTTAGCACCAACGATTGAGTTTTACCACTAGCTATTGATACTTTAGCACTAACGATTGAGTTTTACAACTAGCGATTGATATTTTAGCACTAAAGATCGAGTTTAACCACTAACGATTGATATTTTAGCACTTACGACTGAGTTTTATCGCTGGCAATTCAGTGATATTTTTGGCACAAATGGCTCCCCATATCTCTCAGCTACAGCCCTATGTTGTAAATGGTTACAATGATTTTCAGTGACGAAATGTAAAAATTCACATGATCAACATCAATGATAACAAAGCCATTATCTAAGTCCTTAGATAGGTGTTTAAAATAGCATGCTAATGTCTAAAATCAGACACTATATGGTAAACAATTTTACACTAGTGTCTAGAAATAGAACACTAGTGTTTAAAATCTGACACCAGTGTCTAATATATAGAACAATAGTGTTCACACTGCAGTATTCTTTGAAAAAGCAGATTACAAACTTGCAAGAATTTAGGATGGGGCTCCTAAAATTTCATAATTTCAATTCTATAATACATATTTTCAAATCATGAAATCTGCTGTAACTTATCATGAGCACTTAAACTAAAAAAGCAAGGACATTTTTTAACCCTTTAACTCCCAGTTTGTTATTTGTTTTGCAGGCCTTCAGGACAATTATTATCAATATAGTGTAAACAAGTTCAACTGCTTAGCATTTCCAAAACTGAATGATAATTAGCTGTTTTCAGAGTCTAGAGGATGGGAATTTTTAACCATGCATGAATATAGTTATCGATCAATCAAACAATCATTAGAGTTTGCATCCACGCATTCACTTAATTTCCTCTTTCAGTTTACTGAGTAAAGAAGCTCTTCATCTTTTACACCAGCCTTTAAATTATCCAATGAAGTCGAACAGCGTAGTTGTTGAACATTCGTTGTCAAATATGCAACGTGAGGGGTAATAATCACATTTGACATGTTAAATAGGGGATGGTCCCTAGGAAGAACTGGTGGGTCTGTGACATCTAATGCTGCAGCTTTTATAACACCCTTCTGTAATGCCACGGTAAGATCATCATGATTTACAGTTCCTCCACGACCTACATTAATAAGTGTTGCTGTAGACTTCATAATCCTGAGTTCTTCTGCTGAAATGAAATTAGTTGTTTCAGGGGTCAATGGTAAGCACAGAACAACAAAGTCAGATGCTGTCAAGAGCTCCTTTAATTCCAAACAGAATGTAGCACCTGAATTTTATGGAGAAAAGAAACAAAAATAAGTAAGAAATACAGTAGTGTTCCCATCTTTAATGATGTCGTCAATATTGTTTATGAAAATATGTAGGTTCAATTCAGGCCTGTAACCAAATATGGCCTCTATCTCCACTATAAGAAATGGAAAAGGGAGTCAAAAAAAATAAAATTTCAGGCTTACTTTGTAAGTGAGGTGTAATCCTTCCTTACAATTACAAAAAACCATTACTTCTTCTGACAAAAAATTCAAATTTAAGTAAACAAAAATTTTAGGGATATTCATTTCCGGATGGTGATTTCTTTCTCAAGTGCAACAAGGATGAGTCGCCATCGTTGTAATAAGCGTTAAATCGAGGCTTCTCCATATAATGATTATCCTTAATTCTCTTCGCCAATTCGTTAATTTTCTGCACGTATCTATGGACATATCTATAGATGCTGTTAGCGGCCCTCTTTCAGTACTAGTTTCAGCTTTACAGAGCTAGCATACGTTTTTTTAAGGTAAATTAAGTTTAAGTCACCCTTAGCTATTAAGAGTGCAAGCGGGCACCAATGTGTACATAGAGACTATTTCTACTCCTATTCTGAAGTTCAACTTCGAACTTATAGCCTTTTTTCCCTAAAGTCATGTTTTCAACCGCCTAAATCACAAAGTACCATCACAAGTCAAGTGCGTGTTCCCAGTTTTTCAAAGGACCCATTAAGTTTTTCTGTAATGCAAAAGATAAGGAAGTGAAACGTAGTGCTAATGAGGATAGGAGGAAGTGGTTAAAGGAGAGGGCTACAACAGCAAAAAAGGCCAATGAGAATGGTAGAAACAAGGAGCTATGGTGAGAGTGATAGTAAGCACGTATAATGTGAAATCAACGCAATAACTGAACTATGTAGAAAATTAACAATTAAGGATCTTACGATAAACTCCTATACGCCCAACTGGAAATGTAAAATAATATATTTAGTCCAATTTCGAGTATTATTAGACACGTCCGCGTGATTAATTGCTGAACTGTTACCCTGTTTACGGCGATCCTGATTAAGCGAAGTTAAGAAAACTCACTATTGAGGTAAGTTCATGGTTATTGTCTATAATATCGTCAATCATTTCAGTTTTGTCGATTTATATGGAATTCATGAGCTCTGATAGAACACGCATTGATTTGACGACTATTGACCGTATGGTATACTGATTAGTGGAAACGTTTATATCGATTATTCCCCTTCACTCTTTGACTGTTTTGTTTATTACTAGTTGATTTAGTTTTGTAGATTATATTGTATATTTAATTTCAGATTGAATAGAAATCAGTTACACGATTGCGAGTATTCTTCGGTAATGGGTCATCTTGGTTTTCTCGCGAAACGGTGGTTACCAATGATCCTGGAACAGGCGGGGGAGGGGGAAGTACTTTGTAGAATCAAACATTAATTTTCAGATACAATGAGGTAACTCATTTGAGACAATCGTTTTGAGGAATATCACCATTGAGACCTCATTGCCAAAATTGTGTGGCCTCGGCTTAGTTTGAGGTGTTGCAGACTATCTGAGGGTTCAAACTTACTCATTCTGCAAATCACCTCGATCGGTATCACTTGTTACCTGAATATTTTTCTAGCTCTTCTTTCCTCGTCCGACAATGATATAAAATGTTCATTTTGAATCCTTTGGCTCGCTCAGTAAGTGCCCTTCCAATATTCCCAAAACCGACAATGCCAAGAGTTGAACCAGTCACTTGTGATGAAGGAAGTGAGCGCGCAATATTCTGATAAAATAAAGTTAATTTCTTGTCAATTATTCTAGTGTAATACCCAGGGATCACTTAAATACCAAATACCTAAAATTGCCTTGATAAACTCCTGTTTATGTAACAGAAACTCAATGATTTCGTGGAAGTTAAACCCCTCTCTTACCTAAATGGCCTAAATCGCTGACATCAGATTAGACTTCAAACAGAAAAAATGCCTCACAAGCCATTTGGCTGTGTATCATAAATCTATTTCGGAGGAAACTCATGAATCTGCATCAATCTGCTCTATAAGACAGTTCAAATGCTAATCCCACCAGAAATGTCAACAAGAATGACCATTCATCTATGCATGCAAACTGGACAATTTCAAATGCTGACCTATAAATCCATCATATTTAATTATTCCCTCTTCATTTGCACATTTCGGGGAAAATTAAACTAACCAATACAATTTTGCAAACAATCTAGATATTTTCGTCAACCCCCGGAAGTCTTCGGTACATTTTCGGAAATTTCCGTAAGTAGAAGTTGGAGTATTTTCCAGATGGAGGATAAAATCTTACCGCTGATTGTGCTGCATCAGACGACTTTGCTATTTCGTTTGCCAGTAAAATTGACCTCGCAGATGCCAACAGCAAACCGAGAGCAAACTCTGCGACGGAATCGCTCGTAAAATGGCCCGGAACATAACCTACACGAATTCCACGTGCGGTAGCTTCCTGTACATCAATGTGATCCACACCTGCGCTTGGAGTACTGATCACTTTTAAATTCGGCAGCAGGTCCATAATTTCTCTGTTCACTCTCATTTTTGAACATCTAAATCCATCGTTGCAAATTATTCCTTTCACATTTTCCCGCTCGTTTTGGCTCAGATCAGCGACTTTCACTCCGTGGATGAGAATAAAATCGTCCTTAAATGAACGCTCGGCAAGTTCTAACATCATAGGCGATGGAGAAGTCGAAGGAACCAAACACAACACAAGTGGACGTGAAGACATCGTAAAAGATTTCCTTAAGATAGTAAACGACAGCCAACACTGTGATTTTATTTATAAGTAAAATAACGAGGGTACGTGTTGAGGGCTGAGCCTGACGTGTTTCTATAGTGCGATAAAGCAAATTAGTTGGTTGACAACAGGAAATGATTTTTGTAATCATATACAGTTCAAGAAAGGGATAATCTTTTGTGAGAGAATAACACTGCTTGTTATCGGAGAACGCCGCCTTTTATTGTGATATTTGACTTATTAGAAATAAACATTTAAAAATTCTGCCATTGCGTGGATACTATCTCTAGAGGCCGGAGATTCAAGCAAACGTGAACTCAAGGTTGTACACCATTTCAGGTGGTTGGAGTGGACTTGCAGGTCCTATTCTTTACCAAGTAAGTCCTAATAAAGAAAACAAAGCGTATTTGGTGTTATACGGATGCAGCTTGACCAGGGCAGTTCACCTTGACTTAGTTAAGTCTCTGGAAACCAACTATTTCTTGGCAAGCCTGAAAAGATTTATTGCCCGTAGAGGAATACTCAAACTATGGATCAACATTTAAAGTTACTTCCCACCATCAGAGGTCGAAAAAAATCGATTTTCTTTTATATAACCAAACTGAATTCAAACATTGAATCTGACGTTTCCATTAAGAAATTTTCTGAAACCTTCAAAAGCACCCGAGTTATTTAAAAAGACGTGTTTTCAAATATAACTTAATAAATCAGGAAGGTGTCATAATCTCGGACCTGGGCGAAACCCCCGAGGGAACTTCCGCGCAACCTCTTATCTTAGGGCTCGTTTTTCAGTTATTTCCATATTTTGTTTGCATCGCGCACTTGACAAAATTCACACGTGGCAGCTCTTTGTTTATGGAAAAATCTTTGCTTGTAGTAAAAGAGAAACCGGAAGAAAGTCCTTGGTAAAAAAGAAAAACTTCCTCCTTAGAGGGAAAAGTCGCTTAAATTATATCTTTATCGTAAGCTGCAGTTAGTAAGCTTTCTTCTGTTGTACAGTTTGCTAAGATTTTAGTAAAACCAGTGCGCGTACGAATTTTTTTCCGAAGGGCATCCGCGAAGGTGGGAAGAAACCTTAAGACGCAGTCTCTCTAAAAGTGTTCTGGTGCGTTTCGAGTCGAAAAATCGATTTCTCTCAAACTTTGCCCCAGAATCTTTCTTAGTCTACAAGTAATAGAAACCACCTTGGTTTTTTTACAGCAAAATTTTTTTTTCTGAGCGAAAACCCTTCGGCGCTCAAACGCCTGTTTTTAACAACAACGATTATCAAAAGTAGCATAACTTGCTGACCTCGTATTTTTACAAAATTATACTTAAAGCGTTTTGTTTTGTTTCGCATATTTAGATCAACCCTTTATTACAACAGAGCACATAAGTTTTGTTGTTTTAAGGGTTCTTTTCACTAAAAATATTTTTGTTTGACACACTTCGACGCTACCGCCGTGACCTGAAATATGCAACTTTTTATCTCGGCTCAGCGCAAAACTTCAGCCTCTTCCCGTCGGTATCTTTTATTCAGACTGGCTTAAATAGGATAGAAGAGCATGGAAACATAAAACATGCTGTGGTTTCGGCGAAATTCCGAGTCTAGAATAGCCGGCTAACAAATTACGCGCATTTTCGAAAATTCATATGGCCAACTTGTGTTTGACGAGTGATTTGAGTCCTTAAAAGCTTTTTAATGAGTTACATTAAGATAAAACATCATTAAGTAGCAAAAGATCTTCATTTTCATCTCGAAAAACAGATCTGCCGAAAGCTAACTCTTGGCTCTTGGCAACCTCTAATCTATCAGTCATTTAAAGAGAAAGGGGGGAAAACTTTAGTGGCCAGGACAGCTATCACAAGATTCAGGTTTATTCAGAATAATACTAAGTTTCAAAGTCAAAGTTTTCGTATTCGTGGTACTTAAAGTAAATTATTTTTCAGTTGATTTATGTGACATGTGATCAAAGAATATTTTACCACGCGGACTGATGTATCTTAAGGCCCTTCTTCTGAGTTGATGAAACCTCAAGTTTTCACGAAGCGTGGGACAAAGAAAAAATTATGAGTCCCCATGGACTCTTTTTTTTTCTTTGAGGACTTTATCCCACGCTCGTGACAAGACGAAAACCATATTTCCCTATTTCGTTACCGAGCTCAAACCTAACCATCTCTCTTATGTAAATTAAGTTCCTCGTCCATGTTGATAAACCACATGTTTTCAAGTAATCGTCTACGATTAAAGATTTGACCGGGACATATAGAAATCAACCAGGTAGAATAGTTCCAAATTCTACAGAGTCTACGAGACTTGTCTTTTTTTTTTTTCCTGCAATACGTCCCCGCACCAAAAAGTGCGCGGGTGTGTTTTCCATCAATTAATTTTTTGTCATTTAACCTTATGCAGTCTCAAATCTCACCTCAAAGAAGAAGGACTTTCATTTTACTCATTACCCTAGTTTTCGGTCCTGGTGTTTCCAGAACACTCAAATAAATATAAATCTTTTTAAGTCTTCTTATTTTCTCACTTCGTTCAGGTATTCTTTCCTAAAGGTCTACTACGTATAATCCAGAATCCAAATAAACCAAACTGTCACAAATGTCATTGACAAAGTTGTGGAATTTCAATATACCGAAATGATTGTTTGAAACTTGCATTGCGCATAATTTTACTTTTTCGTGAATGAGCAATCTTCGACTATTTTTTTCCTAGCCAAAGTTGATTTGGTGTCTCTTGAGTTAGATGTGATCTCAAAATGCTTGCACATTTCCTTGAGCATCTTAACCTTGAAAAATAAAGGTTTATTTTCAAACGCCATTTCGCAAAGGTTGTAGATGTCATACATCACTGGATGCTTGATACCACTGATTTCAGACTGTACGTCTACATTGGCTTTCTCGAGCATTTGTTCATCTGTTAGCGAGGCAAACTCTTCAGCTATTTCTTCATTATTGTCAGACTCAGCGTCATCGCTGGAGGTTTGCTTGCCATCCGATCGCTTTCTCTTCGCAGAGAGTCGCGAAAAAATCCCTGGATTTGAAGCTTTGAAAGCCACTCCATTCTATAAAACATTCATGTGCCATTTGAGTTGCGAGCATTGCACATATCGTTAGCTACTTGTGCAGGACCTCTTTTTCTCCCAGTTTTTAGACCAAATCAATAATCCATATGGTTTATTTGTTTTGTTTTTCGAAAAGGTATCTCACTTCCGACGATTTTATGCAAACTTATAGTTCGTGGACACAAAACAGGGGACCTTTCAATAAATAAATTCTCGTGGTGAAATTTCATTAGATTAAAGGTTACATTTTCGAATTGAAAGGACTACACTTTAAGTGTTGTTAAGATGAACAGTTTCTAAATGAACAACTTGAAATATTCTGAATAATCTTGTCATAGTTACCTCGGCCTCTGAGCTTTTTCCCCCTGGCTTTTCTCATAATTGACTGATAAACAAAACAATAGGTCGCCTGGAGCTAAGAGTCAGCTTTCGGCGGCTCTGTTTTTCCAGATAAAAATGAAGATTTTTTTTAACTTAATGATGTTTTATCTTACTGCAACTCATTAAAAAGCTTTTATGAACTCAAATCACGCCTCAGTTACGAGTTGGCCGCATAAATTTCGTTTATTTTTGAGACCGCCCTCATGTGCATTGTTTGGTCGAATTTTCGAAAATGCGACCTCAAGTCATTTTTTATACTGGTCAGGCCAAACAAGAGTGGTTTAAAGAAGAAAATGAGCTGTTTGAGTTAACACGTTGCGCTGATGATGTATTGAAAGTCACGTGAATGCATCCCTCAGGTCTAACAGTTCCTTAAGGATTTTCTTGTCACGTGATGAGTCACGTGACGTCGCTTTTTTGGTAAAATCAAACTAATGAAGCAAGTATTTTGAACTAACCGAGTATTCGGACCGCAAGCGTTGATAAAGGTGTAAGAGGAGGAGTAAATAAATGTTGTGCACTTTACAACCTTGTTTTCACACTGACGAATGGGTGACGTAGCAAACCCCCCTTTCTCTCAGATCGTATACCACTTCTCGACTTTACGACGTAGCGAGCCTTACTCAGGAGGTATTGGTCTAATTAGATCCACTGTCAAATCTTTTCTAGCTCGTAGGTTGAATGAAACCCCGATTTTCCGGTCTCTGCTACCGTACTGAATTACCTAAGGGATGATGTCCAGTTACCTATTTTCACTTCAAATTCGATGCTACGCGTCAACCCAACTCATCCTCCAGAATTACATGCGCATGCACTCCACTACCCCGACAAGGATCTGCGGAAACGGGTGCGATACCTCTGCGATGGACCCGTGAGTATGTGCGAAGTCTACAAGAACAACATCGTGAAGCGGGGGGGAAAGCAGACCTCTCATCCCAACGGTGAAGATGTTGTGATTGTACAAGACAAGAATAAGAACCGGAATCATTGGAAACTAGGGACTGTGACCCGGCTCATTAAGGGGAGAGACGAAATAGTCAGAGGTGCGACTCTTCGAACAAGTTAGGATCGTAGCTTGAAGCGTCCGATTCAACAGCTTTACCCTTTAGAGCTTTCGTGCGTTATGTGGCCAAATTCAGCACTTAACCCGAAGCCGTTGAGTTCTGTGTGAGACCGAGAAGGGATGCTGCAGCGGCAGCAGCGGTTAGCATCCAGGAAATTGCACAAAAGAACAATAGGAAATGATTTTTGTAATTATATACAGTTAAAGAAAGGGATAATCTTTTGTCAGAGAGTAACATTGCTTGTGATCAGAGAACGCCGCCTTTACCGTGATATTTTGATTTATTAGAAATAAACTTTTAAAAATTCTACCTACTGTGACAATGCATGGATGCTATCCAGCGGCCAGAGAATCCAGCAAATCCGTTCTCGCAAAAAAACGCTAAAAAATACACCCGCTCTGCAGGTTACAACTTATAACTCCCCTTCACTACCGGTAAGTACCTTAGTGCGTTACTATTTCTCCATTGCGTGACATCCGGTGAGCCTGGTCCGTGACAAAAAAAACAAAACAAGACAAAAGAGGGTCACAAAACGATGATCTCTAACGATGCAAAGTTTATAACAAACTGAATCCAAGATCCAGGCCTAAAGAATGAATAAAATCGCACTCTTCGGCAATTGCAGAACCTGCTGGTCCTTGCAGATTTCGCTCTTGGTTCTTAATTAATCTGGGACAAATCTTTTCCAAAATCCGTAGTTTTTCAACCTATAATTTAGCCAACCTTTTTTTCTAACTCCGCTTTTCTCTTTGATGCCTTTTTATTTCTGAAAACTCGCATATACATCGAAAATCAGTTGTGAAACGAAGCCCACTTATTGTTATTTAGGTGAAAATCGCATAAAAAAGGGTATAGAACATGCATTTTACTTTGTCCAGAGAGAAACTCATTTCAAGAATCAAGCTGTTTCGGAAATTTTGACACAGTAGAATTTCTTTGTCTTAGTCTCTTACGAGGGGCAGCGAAATAGAATTACTCTGTCTCAATCTCCTACAGCTTACTTGAGTACGAATCATTGTTTGAATTTTATTTGTAACAGTCGCACCTGTTCCGTTACCCCCTGGTTTGCGGTTAAATAGCTCTAAAATTATTATTTGCCTGTGAGTACATCCTGGTTATTTGCGCTGAGGCATGAGCGCCTTTTAGCCCGCTAGTAAGTTTAACGCCATGTGCAATACTGTATAGGATCTGGAATCTTTGACCTTTCGCCGGCTAGTGGCTAAAGGCTTCAAACTTACTGTAACCCATTTTGGGCTAATGATGAGGCCCTGGCCGTAGGCTAGAAAAGGATGCGATCGATAAAAGAAACAAGAGCCCGTTATGGGGTATTACCACGCGCAGCTGAATAATGATGCAAAGAATTAACTGCACATACACTCTCATGAAAGGCCTATTCATCAGTTCCCCGATAATAGCTTGATTTATCCGACCACATATGTTCTGAACTGTCAATATTGTCACGGAATGGTTTCGCTCCCACGAATCAAGTTTTAACGGAAGTTAGCTGTCAACTATCTTTATTCCGATCTCCATTTAATGGGTATATCTGATAATTTAAAAGTAACACTTTATTCAGCGATTGGAAACTCTCAAAGTGCCAATTCCAGCACATGGCGCCCACGAGACCAAATTGTCTTCCTAGGTTGTTGATGGTTACAACGATTTGCAATAACGAAATGCCAAAATTCACACGATCAACATCAATGATAACAAAGCCATTTTCTAAGTCCTTTTCGTAGGTGATTATCTCTCTTTCAAATTTCTTGAATTACAGAGAAAAAATGGGATCCTTTAAAATCGTGTGCTGAATTCACAAACTCTCGCAGCTGGACACCTTATTAACCGTGCCTTCCGTCACGAAAGTATAAATCTGACAATGAATCTAAAATCTGTGAAAATTTTCAATCGCTTAGGAGCAAAGCAATGCTATAATTTCTCTAAACGAGAAAAATCTTTGTTGGTACATTACCCAACCATGTTTTCATGCGGAAAAGCATGACGCAACGAGCTCCGTGATTTTCTTATTTCCGGTCGTTCTTTCCCTCTTTCGCTTTTGTATCATGTATTTTTATCGAGTGTTTTGATTGGTTTATCTCGCTCAGGTTATCTAAACCCGCACTCTAATTGGTGGAGACGAACAAAAACCTAGCTTGCTGTCACGTGTGTCGTGAAAACAAATTTCCAAAACAAATTGATCTGCGACAGAAAATCTCTACTGTGCTGAAAGAAAATGTGAAAGTAGTGCTTTGGATCAGGCGCAATTTATCCGACCAACCGCTGTCGATATTTCTGGCTGAGACGTACTCGTGTTTTCTAGAATTGAAGTTTACGGACAACGTTCAGTTGGGTTTAGAATTCTTCATTTTGGAAACATTATTTCGTGTTAGGAGAGCTCTCTTTCGTTTCCTTCGCCATTATGGTTAAAACGTTTCAAGCGTATCTCCCTCACTGCCATAGAACCTATAGCTGTATTCACTGTCGGGCTCATCTGGCAAACCACGACGAACTTATTTCTAAGGTAGGTGCAATATCTTTATCAAAATTAATTGACTTATACGTTTGAAGAGATGATCGTTCGTGGTTCATGACAACAACACAACCATATTGATTCAATTCATTTTATTTTCAGTCGTTCCAAGGTAGTCAAGGGCGGGCGTACTTGTTCAATAAAGTGTGAGTATAATTTTATGGTAGTTTCATTTTCAATTTATGGTGTGGGAAGCGAATTTCGTCTCTGATTATCCTTGACGATTTTTTTTCGCAGAGTGAACGTCGGCTGCGGTCCAGCTGAAGAGCGAGTTTTGTTGACAGGACTGCACGCAGTTGCCGACATTTATTGCGAGTGCTGTAAAACCACCTTGGGTTGGAAATACGTGAGTATAACTCTTCGAATTTAATTTTTTCTTTCGCTTTTGCCGAATCCGCCATGTTATTTTGCATCAAATTTCCGCTCGATAGTATTGCGTGGGTTTTGCGCGGGATCGAAGCAAAACAACTCTAATATGCAAATTTTGCCAGGTTCAAAACATGACAGCAACTAATGTCTCTGAACGAGTGGTCTAATCATGGCTGCATTTTATCTTTACTTTCCCCCCAGGAACATGCCTTTGAGAACAGCCAAAAGTATAAGGAAGGAAAGTTCATCATCGAAATGGCCCATATGATCAAAGACAATGGATGGGAATAGGCAAATAATAAAATAGAACCTACCACAGTGGACTAAAAATTTTTTATAAGCCCTGTGGGCAGACTTTGGATTTTGTACAGAGATTATGTTTTATTCATAATGTTGAAAGAGCTTTTATACCTAAACAAAACCATACAGATATTCTGGTTTACGAACAGAACAACTGAGACCTCTTTCGTAAAGAAATCGTGGTCATTTTCTCTGTAAATAGAAGAAATTGCTCATCTCGGGGTCTGTCTTGCGCATATTGCGCTGGTAGTTATCTCGTGAACGTCATGAGCTTCCCCTAAGCTTGTAACGAGAAAGCTTGTATAGTTAAAGTCGTTAATATACTTGAAATCTTGTAAATATGAAAATCATATTGTAGGACATGTTTTATTTGACTTGTGTGCCGAGGAAGACAATATTAAAATTGTTTGGGTTGGTACAAATTTATGTACATTGACTAATTCATCTTCGAAAGATGTTTGATATTCTTAGGGACAAGGAAATTATACAGCGATTGATTTATTATCCGTTAACAAACCAAATCGGACAAATTTGAGTGAGGTTTTTCATTTTTATCGGCCTCACTCTCGTTTTGATTGCGTATCCACGAACTTTATTGCTTTCCTTTAAATACGACAGCGCTTTTTGTTTTAGTAACTAAAGATTTAAAGCAGATTGTTATAGGCTTAGCATTTGCATAATGTTGATATTTAATGCTATCATTTTCTAGAAGAAACGAAATTGAAATCGAATCCTTCATCTTCAGGCAATATAGATAGGTTGTAGATTTATGAAGTCGCTAGAGCGGAAGGTGGAATATTTTCATATTTTCAGGAAAATCGGTCGAAATATTGTTCATGGTAATTTAACAAATCTTCTGTTGGAAAATAATAACTGCAGTTGTGTCTTGAATCGAATAGCCAGCGAATTTCGGCATTGAATGTGGACATGCACTCTCGAAAGGAAAATTATGCCGCTTTCAGTTCGCAACCCTCTTATAACTGTTGAAAAAAACATTTACCCAACAGGGGGAAAGGACAGGACGGGACGGGCTGAAAAGCAGTTTGTTTTATCAAACCGCTCGAGGATTAATCCCGTTTTCGTTAATCGACTAACAGTACAACGGTGATTACAGTTTCATTCAGTTTCATTCCAGCCAGCAGGCATGCCGAGCGAACACGTTTTTCAAAATACTCAATGAATTATTTATTCAGGGTTCAAAAACTACGTGATGTAAACAGAAAACGCTTAGCAATGCAATACATCTTAAGATGCTGCTTCCGGAAACTTCATACACTTCTTCAGACTCTTAATGGTGAGTAAGGAGTGAGACGGCCCGATATTTCATCGAACACGTTCAAAGGAACTGGTCTCTAGGCAAACAGGATACCGCAACAGTTGTTCAAAATGATAGTGATTAGAGGATGAGAGAAAAGGAATTATTTTTAAAAAAATTAAAAAGTTTTGAATCCATCAGGAACTTATTTAGCTTCTCTCTCTGGTTAAAAGCAAGCATAGGAAATGAAATAAAGTAATGTCAAATTGAATCTAAGGTGATCTAACGATTGAAATCGGTCCTATACCCCCGGTTTGAACAGGTGGGTTCTCTGAAGCAACTTCCGTTGTCACGCTGAAGTGGCTATTGGTCTATGACTTCCGGTCGGGAACATCAACCTTTCGTGCTATGTTTCCCTTTCGTTTCAAGCCGCCAGAGTAGGATTTCATCACGAAAAGAAAGGACCTTCCGCCGAAAGTCAATACTATGTGTATGCAAGGAAACTGTACAAATGACTATGCATGGAAATCATGAGTAGAACTGAATTCAATGCGTTTCAATACCTTTTCCCCTCAGGATATAATATTTTCCGCTCTATAAAAGGCTGCCGGAAAACTTTTGTCCGGGACTTATACCTATATTACGGTTCACTGAGTTGAATTGATAGGTCAAGTGAAAAATCACTTAGATAGTGGACCTACTCACGTACGATGCAATCCCTTGACCCGTAAAAGAAAAGAAACATCTTCGCCACCCTCCCCTCCCTCTTTCATCATTCCAATGAAGAACTCGTGAAGGTTGTCACAGCCCTTGATAAATAATCATGGGGGAACTTTCGCTTTATGTTTTCCTACTTTTTTAAACTACAGTTGTGGTTATCATTTGCGTTTGAATTCAAGTTGCATTAGACGACATGATGGACAGAGGAAACAGTTTTGCTGATTAAAATTAAGGTATCCATTCCAATTTTGCGAAAACGTAACACGCCTCGCTGACATCCTTCCTGAAAATTTTGATCTTTTATTAAGTTACGTTTTCACACACAATATTTTGGCTAAATATAACCTTGATCATGACTGAAATGTTTTGAACATCGAAAGAAGAGTTCATAATATTGAGAGCAACTATATATAATCGTCCTTCGCCTTATTTTATTGGCTAAACAGATGAAAGGAGCGGGCTTCACTCTACATGATGTGATTTTTCACATATTTTAAATTTCAAACCTTTAAAAAGGTTACAACAGGACCACATCGTCACAAGTTTTTATTTGATTTTTATGCATTTAAATTGTTCTCAGAGAGATGGTTTGGGATAAGCAAGCAACGGGTCTGTGTTCCCTGTGAAAATTTTCGCGCTTTCTCTTTGAGAAACTAAGTCCTTACTCATTCATCTTTAAAATTATTTTTAAAACGGTTTTATGATGATCTTTCGACTTTATAAGTGATCTTTCGCAGACTCCGTGGTCTTCAGGTCCCTGGCTTCTTGACCTTGTACCTTGCTCATCATAAAGGTACTAAATAAGGTTATTTTTCTGAAATGAAAAAAAAGGCCAAGAATTTTTAACTCATCCGTCTAATTACGAAATAACTCGATATTGGCGACTATCATTTATCTCAAAGTTGCCACCCAGCCACGATCTACCCATAAATATACCACCTTAATTCCCTTGAAAGTTTGGGGGAGCAAATTAAGTGATTAACATGTAACTTCTCTTCGTAATATCCTGACAATATTCAGCAAACAGGTAATGAGAATATTAAAAAATATCAGGTAGAAGTTTCCATTGTGATCTAACAACAAATTGCAACTAATTTACAAAGATATGTGTAAAATGGTCAAAGAACTAGATTATCATGGTACATTGCAGCTCTGAACTGAAATGGAGAACTGTAAGGTCCTATAAGAAACCCTGCAATCATTCCCTCTTTCTCACGTCTTTTCCGTATTTCTTTCTTATACTTTCACTTGTTATAAAAGAAAACAAATGAAAAAAAAGTTGATAAAAAATTAAGTCTCCCAATTAACTACTCTCAGCTAACTACTGAATCGTGAGCGTTCGAGCGGCATTCTCTGATCGTGAATGCCAGTTTCTAAGGAGTTCCACGCTAGTATTTCCAGTAGCCAAGTAATAGGTTTGAGATAAAACTCTCGTCAGTCTGTCTTCTACATAAAATTTGATTTCCATCGAATTCAGTCAAAACGATTGTTGGAATATTATGCAATTAGCGGATAGAGCTCCTAAAACGGATAAAAACGTGACTCTGCGTATTGTGTTCCGATCGTTTTTCTTTCGAATATACAACATAAAAGATATTCATGCTTTAGAAATTAAGTCATTTGTATATTTTGGGAATGATCAATATATGGCCACGTTTTTTTATCACACGTTTTATAGGAGCCGACATATATGCAGGGGATCGATACTTACTTTTCTTCCCTTACTCCGAAAAAGCAAAATTGTAAGTTATCTTGAGTCGCTGTCCGCATAGAAATACAAGCCTTAGATATATAAGGGTCAGCCTTTAACAACTTCTGCTGTACTATTTTCGTTTGCGTAACAATCGCCAGTTTTTTCCGCTCTTCACCACTGATTGAGAACAGGCTAACAATCCGTGAAGACAGTCAACCGCAACGTGATTATCTAATATTCATATGCATGAGCGCTGTTCTAAAATCCTGAAAAACCAATTAGAGGAAAGTTTATTATTGTCAGTACTTCTTATCGCCTCAAACTGCTATATTTTTTAATCGCATTATCAACATTTTTCTGAAAATACCGAACAGCTAAAAGAATTTAGAGGGAATTTAATTTAGGATGACTGAATTTATTTGGCGCTTTGTGGGAACAAATTTATGCGGCTTGAGAAGACTAAAATTCCAACCAAGAACTGATTATTGTGATTTTCTGCTGAAGGGGCAGAAATTCAAAATGTTCAAATTTTCCATCTTGATGAATCGTACAAAGAGGAGCTATGACTGTAGACGATTCATAGATTAAAATTTCGAAAAGTCCAAATAACGACAGCCTTTTGAATCGCATGAAGAGATTCCTTTTCCCATTTTTCAGGGGCGTTCTACTGTGCGAAATTTTTTTTTCGACGGAAATTCTACCTGCGGATCAAAGGTAATCCGAAAAATGGTTTAAAATTAAAACCCACTAAATATTTTTGCAAGTTAAACTGCAGATATTATTGATACAGAAGAAAATGAAGACCTTTTCGATACTAAGTGCTTCGTACTTTGCAAAAATAAAAGTGCAAACTCTCTGAACTAATTCTTACTGACAGAGCATACTCACTTGTGTGATTGGCCACAAGAGGTCTAAGGGATGAGTCCAAACGCAGCCATCCTCGGAGACCCAAGGGTTCGTCAGTCGATTTCTTGTAAGGGTAAAGGAGCTCTTCTGTTGGTCTCTCAGGATGAATCTCGTTGTTCTTTGAACTATGTTACGATCACCTCACATACTTACTTCGAGCAATATTGTGTCAGCGGTCTCATCTTTAATAGAAACAAAGAACAGCTGGAGCCACCGAGCGCAGCGTGCAAAACCTACGATTTAAATTGAATCTGAGAAAAAAAATAATTTATTTGAATTCTCAACATTCTTGAAGGTATAAGGGGAGACTCTACGATAAATATCCATGTTGCTACTGCGAACGCATGCACTTCATTTCCGGTTTGTGCCCGAGGAACCACTCTGTCATTCAGAATAAAGGCCCGGTTTGTTCCACCAAGAAATGGATCAAGGGATATTGAACTATTGTTATCAGGTATGCATAGCAAGTAGCTGTGAACTGTAGCGAATTCAACTACGCCAGCTAAATTAGTCATGTGACTCAAAACTGTTTTGCACTTCCTTCTACGAATGTTAATCGATATGGCGGATCTCTGCGCAAGGAAACTTACGAAAGAGTCGGTAGGTTTTGCTACAGCAATATAGAACAAAAAAAGGTAGAAGAGTCAGTTCAAAGTTATTATCATGTTTACAAAGATTGTTCAAGTGTCAAACTAAAAAGTTGCTACTAGAGACTGCTATGAGAGAAACATTCAGTTTTGACACATGATCAGCGTATATAAAAAGCTTAAACAAGACCGGAGGAATTGTAATAAAAGGATGCTGGTTGAGATTGTGCCCACTGCAGAAACAGTGTTCTGAAAGTTTTTACAATTAAATTAGAACTTGTTGAGGCAGGTTCGTACGCAAAACAACTTATGTCAATTGTATGTTAAGTGGCGGTCACGGTCAATTGTTCCGATGGTTTTGACATAACATGACCATCTTAATTTCTGCAAAAGCGTATAATTGAAATGATATACGAAAATGGCCTTTTGTTAGGTTATTTCTTGAGCATAAGAGCAATTAACTGTTTTTCAAAAATTATAAAATAATTTTCCTTTGTGTAAAATTCAAATGTCACATAGTAATTGTGCGCTTACTGGTAGTTGTGAGACACTCGTCAACCCTTTGCCGCCCTCTTCTATGATTATTTAGCAATAAATTCTCTCAATTGGTAGAATGCAGCAATATTACTCAAGGAGGGAAAGAACAATGACCGCTTTGCTACCCATCCCACCCCTCAAAAATTGCGATGGTACCTTCTAGCACATTCACGGTATTTCTACGTTTTGGAGCTGACGGCTGCATTGTTTCTTCTTGCCTTGGGACTCACTGAAAAACCTCCAACACTAAAGGCTAATAATTTGAGTCTTCCAGTCGAGGTAAGTGTACACTCAGCTCTAGGCAGAGGTGTTAAGGGAGTGTTTTGAAAAAAGGAGTGAAGGTGAGACAGGGTCAGAGAGGGGGGTGGGTGGAATAGGAGTTACCTGCTGAAGCCAAAGGCTGAGGCAGATAACACAGACATGAGGTTTGATCTTTCATGATATCATGCAAAAACCATATTCAATAATTGTTTTATTTACATTTTTTCAACAATCTACAAAAGAAGACACTTTTCTCTGAGTTTTCAAAAGTTTGAGAACACCACAAGGATGAGCGGCTTGGAAACTAGAGAGACTTTGAATTTGACATGATAACCCAATATCTGCTGCAGATATTGGGTTATTATGTCAACTTCACACGCTATTGTATACTGAATGTGTTTTTATAGGGTTAGCCTAATCCAAACCAAGTCTAATGTATAGTAATGTCAATTGACCACCATAAAGAGTTTCTAAAGATGACATTTCCAGTGCTAGCCCTTCATTAGAGCAGAAGTGTGATCCTGATGTAGAAAATTATTATGAGAAGATGAAAAAATGAATATTTTACCAAGGCAATTTTATACTGGGAAAGTATCTCCTGTTTGAGGGACTTAAACTAAGGCCCTTCTACCTCCCCCACCCACTCTCCTTTACTGATGCCAATTACACTTGTGATTATAATGCAGTTTTATTTTCCAGTAAATGCAAAATGATTAAGCTCCAAGTTGTGTTGTAATATGATGTCCTTAAGTATAGAGAGATTGATTCTATAACTGGTCAAGAAGTAAATTGTTCAGTATCAATTTATGATTGAAGTAGCAGTTTTACTGAACAATTAAGAGAGTTTATTACTTCCCAAGGGTAAATGATATATGTAAGATTAATAATTTGATGTTATAAATTACAATAATGAACATTCAATACTGTTTACCAGGTTCATGCAGCCTTGGAGGTTCTCTCACTGATGATTGTCTTTGCTGGACTTGCTGTAAAACTGAAGTGGCAGGGAGCAAAACTTTTCTTCACCCATAAGAGAACCCTTCTCAAGGTACATTACAGTGCTACTTTGGTACATGCAATAATTTTCCATCACAAAGGGTTGATATAGGACTTTTCAAGTGAAAGTATAAAAAAATGAAGCCAAATTAATTACAGCGACAATCAGAAAAATGAAAAAGAAATTAATAGAAGCTGATCAGGGCTTGAAATGAAAACAACCAGAATGCTCAGAGGATGGAAAAATGTGCACAAGCTATCACACTGCAATTGGTTGAGGTTTTAAATCTAGTTGGTTGAGAAGGTAATAGAAGTTTTCTGGACCAATCACCAAGTGAGTGAATGTAATCTTGGATTTTTTAAACACTTGATTCAAATTTCTCTATCTGGACAAACTGGGTGTGGATGTTTAGCAAGATAATAGCACCATCTTGTACTTAGAGAAGATTTGAGACTCAATGAGAACACTGTATAAAAATGACAGGGATTCTTACCATCTAGAACCTCCTAAATATTACAGATCAATATGGGTCTGGCTTATGCTTTTGCACTTGCTAAAATGCCAATTCAATAAATGTATTAATTCAGTTCAAATGTTTCACCTACCATCAGGTTTTTATCTGGTGCGTGGTATTTATAGAAGCCATTGTGGTGCTGGTGAGAAGGGAGAATCATTTTCGAGTAACAAGATCTCTGCGCCCACTCTTTCTCATTGATACACATTACTGTTTTGGGGTGAGAAGGTTAGTCTCATTCTGTAGTTAAAATTGAAGGTAAAATTTTCACTGTGATTTGTGTAAATAAATTTGTTGTTTATTGCTCCAACCTCGAGTACTGACAGGGTCCAAAAATCTCTCCTTCTAGTAGAATTTTCCTACCAAATTCATGATCTATGGTGAAATAACACCAATCTCAAAGACAGATGTAAGGGAAGGGATCAGGTTTAGGGTTCACTGTTCAAGGGCTTTAGATCAGATTATCTTGGGGATCATCCTATTGTGAGTACACCTCCCAATCAGGGGAAACAGAGCCGTAACATATCCTGATAAATTAAACAAGAGACATCAGCCTTGTGTCTAAGGAACTTTTGGACAATTCTAAAATAAAGGTCAGATGACAGTAAAGCAGTAAAATGATGAAGCAGAAGATGACAATGATGGCCACAAGTAGTTTATGATGCCCCCCTACCACCACACCTCAGCAGAGTGCTGGGAGTGGTTCTATCAATTGAAGATGTTGGCAGCGCAATATCTTTGGCTGTTTTGAACTTTTACCTTATGAAATGAATGTAATCACTTCCAGATGTAAAAATGAGATTCATGCATTTTTTTTGCTTTTAAATTTTAGGGTTCTAAGACAGATTTTACTTTCACTTCCTCCAATCCTGGACATGCTCTTTCTGCTGTTTTTTATCATGGTAATCTTTGCTATGTTAGGTAAGAAATGAGGAAAAATTGTCATAGAGAAATCAGTTGTTAGCTTTTATGTTGTTCATTAAAAAAAAATGATATATGAAAAGGTATTGGTTACCAATTGAAATTCGATTAGTGTTATAACTCCATCAATTCCTAAATTAAATGATTTCTGGAGAATAGTTATCTTGTAATGTAGATTAAAGAATTGTTTTTCTGTTTCACCAATCGTTCTAGAGTTGAAGAGACATTTGGCTCAGGCGTGATCCATCAATTCTTTTAGCTTTGTGTTATGAAACAATGTTTCACTCACAGTTCCTGCAATGGGGCAGATGCTGACATCAATTGAATCTAACAACATGCATCAGAGAATTGTTTTATATTGATGGAACCTCCAAATGTCTATTGAATCTCAATTCATTTATTAAACTTGAAAGCTTGTAAAATCTGGAAAACAATAAATTAAAATAGGCCATTACTATACAGTATACACTGATGGAAATGTCCTAAACTTGAACATGCAGGGCATGTATACAGATAAATCAAAACAACACAAATATCCTAAGCAAAACAGAACTACCTTTGATTGTACACATTGTGGTATATAAATACAAAAATAAACAAGACGACATACCTCTTTCCCCGTTCTATTACTTGAGTAATATTCTGACAATCCTTTGATTTATCTTTACTGACTATACTTGTAACTCACACATGTCTCATGGCTGAATGAAACATAATGCAGACAATTTGAAAGTCTGTCACACAAAACAAAAGAGTATTGAAAGTCATGCAAATAACTGAAAATAGCCTTTGTTACAGTTTCCTTCTTGCTTGCAGGGTTTTACCTGTTTTCTGACAATGAAAAGGATGAGGTAATTTTAATTAGTTACTAAACCTATTTATTAAACATGTTGACACATCCGATGGACCAATTTTCTTTTTCACCATCACACCTCACTCACATGCTAGATTATTCAATTAAAGAAAAGTTCACTGCTTATTGGCTTCTAGTCTTTCCAAGGACTTCTATTTAATTCAGTCTCTTTTTGCAAAATTAGTTTTTCAGCAGCTTCTGGAGAAGCTTCATCAGCTTATTTGTGTTACTTACAACAGCAAAGTACGTGAAATTTAATTGTTATTTATAAGTTAAACAAGAATGATTTTAGGTCATTGAAATATTCGCACTCTTATTAATTACACTAAATTTGTGAATTCTGTTCTACAGTTATCCTGATGTAATGATGCCAGCATATAACAGATCACGATGGTCGGTTATCTACTTTGTTGTTTACATTGCAATTGTTCTTTACTTTCTCATGAATCTGGTAAGGTTTCAAACAACTACAATGCATGAATTGTAACACAGATATGCACCACATTATTGCTTATATTAATATATTTCCACGGGTTTTAACCAATCTGGCAAGTCACTTGACTCTGATGATGACTTCTGCTCAGGTTGTTGAAATGTCAGTCACTATAACTGACAACAATCTGAGTCCTCGTAGGACTACTCTCACCTGGACAATCAGACTACATGGTCATTTACTGTGTAAGGCAATTACCACCCAGTTTTCTTGACCTGTTTCTTTTAACCTTTTAACCCCCAAGACTAGGATCTAATTTCTCCATAAATGATATATCAATCCCATATATCATCCCTGAATCAAATTAAGGGCGTTAGAATAAAGGAAATGATTGTGAGGTCAAGAAAATCTTGATCATTATGTGAATTCTCCCTCTAAGTATCTTAGAAAACGTATAGAGAACTTACAAACTAATGTTAGGGTGGAAAGCTATGGCTTGACCTTTCACCCTGAGAAGTACCTGATGAAATTAATTTCTACCAACAATATCTCTACATTGTCAAACAGGCAGGAGATAAGAACATAAAAAATTAGAGAAAAATATTAATCAGGAGATATCTTTTCATGTTAGGTGCCAGACCATAAGTCACTCATTACTTTTTCGTGACAAAAAGTTTTGTAATTTTTTTTCCAAATTTTGGCCCTAACCAAAATTAATTGCATGTAGCCCATGGTAAACATATAATGTTTTCCTGCTTTGACATTGCAGCTGTTGGCTGTGGTTTATGATACCTTTACAAACATTGAAAAGGATAAGTTTAGAAAACTCTTTCTACATAAAAGGTAAGAATTTCTGTGGCAGTTGAATTTTGGCTAGTGTCTGCCACCTGATGGTTTTAGTTATTATAAGGAATTCTAACTACCCCATAATGTGACCTCAATTCCATTCACAATATTTCTTTCTCTTCCCTCTATTCTCCTTCTCGAGGGTCCAGGTAAGGGAGGAAAGAACGATCGTAAGAATCTGACTTACTTCAGAGTACAAAAAGTTTCTCAGACTTACTGCAGTGTTTGTTAAAGTCTTGACTGGTAGTTCTATTTTCTTTAAGGCAAGCTGTAAGACAAGCTTACAAACATCTCTGCAGTGAACATGTAAGTTGTTGATAAGTTAGTAATGTATCAGTTTTTTATTAATAATTTACTGGTCAGTCGGTCAGTCAGTTAAATATGTCGTTTTCTGTTTGCCAGTGGAGCAGACAGCCAGGAGACAAGAACCAGTATGCCATCAGTCAGTCAGTCAGTCAGTCAGTCAGTCAGGAATTAGGTTGTCAATCTATTGGTTTGTCAGTTTGTCTGAGTTAGTCAATACCCAATGTATTAATTCACTGAAATAGTCCACTTTGAAATAACTATTGTGTTAAACTAATTATGACAACTAAGGTCTTGATTGAAGGCAGGGTCATTTATGTGTCACTAACAAACTTTCTGTCACAACAAAATTAATTTACTTACAAGATAAGATAATCTACACTTTTTTCAATAGCCTCCACATTGGATCCCATGGGCAACTTTTAAAGGCTTGATGTCATATTATAAACCCAAAAAGAGTAAGTGCTTTGATTTATTTCTGGCTTATATGTAAAAAATGTGCTCAAAGTGTTTATTACTTTTTATAGGTTCACAGTAAATGATAATATTTTGAATATTATTATCAACAGTCGGTCAATAAGAGCCTGGATTAGTCCCAAATCTTACTCACACACTATTGTTGTGGTTTAAATGTTTTAAAGAATATTATTAAGGTCATTAATTTAAAGATTGTTACTTTTCCAACAGCTGATGTGGAGAAATATCTTGTTTTCAAGTCACTAAATAAAAGTAACACTGGAAAATTAAGGTAATGTTCTTTTTCAAAAATGCATTATTTGTAGGTTTTTCTAAGGATTTGGCTTATCGGTAATTGTAGTTTAAAATTTAATTGCTTTCTACATCTGGTACCATTGTGGCTTGACTGTGACTCCATATTTATACTAATTTGTAGTTATCAACTTTAATTTTAGCCTGGATGAATTTTACAATGTTTTTGAAAACAGTGAGATGAGGTGGAAGCGGGTATGTATCTATTATTTTATCCAAAGAAATCGAAGAACATTTTGAAAAACACAATTTTTAAAACCTGCTAAAACTGCAGTGAAAATCGTGTCATGATTTATCTCACATGGTTACTGTTGTTGTTTTCTTAAAGGTAACAGAACATTACAATCAGTGGTTTAGCTGTTTCAGGTCATGTAACTGTTTGTACCGCACACTCAAAGGCAAGATGTAATATCCATGTTCAGTGTACTTGAATCGTCTTTTTTAGGGCGGTATTCGAATTGAGTGTCGTAAAACCAAAACCAGATTAGCGACAACCGCCAATGAGAAGACAGAAAAATACTTTAAGAACCAATGAGAACTCAAAGTGAATACAAGCAAACTGCCCAAAGCGCGGGAAAACGCGGGTGACCATGTCGCGATTGGTTTTAGTTTTGAATCTGATTGGTTGAGAAGTAATGGGAGTATTCTGGACCAATCACCAAACGAAAGAAAGCAAAACCAAAGCAATTTCGATTCACTTTCGACACTCAATTCAAAATTGCTATATAAGTGGGAATTAATTGTCCAACCAAGACAGGGAGGATAACGACTGTGTAAACACTTATTTTTACCTCTGGTTCCTTTGGCCTTGGATAGCTCCACAATTACATCTCTCTTTTGAAAAATGGAGAATTGTGAGCAGTTGGCAGAAAGTTATTCATTAAAACTTTTCTGACATGGAATTCTCTTAAATCTCATCCACTTCTAGTGGCCTATTTGACAATCTTTTCAAAAAAATTATTCTTGAACTTTTTTAAAGTTGAAAGTCTTTTTCTGTATATCTCCCCGGATTTTTAAGGGACGTTTTGTTTGTAAAACTTCGTGGGCTTGTTAAGAAATATCCTTGAACATTTTAAACCTACAGGATCATTCGTAATTCACTGAAAACATTGAAAATAGTTCAAATTAATATTCTTAGAAAAGTTTCGAGAATGCTTGGAAAGTGAACGATTTGTTTTGGCCAGTCCAATAATCAGCATGGTTAAAAAGCTTCCTCCGCTTGATTGGTATAGTTCCTAAACCTTAATTTCGTGCCAAATGCCAACTAATGATTATACTCTTATCGGAACTTAGATGTGTAAATTCGTCTTGATACAAAAGTTTCATTTCTTTTCACAGGTATTCGCTGGCTCATATCACAGAAAGCTTTTGAGTTCATCATCTGTAAGTCTTCAGTTTTGAATCTTTGCTGCTAAATTGTAGAATTGCATTTCACTCGAAATTAGCAAATCCACTCACACTTTGAAATATTGTCTTGTAATTTCCAGAAATTTCAAGAGTTGAAACATAAAGAAATTAGCTCATTTGTTTTTAGAGGCCGTGTCGTAATAGCACTACTTCAAAGCTTCATTCAACCTACGAACAAACATTTATTGGCCTTGAACTCCGCTTTCAGGACATGCTTTGCTAGTCTTCATAATACATTTAGATCAATTTCTGCTTTGAATAATCGTCTTTAAAATTTTCTTCTTTTACAGATGGAATTATTATTGCAAATGGGATTTCAGTTGTTGTGGATATCATTGTGTTTTCCAGTAAGTTATTTTCTTTTCTTTGATTTTAAGCTTATCGAATTATGTCGTCAAAGAATCTGTTTAGAACTGAAGTGTCTCATTACACAACGCAATGAGGCGGCGACTTATCAAAACTAGATTTTTCTTGATCGGCCATGTGACTATTACCAAAAGCGGGAAAAATGCCCGTGAACGAGCCACGGCGCGTGTTGGGTTGGCCTCTGATGGCTAAAATAGTGGCGTGAGTTTTGAGAGCCAATTAGAAAACGCGGGGCACTTACCCAAATAAAGAAATTCTGTGCATCCGTGCATAGATGATATTTGTTCTGACCGAAAAATGTGTTGAGCGTTCCATGCGAAAGATTTTATTTACTCTTTATTTGCAGACACTCCTCAAAATGAAAGGCAAAAGAAGATAAGAGAGCTCCATTGGTACCATGTAGTCTTCATTTGTAGTGAGTTGATTCATCAGTGTCACATGTATTTTATTCCTAAAAATTTTTTATTTCTGATACGATGCATAGCTCGATTAATCTTTATTGAAGTTTTTAGGTTGGTTCCGTATTGGACTTAAAATATTTGGGCTGTTTTTTACGACTCATGGAGATTTCCTTGAACTTAAATATCCATGTAGTTATGAGGATTTCCTTCAGATATTCACAATGTAACTTTAATATTTCCAGTTTATGCAGTAGAAACCTCGCTCAAACTCCTTGGACTTGGTTTCAGGAAATATTTCCTGTCTGGCTGGAATATGTGAGTATTCAAGAACGGAGTTTAAGTTGTGCTTTCTTGTGTTACAGTTTAGGCTATCGTTTCTGACTTTGTAGATTCTGACTTGCAACCAACTTTTGCTCAGCGCGGCGCAGTTGCTGAAACTCTGAACAACCGTGAATATCAACACTGGTTGCTTTTTGCACGGTGCACTACTATGTGTAGTAAGTAAACAGGCATTAAAAGGATAGATACATTGCAGTTGTTTGTTTGTTTGTTTGTTTGTTTTGTGGGAAAAAACTTTGAAATATGTCAACTGTTATTTACAGCGCCAGCTGTTAGCAAAATAAAGTAGATATGTTTTAGAAGAGTTTTCCCCAGTAGCTTTATAATAATCTGGGATTAATAGTCGGTATCTGAACAACTGTACATGTGCACCTACCCCTCCCCTAACCCAACATTAACCTTAGCTCAGTTGTTATCAGTTTACTGTTGTCGGGTTAGGGGAGGGGTGGGTGTGCAGTTACTCCATTACTGACATTGATCCACTAACTGTCTTATTGTGAACTAAACGCTTCTATGGTTACGCTATCTTACAGATTCGACTTCTTTGTAACTGTGGCTGGTTTTATTGGTGCAGTGTCAGCATCCTTCAGTTTTATCGTCTGTTTGAGACCCTTGAGACTTTTGCTGTAAGTACTTAGTTCTTTTTAAAAAATCTTATTGAGTTCTTCATGTTACTAAAGCAATTGATATTCCTTGCAGACTTTTTAAATTGAAAGAAAGATACCGAGACTTGTTTGAGACAATAGGTGTCTTATTACCTCGAATGGCCAGGTAATACGTTCTCTGTTTTAGTGGAATTGTCCACTGTTAGGTAGGTGTGGCACTGTTGCTTAAAGTTTATTCATGGCTGAGCGTGAGAATGACAGTTTGTCACGCAACGTCTTCTGCTAGGCTAATGCGATTTGCTAACGTCGCCTAAGCACTAACGTTACTCACAAGAAACGATTTTTCTCTCAGGGTTGCCGTCGTCATTCTGTTGATGTACTACTCGTTTGGAATCATTGGAATAGAATGCTTCTCTGGACTCGAACTAAAGGATTGTTGTGTGTAAGTATTCTCCGTTCTAATAACAGTCTTTCATCGAATATTTTTTCACATGGATCTAGCGGAACTGGTGGGTCAGAGAGGGAGGAGTAAATTCCTCTAAAATTCTTTATAAGTAGTCTCTCAAACCAATGATTGTTCACCGAAACGACCGCATGAAGACCAAGCTCGATCTAATATTCCGCGTGAAAGTGATATAATGCGAGTCGATCGCGTTAAGGCTGGTTTGGTGTGCGAACATTAGGGGAAGTAGTATTCCGCATATGTTTGAAACCAGAAATAGCTCAAGTGGAATCGACGCACCCCACCCAATAACCAGTCTGTCCTCCTCTTTCCCTTCATTTTCTCTTGGATGGTCTCAGTCCAGCCACAAGTCACCCTTAGCTCGGAGGTTAAAAGTCTTACGAACTAGTTGTCTGGAAGATCGTTGGGTCGAATCCCAGTTGAAGCACTGAACATTTGTTTCTCTCCAGTATGTGTCGGTCACCGACTCAACAACCTCGTCTTTCCTACCATTTTATTTTATTTTGCACACTATCATGCAGAACAGGCGTTTCTTGGACGCATTTTAGTCGAGCAGTGATTTTCCGGTTGTGCGGCGGAAGTAGTCGCCCTTGTTGCTCGCCTCGCTTGAAAATGCACCAAAACCCTCCAGCATTTTAAGACCTACTGATACATGGAGAGAATGAGTTGGACGTTATGAGTTATATGTTGCTATTCCTGAATGTATCTCATCTCTAATTGTTCTTTTATTATTATTATTTTGCACAGAAACACTTCGTGGGAAGGAGAATACAAGGAGGGTGGCTATTATTATTTAAACAACTTCAATGATTTGCTACATTCATACGGTAAGCGCCTTGAAACTGTTTCTGGTTAAATTATTATTGCAAATAGGGAAGAACCACAAGCGAAGCGCTTTTTTTTATTAACGAACAAAAGATATCTAGTCTAAAGATGACTAGTTTCTGTGTTATAGGCAGCTAAACCACACTGAGGGAGACCCCACGCTTACGCTTATTTTCCGCCGTTTTCTCAAGTCCGTTCTTCATTCGATCCTCCCCGAGAGGAGGATCGGGGTGGGGTGAGCGCAGATTCATTTCCCGAAAAACGGCAGGTAATCGAGCGTACCCTCTATCGCTATCACCTCGGCACTACCAAAGACCTCTTTTCACCCTTCAAATGTAAAACGTCTGTAAACATCCGCTAATTGGCGTACACTTATCATAACTCACAGAAATAGCCCATCATGAGCTATATTTTGATGAATGGGCCTTTTACGGATGCGCGGGTGATTAAGAATTCAAACCCTTTTTCCAACTCACCCACCAACCCAACTCTCCTTTCCGCCCCATGCTTGCAATTTTCTCAAATTCATTTAAATGACCGCCTGTCCATTGGAGAGTTTCATCATATCGTACATAACCGTTTTTATTACGTTTCTCTGTAGTGACTTTGTTCGAGTTGACAGTGGTAAACAACTGGTTTATAATAATGGTAAGAAAACGGGATTGCTTGTTTTAGTGTTCCACTCGCTTAGTGAGTGCACGCAATCCCTGTGCATCATTTAAGTTGTATTCAACTGGTGTGGTGGAGTTATTGGCTTGTTTTGTGCAAATTCTGGATTAGTTTTTTCCTTTTCACAATCAGCTTTCTTTTCCTATTTATTGATAGGAAGGGATAGTTTACCTGACATCAGACTGGGCCAGAGTATTCTTTATGTCATTTTACATTGTCACAATGGTAGGTCTTAAAATCACCGATTATCATAGTTACACAAGTTTTTAGACAAAGATCTGCATACCTGGGTTTTTGAAATAGCCTCGGGGGAAGGGGTACTTAAGTCAATGTTTGCTGGGTGTGTGTCGCTGTCCTCTCAGAACCTTTACCCCATTATAGACTGTTCTGTGGCCAATTATAGATCCCATCCTAGTCACATTTGAGCCTATGTAAGTTCAGGAGAGCTTCTCTTCAGCGAGTTTCTTAGGCTACCTACCAGGTCCATATGCGACACGCTTCCTAGAAGGAATGCAAAAAGCGCCGTGGAGATAGAAAAACTATAGAATGAAGAGATGACCTTGGTAGATGAGTAAAGAAAGGTCCAAAACGTTTCTGAAACATTTCAGGCGTTGCTAGCTTCTTTTATTTTCTTCTATGTGCCTTTAGAAAAGAACTATTTTGGCATATTTTTACTAGTTCTCGGTAATCAAGTATTCTCTTTTCCTATCTTATTTTGACCAGGTTGTTATGACAATAGTTGTGGCGTTTATCCTGGAAGCCTTTCTCTTCCGGATTGAATATAGAAAAGAACATCCTACCGACGAGAAAGGTGAAGAGCGTCAGATATTACTGTAATCAAGACTGTTCTGGACCACTCTGCCCTAAATAACAACATTGAAATGTTGAAAACGTTCTCCGTTGTCTCTTGTCAATGAATTTCGTATTTCAAAGATCACGTATCTTCGATCGTTAGTGGCGTCACAGACGTTGTACAGCAAAATAAGCCTACGTGGCGTGTGTTACCTTTCAAAATACCATAGAAAAAGGAAAAGGGTTCGCAAAGCGTACACATTATACGAAGTGGCATCAAGTTGGAGAATGATGGAGAATAGCTGCGCTTAGAGGAAAGTGTGTTCAATATTGACAAAATGGTTTACCTTTCCACAGAGGATATGAAAATCAGGATGGAAATCATTGTGACCTACGAAGAACTCCTGGCCTTGGGCGAAAGCTATGTGGAAGATCTACAGCCTGATCAGCCCGTAAGAATATCATTATTTCGTAGTCTGTCAGACATTTTCATTCAACTCCCAAGTTTTCTGTTTTTAGGGGAATGTTTCTTGAGTCATGAAACACCACCTCTGTGACTTCAACTCAAATTCCTGACCCGTCAAGGGACCAATCAGAGATCTGCCGCTAACTCACGCGGCAAGCATAGTACGTGATTTCCCACTACGGTAGTATCAAAATGACCGTATATTTATGCTTTCCATTTGCGTAATATTCCGTTCAACAGCTGAGCAATAACTTGAAAACTTACAATCTATTATCACTGGTTTTCGAAATGAATTACGAGATATCATTCAAGGGTCCCGCAAGACAGCTTCCTCAGACACATTGAACCGTTGAGAGACCCATCAGTTATTTTGAACGTATAAACAGGTATCGTTATTTAAGGGTTCTTGTTCATAAATTTTACACTTGTTGGGCTGTAGTATTTTAGTCGATACACTAAGGTCTCAGATGCATAGCGGTCTTTTGTACCGAGGTTTAACTGTTTCAATACAGTTTGAGACTGTTATGTGACTCACGTACACTCGTTTCATTTCACTGCAGGTTCATTACGTTGGAAAACGCCCCAAGACAAAAATGGATTTGAGCGTAAAAATGTACGACGATGAAGTCAAGGTATAAACTTTTCATTGGTCATTAGTTTGTAAATTATTCTGTGGTAAATTAGTCAGTTGTTAACTGATGAATCATTCTGTAATAAATTAGTCAGTTGTTAATTGTTCAATTACACTGTAGTAAATTAGTCAGACAAGTAATGTTGAAGCGACGAGGTCACGCCATCATTATGCCCCGTTTTTGTTTTTATTTATTAGTTTGTTTGTTTCTTAACAACATCTCGTTTATAATTAACCTGTTTCGCTTTTCCTTGTAGGAATGGATAAAAAAGGAAAGGGCCCTCGACATGGGAGAAACTTTAGTGCACGCTCATATAACAGAGGATGAAATGCCCATGTCTTCTACCAACTCTCCTTCATCACCAGTCTCCTCGAATACGTCATCCAATGGTCTTGTGACTGATGAGATAACAATGGGAGAAGTAAACACAGTGTTTGATGAGGAAGAAGTAAATTATGACGCCACCTTTTGAAAATGGGAGCGGGAAAAACTGTTAACCTTCAACAAGAGTTCAACAGATTACTCTATTATGTACATATACTCAGTAAAATAGGCCATAACCATACAATATACACTAATCGAAATGTCCTAAACTCGAACTCGAACTTTTTAAAAGCGATTTGTCTAAAAAAGATATTGATTCTAAACATTTTTAGGATTTGAAAAATATATTTTTTGAATGTCCCTTTTCGGCTTCCGTGGTTTGAAATATTTTTTGATGTTTTGATGGTTGACCTCAGAAATTCTCTACAGGCTCTAAAGAATACCACATCTGTTCAAGAGGCTCAAAAGCTAATCTCAGATAATAATCTACAAACAGTCTTAGGGCTTGCAGGTACCCATCAGATCTTAAGTAAACAGGAAGACATTTTAAATCATGTTGACAATCTCGACTGCTCATTGGTTTGTAATTGAGAGGGTCCATGCAGTATTTGAGCAATTTAGAGGAAGGCTATCCTAACTAGGTGTCCTTGAAGCTATGACAGAAAATTAAGAGAAATTTAAGGGTTTTTTGGCTGTTCTGAAGTAGCCGCCATCGTCGTGACGATGACGGCTTACTAAGTGATTGTAATAAAAGACCTCTTGTTGCAGCGTTTAGATCACCCCTGATGGAGGTACTAGACAGGAAGTGTCGAAACATTGGGTCTGTGAATTGTAAACAAAGGCCCGGTTTGTTGCCACAAGAAATAGATTAAAAGATCTAGAAGTATTGTCCTCAGGTATGCATGGCAAGTAGCTGTGAAGAGTAACGAATTCAACAACTAATTCAACAGCCAAAAGAGTATTGTGACTCAAAACTGTTTTGCACTTCCTTCTACGAATATTAACCGATATGGCGAATCTTCGCGTAAGTGGACTTACGAAAGAGTCGGTAGGTTTTGCGACAGTAATATAAAACATCAAAAGTTAGTAGAGTTATTATTATCAAAGTTATTATCATATTTACAACATTATTTGAAAGTGTCAACCTAAAAGTTTGCTTCTGGAAACTGCCGTGAGAGAGTTTTGATACATGATTAGCGTTTACATTTTTACAGAAGGAAAAAGTATTTATGCGGTAAAGAACGAAAATGAAGAATTAACTCACACACAGGTATTTTATGACTGTATTGGTGCCACGGATACCTGTTAGTACAAAATGCGGTAAAAAAATTTCCGCACAGCCCCATACTATTGTAAAACAAATCTGTTTTCCCAACGACAATATATTGTTTTTTTATCATTGTTTCCTCTATCCAAAAACTGAATGCATAATGTAGTATGGGGCTGTGCGGAAATTTTACCCAAAATGCAGACTGCAGACCGCAGACTGCAGACTGCAGGCCGCAGACCGGATACAAAATGTAGACCAGGTACAAAATGTTAACTGCAGAGTGGGCAAAAAAGGCAGAAATGAGAATTTAAAGTGTTTTTTCGTCTGGTATGTGATAACATGTCATCTTACGACTTAACGAGCGTCACGCAATCGCTTCTCCGCGATCAGCGTTCACGATTATTTGCACTATTGTGGAATATTCTTGGCCCCTTTCAATATCAAAATCGTTCCTAATATAATTTTAAGCCTTCATATAGTGTTTTCACTTTGCGCGCGAGTTGATTGGTGTGATGTCTGTACAGATTTTACCAACTTAATAAAAGTAGATGTAGATGTAAATGAGATCTCACTATTGAATATTTAACACGCACAATATTCGAGAAATAATTGACAGCTTTGCACGTATTATCATCTTTTTAAGCGGTATGTGTTTATTTCGTTGACAAAAATGGGGACCGAGACCAAAACTGATCCTTCGACTCAATACATTTTCTTCGTTGGTAGATCACATCATATTAACTTAACTCCGTTCATTACACCCATTTTGAAATCACTGGTGGTCCCTGTAATCTGATTGGTACTAATTGATGTGATTTATTCACAAATCGCACCATTTTTACCCGGGCTTTCCAAAGGAAACGCCCGAGTTGAAATTCCGGCTTGGTTTTTTTTCGTTCGGTCGCAAATCGCAGTCAAGTCTTTATCACGCATGCGCAACCTTTAGACTCTGACGCATGCGCGACGCTTTGACTAATGAGCACATAGATTAATTGCGGATGAAGAGCATATACATTGTTTATAATACGCTAAAAACGCATACAAAATATGCACACATCGTTCGCGGTAGACCCACACTAAAAGATATCGAGCGTTTTATACATCGTGTATGTAGACGTGATCGTGAACTAAACAAAATACCAATACGAAGTTTGAAAAGGTTAAGGAACGAGCAGAAAGGTTAGAAAATTTGTCTATGCACGTATTCTTTCGTGTATCCCCATGTCATCTACATTGTACTGTTATGTTAATGCTAAAAGACTATTAAATAAAAGGACGTTTAAGTTTAACTGTCGTGAAAGAATTCGTTAAAGTATAAGAAAGGTAAAATGTCGTGCCAGTCGATATTTAACATTGTTTTCTTGTAACAAACTGATGTGTTCTTGCAAGAGTGAGGCTCATATAGCAAGTTATTGCAACTCCAAATTAAGTTGAGACATAGAAAAGAATCTTGGTCCTCCAATATATTTTGACCCTAACAAAACAATAGCAGTTCCATAAAGTCAAGGTAACGAGTTAGTTATTGGACAGATTGCAGGACAAAAATGTGTTGCACTGAGTTTGTGCTCTTTGATTTACAATAGCATAAAGGGGATCAGCTCTGCAAATGATCTTATCCAAATAATGAATATTGGAAATCAGTTTTATTCAACTTTGTCATGATTAGCCAGACAGACATTTTTAAAGCAGTCAGAACTACCAAAAGCATTAAATGTATCAAATGCAGTTGGTTATCAACTGGAATATTGTGAAAACTACTCTGGTACTGTTCACCAAGAAACTTCTGTAGAGGGATACAGTACTGTACCTTTTTACAAAGAGCCTTTGAGTTGCTCATATCTGAAAACTACACCAATTTCATAGTAACAATAAGGTGTATTGCTGTTGTAATCCATTGTTATAGTAACATAGGGTTCAAACTATTTTATTCTCTAGAAATTTGTATGATTGAGGGCAGCCTCAAGGCACATGTGTTCTTCTCAAAGTATTGTCCCTTGATAGCTAAGTGCATTATTTTCAGAGTATACAGAACAGTGATATATTTGAAGTGAGAAGAGTACAAATTGAGAATATTGAAAATAGGATGGTTTCTCAAAACAGTGTGAATGAAACCACAAACTTTAATCTAAGTTGTGTGGTAGCTTTATATTCCCTTTGCTAACTCCAAATGGAAACAAACCAATTGGAGGGAAATAGTACAAAATATGCTGGAGTATATTACACAGGTTCATGAGAACCAATCTAACAACCCCATAAAATTAATAGTTCATCTGCTGATAAGCTTTGGTAGTGACTTTTTTGTTTTCTTTTGGTATTTAGAAAAATAAGCAATTGGTTTCTTGCATGGGTTAATAGCCATCACCCTAACACTTGGGGTTGTTTATAATTAAAAGCTTTCTCAGCCTGGAATCTTTTGTTAACCAAGAAAAATAAAACATAAGAAGACAGCCTATTTGATAAATGGTTCAGCTCACTACAAGTCAAAACTCAAAAAAGGAAAAAAAAAATGGAAATAATATTGAGGAACAAGTATTGAAGTAATAGCCATCAATGTAAGGCACTTACTCCCCCCACCCCAGAAAAGGGTCTTTACACTACATAACAAATGCTGTTGTCAGCTCTCACAAAGAAAAAAACAAAGTTTCAAAGAAAAAACAAATATGCGTCCAGTTTCTTTCCAACAGAAAGCCTGAGTGAAAAACAAAACATGCATTTCAGTTTGTTTGAAGTAATCTATCAAATTGCAGGAAAATGAAAGACAAAGAGTACCATATAGTAAATTTTGCAACTTTTGTTTCCAAAACTCTTATTTTTCCCCAGAAAATGGATGAATTTAACGGCTCAGTTCTGCATCAATTTTTGTCTGAAGTCCTGTATTTGGGCGATTTCAAAATGGATTTCAAATCAAATTTTCGTCTGAAGTCTCGCAAATTGCTCGCTTGATTTTGAAATCATGCTTATGATTTCAGCCCAAATTGCTCTCCACTCAGTTCAATTACCATATCAAATCATTCACTCCAGATAACAGAATCAAATAAGCATGCTAACGATGGTATCTGAATTCGTCCTTGGCCAAACCTACACGACTCCACAAGATCACTCTCCAGGCAACGAAAACATTTCCATTCGTCCAGTGTTCTCAAAATTACCCTCGAAACAGCCAAAAAAATTCCCTCAACAGTCAATAATGACATAAAATCCACCTTGCAACACACTTGCAATTGTTCAAAATTCTAACATTGAAAGACCCGATCCAAGAGTAACACACCATGATGTTTACCATGAAATTAACTGCAACCAAACCACCAAAGAGAAAACTCAGCCATCTTTCATAGAAAAATCATTGTTCAATAATAACACCTCTTAACACTGCATATCAGTCAGACACGATCTCACATGAGGTGAAAAAGCTACCTAGGAGCCACAGAAAATAGTCCTTAGTTAATATTAATCAGACATTCATCTAGAGATAGCGCCAAGTAAACCAATCCAGAAAAATATAATTGGCACTCTCAACAAATCATGAATCTTGCAACACAGCTTGCTGTTAAAGAACTGCTCAAATCAAAATGTTTGGTGCAATTCATCAAAACCTCAAGAAATATTTGATTTAAAATTTTGCCACTCACTCTCATCATGAAGGAACAATAACTATGGTTGTGTCCTCGTGTACCGGTACACAAAGGAACGAAACATTAACGAACTGCGTCACAACTCCATGTATGGATGTGAAAACAATAGGAATTCCCCCGTGTACCGGTACACCAGGACAGCCCCAATAACCATGATCATGCTACAGTGCAGAGAACTCCATTTTCTCTCGAATAACTTTCCACCATTTTCTTAGCATGAGTAACACGTTTACTATAGGTAATCTGATGTCTTTCATATGTCCAGCAATATCGCATTTCTCATAAAGTGCGGTAAAATACATGTTAAAAATACAGAAAAGCCAACATTTCTCATTCTAAACGATTATTCTATTTTACGAACCGCTCTCTCTGAATCCCATGTTAATTTGTTGAACTTTGAACACCTCTCATCCATTAATTTTTTCTAAAATTGGGGCATGAAACCAAAATTGGGACCCAATAGTTCACAGGTCACAAATTTAGAAGGGAAAACTTCAAATCTCACCTTTCCTTTCCTTTCTGTAAAACTCACATGTCACATAGTAATTGTTGGCTACTGATAGTTGTGAGTCACTCGTCAACCCTTTGCCACCCACTTCTATGATTAATGATTTTTTAATAACAAATTCTTTGGTAGAATGCAGCAATATATCTCATGGAGGGAAAGAACAGTGACCGCTTTGAAACCCATCCCACCTCTCAAACATTTCGATGGTACCTTCTAGCAAATTCCCAAAAATTCTATGTTTTGGAGCTGATGGCTGCATTGATTCTTCTTGCCTTGGGACTCACTGAAAAACCACCAGCACTAAAAGCTAATAATTTGAGTGTTCCAGTCGAGGTAAGTGTACACTCAGCTCTAGTCAGAGGTGTTATGGGAGTGCGGGGGGGGGTTGAAAGGGAAAGTCCTACAACATATGGCTTTACAAAGTATGAATAAAGGGGGTAAGTTTCGAACTTTTGCTTAGGGCTTGGAAACTAGACAGACTTTGAACTTGACATGATAACCAAATATCTGTGGCAGACATTGGGTTATCGTATCAACTTCACATGCTGTTGTATACTGAATTTATGCTCATAGTTTTCATAGGGTTAGCCTAACCCTAAGCAAGTCTAATGTACAATAATGTTGATTGGCCACTATAAAGAGTTTCTAAAGCTGATATTTCCAGCGCCAGCCCTTCATCAGAGCAAAAGTGTGATCCTGATGTAGAAAATGACAATAAGAAGATGCAAAAATGAATATTTTACGGGGCCAATTTCATACAGGGAAAGTGTCTCCCAATTAGGGTCACTATCGCTCTCCTTAACCTCCCCTCCTTTACAGATACAGATTACACTTATGATTATAATGCAGTTGTATTTTGGGTAAATGCAAAATAATTAACCTCTAAGTTGTGTTTTAACATGATGTCCTTAAAGCATAGAGAGATTGATTCTATAAGTAGTCAAGAAGTAAATCCTTCAGTATCAACCAATGATTGAAATAGCAGTTTTACTGAATAATTTAGAGGACTTACTATTTAATATGGGTAATTGATATATATAAGATTAATAATTTGATATTGTAAATTACAATAATGAATTCAATATTGTTTACCAGGTTCAGGCAGCCGTGGAGATTCTCTCACTGATGATTGTCTTTGCTGGACTTGCTGTAAAACTGAAATGGCAGGGAGCAAAGTTTTTCTTCTCCTATAAGAGAACGCGTTTCACGGTACATTACAGTGCTACTTTGGTTGTAACATGCATTAATTTTCCATCACAAAGGGTTGATAGAGGGCTTTTCAAGTGAAAGTATAAAAAAACAAAGCCAAATTAATTACAGCGACAACCAGAAAAATGAAAAAAAAATTGCCAGAAGCTGATCAAGACTTGAATTAAAAACAGCCAGAATGCTCAGAGGATGGAACTAAATGTGCACAAGCTATCACACTGCAATTGGTTGAAGTTTTACATCTAATTCGTTGAGAAGGTAGTAAAACTTTTATGGACCAATCGCCAAGTGAGTGATTGTAATCTTGGATTGTTCTCAACACTTGATTGAAATTTCTCTATCTGGACAAACTGGGTGTGGATGTTTTAGTAAGATAATTAGCACCATTATTATAATTGTAATTGGAAAGGAAGTGAGACTCAGAGGGAGTACTTAGTTTGATAAAAATGACAGGGATTCTTACTATCTAGAACCTCTTAAGTATTATAGATCGATATGGGTCTGGCAATATGTCTTTTGGCTTGCTGAAATACCAATCCAACTTTAAAACAATTCAAATGTTTCACCTACTATCAGGTTGTTATTTGGTGCGTGGTATTTGTAGAAGCCATTGTGGTGCTGGTGAGAAGGGAGAATCATTTTCGAGTAACAAGATCTCTGCGCCCACTCTTTCTTATTGACACGCGTTACTGTTCTGGGGTGAGAAGGTGAGTCTCATTCTGTAAGTTAAAATTGAAGTTAAAATTGTCACTGTGGTTTGTGTAAATAAATTTGTTGTTTATTCTTCCAACCTCAGAGTATTAACAGGATCCAAAAATCCTTCCTGGAAGAATTTTCCCACCAATTCGTGATCAATGGTGAAATAACACCAATCTCAAAGATAGATGTTAGGGAGGGACCAGTTTTGGGGTTCACTGTTCAAGGGCTACAGATCAGTTTATCTTGGGGATCATCCTATAAAGAGTACCCCTCCCAATCAGGGGAAACAAAGCTGTAACATATTCTGATAAGAGAGCACTGGGATTGGTAATCCACCAATTCAAGACGTTGGCAGCAAAATGTCTTTGGCTGTTTTGAACTCTTCTATTTTCTGAAATGACTGTTATTTCTTCCTGTTGTTTGAATGAGATTCATACACTCTCTTTTACTTTAAATTTTTAGGGTTCTCCGACAGATTTTACTTTCACTTCCCCCAATCCTGTACGTGCTCTTTCTGCTGTTTTTTTTCATGGTAATCTTTGCTATGTTAGGTAAGAAATAAGAAAAAAATTAGTATTAGAGAAGTATGCTCCAGAAATCAGTTGTTAGCTTTTATGTTGTTCATTAGAAGGAATGATATATGAAAGGCACTGGTTACCAAATTCTGAGATTGATTAGAGTTAACTCCATGAATTCCTAAATGAAATGATTTGTGAAGAATTGTTATCTTGGAGTGTAGATTGTAGAAGTTGTTTTCTAGTTTACTAATCATTCTTATAACAGTTGAAGAGACATTTGGCTCAGATGTGATCTACCATCTTTTAGCATTGTTTTATGAATCAACATTTCACTAACAGTTTCTGTAATGGGGCCAACACTGACATAAATCAATCTAACAACGCTGCGTCAGAGAAATTTTTTATATTGACGGAACCTCCAAGTGTCTATTAAATCTCAATTCATTTATTAAATTTGAAAGCTCGTAAAAATTGAAGTACATTAAATTGAAAAAAGCCATTACCATTCAATATACACTAATCAAAATGTCCTAAACTCAAAACATGCGGGGCATGTATACAGATAAATCTAAAGAACATAAATATCCTAAGTGATACAGAACTACCCTTGATTGTACACGTTTAGGTATGTAAATCCAAATATAAACAAAATAACATACCTCTTTCCCCATTCTATTACTCTAATATTTCAACAATCCTTCAATCTATCTTCTCTTCTGACTACACGTGTAACTCACATGTCTCGTGGCTGAATGAAACATAATGCTAACAATTCAAAAGTATGTCACACAAACCAAAGGGTATTGAAAGTCATGCAAATAACTAAAAATAGCCTTCATTACAGTTTCCTTGTTGCTTGCAGGGTTCTACCTGTTTTCTGACAATGAAAAGGATGAGGTAATTTTATTTAGTTACTAAACCTACTTATCAAACATGTTGACATATTTGACAGACCAATTTTTTTTCCACCATCACACCTCAAGGAATTCTATTTAATTCAGTCTCCTTTTGCAAAATTAGTTTTTCAGCAGCTTCTGGAGAAGCTTCATCAGCTTATTTGTGTTACTTACAACAGCAAAGTAGGTGAAATTAAATAGTTATTCATAAGTTAAGCAAGAATGATTTTAGTTCCTTGAAATATTCTCCCTCTTATTAATTACACTAAATTTGTGGATTCTTTTCTACAGTTATCCTGATGTAATGATGCCAGCATATATCAGATCACGATGGTCTTTTATTTACTTTGCTGTTTACATTGCAATTGTTCTTTACTTTCTCATGAGTCTGGTAAGGTTTCAAAGCACCACAATGTATAAATTGTGGCACAGACATGCACCACATTATTGCCAGCTAATATTAATATATTTCCACTGGTCTCTACCAATCTGGCAAGTCACTTGACTCTGATGATGACTTCTGCTCAGGTTGTTGAATGTCAGTCACTATAACCAACAACACTCTGAGTCCTCTTAGGACTACTCTCACCTGGACAATCAGACTACACAGACATTAACTGTGTATAGTAATTACCACCCAGTTTTCTTGACCTGTCTCTTTTAACCTTTTAACCCTTAAGACTAGGATCTAATTTCTCCATACATCATGTATTATACATCATCCCTGAATCAAACTAAGGTCAGTGGAATAAAGGAAATGATTGTAAGGTCAAGAAGCTCTTGATTATTATGCAAATTCTCCCTGTAAGTACCTTAGAAAACTTGTAGATAACAGTAAAGAGAACTTGTAACTGATGAGGGTGGACAAACTGTCAGAGAAAATATTAATCACCAACAGATATCTTTTCAAACTGTTAGGAGATAAGGACATAAACAATCAGACCATAAGTCACTCATTACAGACCATAAGTCACTCATTACTTTGTCATGACAAAAAGTTTTGTAATTTTTTTTCCAAATTTTGGCCCCAACCAAAATTAATTACATGTAGCCCATGGTAAACATATAATGTTTTCTTGCTTTAACATTGCAGCTTTTGGCTGTGGTTTATGATGCCTTTACAGACATTGTAAAGAATAAGTTTAGAAAACTCTTTCTTCATAAAAGGTAAGAATCTCTGGGGTAAATCAGTTGAATTTTGGCTAGTGTCTGCAACCTGATGGTTTTAGTTATTATAAGGAACTCTACCTACTCCATGATATCAACTCAACACCATCCACAGTATCTCTTTCTCTTCCCTCTATTCTCCTTCTTAATGGTCCAGGTCAGGGAGGAAAGAAAGATCTTAAGAATCTGACGCACTTCAGAGTAACAAAAGTTTCTCAGACTTTAAGTGTGTTTGTTAAAGTCTTGACTGGTAGTTTTCTTTTCTCTAAGGAAAGGTATAAGAAAAGCTTACAAACTTCTCAAAGGTGAAAATGTAAGTTGTTGATAAGTTAGTAATGTATCAGTCTATTATTAACAATTAACTGGTCAGTCAGTCAGTCAGTCAAATAGATCATCTTCTGTCTGTCAGTGGAGCAGACAGCCAGGAGACAAGCACTGGTAGGCCATGAGTCAGTCAGTAAGTTAGGCATTAGGTTGTCAATCTAGTGGTCTGTCAGTTTGTCTGAGTTAGTCAATACCCAATGAATTAATTCCCTGAAATAGTCCACTTTCAAATAACTATTGTGTCAAACTAAATATAACAACTTAAGTCTTGATTTAAGGCAGGGTCATTTATATGTCAATAACAAATTTCCTGGTACAAAAAAAATAATCTACCCCTGAGGTAAGATAATTTACACTTTTTTTCATAGCCTCCACATGGGATCCAATGGGAAACTTTTAATGGCTTGATGTCAAATTACGACCCCAAAAGAAGTAAGTGCTTTAATTTACTTCAGGCTTATAAGTAAAAATGTGCTCAAAGTGTTTATTACTTTTTACGAGTTCGCAGTTAACTATAATATTTTTAATATTATTACCGATAGTCAGTCAATAAGAGCCTGGACTAGTCTCAAATCTTACTCACACACACTATTGTTGTGGTTTAAATATTTTAGAGAAATATTATTAAGGTCGTTAATCTAAGGATTGTTACTTTTCCAACAGCTGATGTGGAGAAATGTCTTTTTTTTAAGTCACTAAATAAAAGTAACACTGGACAACTAAGGTAATGTTCTTTTTCAAAAATGCATTATTTTTAGGTTTTTCTAAAGATTTGAATTGGTAATTCGTTTTTCGACTTAATTGTAGTTTAGAATTTATTTGGTTTCTACATCTGGTACCATTGTAGTTTGACTGTGACTCAATATTTATACTTACTGGTAGTTATCAACTTTTATTTTAGCCTGGATGAATTTTACAATGTTTTTGAAAACAGTGAGATGAGGTGGAAGCGGGTATGTGTCGATTATTTTATCGAAAGAAGTTGAAGAACATTTTGAAAAAAAAATTTCAAAACCTGCTAAAACTGCTGTAAAAATCGTGTTATGATTTATCTCACATGGTTACTGTTGTTGTTTTCTTAAAGGTAACAGAACATTACAATCAGTGGTTTAGCTGTTTCAGGTCATGTACCTGTTTGTACCGCACACTCAAAGGCAAGATTTAATATCCATGTTCAGTGTACTTGAATCGTCTTTTTTAGGGCGGTATTCGAATTGAGTGTCGTAAAACCAAAACCAGAATAGCGACAACCACCAATCAGAGGACAGGAAAATACTTTAAGAGCCAATGAGAACTCCAAGTGAAAAGAAGCAAACTGCCTAAAGCGCGGGAAAACGCGGGTGACCATGTCGCGATTGGTTTTAGTTTTGAATCTGATTGGTTGAGGAAGTAGTGGAAGTCTTCTGGACCAATCACTGAACGAAAGAAATCAAAACCAAAGCAATTCCGAATTACTTTCGACACTCAATTCAAAGTTGCTAAATAAGTGGGAATTAATTGTCCAGCCAAGACAGGGAGGACAACGACAGTGTAAACACTTATTTTTACCTCTGGTTCCTTTGGCCTTGGATATCTTAGAAATTATATCTTTCTTTTGTAAAATAAAGAATTGTGAGCAGTTGGCAGGAAGTTATTCATGTAAAATTTTCGGACGTGGAATTCTCTTAAATCTCCTCAGCCACTTCTAGTGGCCTTTTTGACAGTCTTTTCAAAAAATTGTTCTTGAACTTTTCAAAGTCTTTTTCTGTATATCTCCCTGGATTTTTTAAGGGGTGTTTTGTTTGTAACTCTGTGTGAGGTTGTTAAGAAATATCCTTGAAGATTTTAAAACTACAAACCCATTCGTAAATAACTAAAACCATTGAAAATAGTTCAAAGTCTTAGAGAAGTCTCAAGAATTCTTGGAAAGTGTACGATTTGTTATCACTAGTCCAGAAACAACCAAGTCACGAAATTCATGCGATCAGCATGAAAAGCTTCCTCCGCTTGATTGCTATAGTTTCCAAAACCCCAAGTTGATGACAAATGCCAATTAATGATTATTGTCTTACCGAAACTTAGATGTCTAAATTCGTCCTGATACAAAAGTCTAATTTTTTTTCACAGGTATTCGCTGGCTCATATCACAGAAAGCTTTTGAATTCGTCATCTGTAAGTCTCTTTGAATCTTTGCTGCTAAATTGTAGAATTGCATTTCACTTGAATTTAGCAAATTCACTCACACTTTGGAATATTGTCTTGTAATTTCCAGACATTTCAAGAGCTGAAACGTAAAGAAATTAACTCAAACGTTTTTAGAGGCCTTGCCGTAATAGCTAAGCTTCATTAATTAGACCTATGAACAAACATTTATTGGCCTTGAACTCCGCTTTCAGGTAATACTTAGCTAGTCTTCATAATACATTCAGATCATTAATTTCTGCTTTGAATAATCGTCTTTGAAATTTTCTTCTTTAACAGACGCAATTATTATTACAAATGGGATTTCAGTTGTTGTGGATATCATTGTGTTTTCCAGTAAGTTATTTTCTCCTCTTTGATCTTAAGCTTATCCAATTATGTCGTTGAAAAATCTGTTTAGAATTGAAGTGTCTCATTACACCACGCAACGAGGTGGCGGCTTATCAAAACTGGAGGCAATTTCTCTTGACCGGTCTTGTGACTAGTACCAAAAGCGGGAAAAACGCCCGTGAAAAAGCCGCGGCGCGTGTTGGGTTGGCTTCTGATTGGCTGAAATAGTGGAGTGAGTTTTGTGAGTCAATTAGAAAACGCGGGGCACTTACCCAAATAAAGAAATTCTGTGCATCCGTGCATAGATGATATTTGTTCTGACCGAAAAATATGTTGAGAGTTCCATGCGAAAGATTTTATTTACTCTTTATTTGCAGACACTCCTCAAAATGAAAGGCAAAAGAAGATAAGAGAGCTCCATTGGTACCATATGGTCTTCATTTGTGGTGAGTTGATTCATCGATGTGACATGTATTTTTTTCCTAAATTTTTTTTCTGATACGATGCATAGCTCGATTTATCTTTGTAAAAGTTTGTAAGTTGGTTCCGTATTGGATTTAAATTACTTGGGCTGTTTTTAAAGACTCTTTCAGATATTTGCAATGTAACTTTCATGTTTCCAGTTTATGCAACAGAAGCCTTGCTCAAACTCCTTGGTCTTGGTTTAAGGAAATATTTCCGGTCTGGCTGGAATATGTGAGTATTTAAGAACGGAGTTTAAGTTGTGCTTTCTTGTGTTGCAGTTAAGGCTATCGTTTCTGACTTTGTAGAGTCTTTGTAGATTCTGACTTGCAACGTATTTTTGCTCAACGCGGCGCAGTCGCTGAAACTATGAACAACCGTGAATATCGACACTGATTGCATTTCGCAAGGTGCACAACTGTGTGTATTAAGTGAACAGGCATCGAAGGATAGATACATTGCAGATCTTTGTTTGTTTTTTTGTGGGAGAAAACTTTGAAGTATGTCAAACTGTTATTTACATATTCCAACAGCACCAGCTGTTAGCCAAAGAAAGTAAATATGTTTTAGAAGAGTTTTCCCCGAATTCAGATCATTAGCTCTATAATCTGGGATTAATTGTCGGTATCTGAGCAACTGTAGATTTGCACCTCAGTTGTTATCAGTTGACTGTTGTCGGGTGGGTGTGCAGTTGCTTAATTACTGACATTGATCCATTAACTTCCTTATCGTGAACTAAACGCTTCTATGGTTACGCTATCTTACAGATTCGACTTCTTTGTAACTGTGGCTGGTTTTATAGGTGTAGTTTCAACATCCTTCAGTTTTATCGTCTGTGTGAGACCCTTGAGACTTTTGCTGTAAGTATTCAGTTCTTTTTAAAAAATCTTATTGAGTTCTTCATGTTACTAAAGCAATTAATATTCCTTGCAGACTTTTTAAAGTGAAAAAAAGATACCATGACTTGTTTGAGACAATAGGTGTCTTGTTACCTCGAATGGCCAGGTAATGCGTTCTCTGTTCCAGTGGAATTGTCCATTGTTTAGTAGGCGTTGCACTGTTGCTGAAAGTTTATTCATGGCTGAGCGTGAGAATGACAGTTTGTCACGCAACGTCTTCTGCTAGGCTAATGCGATTTGCTAACGTCACCCAAGCACTAACGTTACTCACAAGAAACGATTTTTCTCTCAGGGTTGCCGTCGTCATTCTGTTGATGTACTACTCGTTTGGAATCATTGGAATAGAATGTTTCTCTGGACTCGAACTAAAGGATTGTTGTGTGTAAGTATTTTCCGTTCCAGTTACAGTCTTTTATCGAATATTTTTTCACATGGATTCTTTACAGGTAGTCTCTCAAACTAATGATTGTTTATCGAAACGACCGCATGAAGACCAAGCTCGATCTAATGTTCGGCGTGAAAGTGATATAATGTAAGTCGATCACGTTAAGGCTAATTTGGTGTGCGAACATGAGGGGAAGTAGTATTCCGCATATGTTTGAAACCAGAAATAGCTCAAGTGGAATCGACGTATTCCACCCATTAACCAGTCTGTCCTCTTATTTCCCTTCATTATCTCTTGGATGGTCTCAGTTCATCCACAAGTCACCTTTAGCTCGGAGGTTAAAAGTCTCATGCTCTAATTGTCTGGAGGATCGTTGGGTCGAATCCCAGTTGAAGCGCTGAACATTTGTTTCTCTCCAATATGGGTCGGTCACCGACTCAACAACCTCGTCTTTCCTAGCATTGAGTTTTATTTTGCACACTATCATGCTGAACAGACATTTCTTTGACGTATTTTAGTCGAGTAGTGATTATCAGGCTGTGCAGCGGAAGCATTCGTCCCTATTGCTCGCCTCGGCTGAGAAATGTACAAAAATCCGCCAGCATTTTTAGACCTATGATAGATTGAGAGAGAGAGACCTATGAGAGATTGAGTAAGACGTTACGATTTACATTTTGGTATTCCTGAATGTGTCTCATCTCTAACTGTATTTTTTTTATTTTGCACAGAAACACTTCGTGGGAAGGAGCATACAAGGAGGGTGGCTATCATTTGAACAACTTCGATGATTTACTACATTCATACGGCAAGCGCCTTTAAACTGTTTTCTGGTTAAAGTATTATCGCAAATAGGGAAGAACCACAAATGAAGCACTTTTTTTATAACGAACAAAGGATATCTAGTTTAAGGATGACTAGTTTCTGAGGGACACCCCACGTCTACGCTCGATTTCCGCCGTTTTCTTAAGTCCATTCTTCATTGGATCTTCCCCGGCGGCGGGGGGGGGAGGGGAAGTGGGTGGGTGGTGTGAGCGCAGGCTCAATCTCAATTCCCGAAAAACGGCAGGTAATCGAGCGTACCCTCTGTCGCCATCACCCCGGTACTACAAAAGACCTCTTTTCACCTTTCAATTGTAAAACGTCTGTAAACATCCAGCAATTAGCATACACTTATCGTAATTATTTGCGTCATTGCGTCACTTAATGCGATTTTACAGAAATAGCCCATCATGAGGTAAATTTTGATAAATGGGCCTTTTACTGATACGCAGGTAATTAAGAATTCAAAATCTTTCTCCAACTCACTTCCCTTTCCGCCTCATGCTTGCAATTTTCTCAAATTCTTTAAAATGGCCACCCTTCCATTGGAGAGTTTCATCACATCGTATATAACCGTTTTTTATTACCATTATCTGCAGTGACTTTGTTCGAGTTGACAGTGGTAAACAACTGGTTTATAATAATGGTAAGAAAACACGATTGCTTGTTTCAGTATTCCACTTGCTTCATAAGCTTCCGACGGTGTTTAGTTGGATCAGCCTTCGTGAGTGCATGGGATTCCTGTGTATCATTATAGTTGGGTTGAATTGGTTACCTTTTGGTGGAGCTAACGGCTTGTTTTGTGCAACTTCTGGATTAGTTTTTGCCTTTTCATAATCAGCTTTCTTTTCCTATTTATTGACAGGAAGGGATAGTATACCTGACATCAGACTGGGCCAGTGTATTCTTTATGTTATTTTACATTGTCACAATGGTAAGTCATAGAATCACCGACTATCATAGTTACACAAGTTTTTAGACAAAGATCTGCATACTTGGGCTTTTGAAATAGCTTCGGGGGAAGGGGTACGAAAGTCAATGTTTGCTGGGTGTGTGTCGCTGTCCTGTCATAACCACTAACCCATTATGGACTGTTTTGTGGCCAATTAAAGATCCCATCCTAATCACATTTGGGCCTACACGGTAAGTTTAGGAGAGCTACTCTTCAGCGAGTTACTTAGGCTACCTATTAGGTCCATATGCGACACGCGGAGATAGAAAAATTATTATAGAATGAAATGAATGGTAAATTTTGACCCTAGTAGATGAGTAACCAAAACGTTTCTGAAACATTTCAGGCTTTTTTAGCTTCTTTTATCTTCCTCTATGTGCTTTTAGAAAATAACTATTTTACCATAGTTTTACCAGTTCTCGGTAGTCAGGTAATCAAGTATCCTCTTTTTCCATCTTATTTTGACCAGGTTGTTATGACAATAGTTGTGGCGTTTATCCTGGAAGCCTTTCGCTTCCGGATTAAATATAGACAAGAACATCCTGCAGACGAAGAAGGTGAAGAGCTTCAGATATTACTGTAATCGAGACTGTTCTGGACCACTCCGCCGTAAATAACAACATTGAAATGATGAAAACGTTCTCCGTTGTCTCTTTTGTCAATGAATTTCGTATTTCAAAGATCACGTATCTTCGATCGTGAGTGGCGTCACAGACGTTGTACAGCAAAATAAACCTAAGTCGTGTGTGTTACCTTTCAACCTTCCATAAAAAAAAGGAAAAGGTTCGCAAAGCGTACACATTATACGAAGTGGCGTTAATTTTTTTGCTTGTCAAGATGGAGAATAGCTGCACTTAGAGGAAAGTGTATTCAATATTGACAAAATGGTTTACCTCTCCACAGAGGATAAGAAAATCAGGATGGAAATCATTGTGACCTACGAAGAACTCCTGGCCTTGGGCGAAAGCTATGTGGAAGATCTGCAGCCCCATCAGCCCGTAAGAATATCATTATTTCGTTGTCTGTCAGACATTTTCAGTCAACTCCCAAGTTTTCTGTTTTTAAAGGAATGTTCCTTGAGTCATGAAACACCAACTTCGTGACTTCAACTCAAATTCCTGGTCCATCAAGGTACCAATCAGAGATCTGTTGCTAACCCACGCAGCAAGCATAGGACATGATTTCCCACTACGGTAGTATCAAAATGACCGTATATTTATGGTTTCCATTTGCGCTATATTCCGTTCAACAACTTAACAATAAGTTCAAAACTTTCAATCTACTATCACTGGTTATCAAAATGAATTACGAGATACCATCCAAGGGTCCCGCAAGACAGCTTGCTATGCTCATCAGATACATTCAACCGTTGAGAGACCCATAAGTTACATTGAACGTATAAACAGGTATCGTTATTTAAGGGTTCTTGTTCATCAATTTTACACTTGTTGGGCTGTAGTATTTTGGTCGATATACTAAGGTCTCAAATGCGTAGCGGCCTGTTGTATCGAGGTTTAACTGTTTTAATACAGTTTGAGACTGTTATGTGACTCGCGTACACTCATTTCATTGCAGGTTCATTACGAAGGAAAACGCCCCAAGACGAAAATGGATTTGAGAGTAATAATGTACGACGATGAAGTCAAGGTATAAACTTTTCATTTATCATTAATTGATGAATTATTCGGTAGTAAATTGGTCAGTTGTTAACTGATGAATTATTCTGTAGTAAATCGGTCAGTTTTTAATTGTTAAATTACACTGTAGTAAAGTAAATTAGTCAGTTAGACAAGTAATGTAAAAGCGACGAGGTCACACCATTTTGTCATTGCGCCCCTTTTTCTTCGTTCTTTGAATATTATCTCGTTTGTAATAAACCTGTTTCGCTTTTCCTTGTAGCAATGGATACAAAATGAAGAGCCCCTCGAAATGGGAGAACCTTCAGCGCACGCTCACATAACAGAAGACACAATGGCCATGTCTCCTACCAACTCACCTTCATCACCAGTCCCCGCGAACACGTTATCCAATGGTCTTGTGACTGATGAGGTAACAATGGGAGAAGTAAACACAGAGTCAGACGAGTAAGAAGCCATCTTTTGAAAATGTTTTGCTTTTCCTTGTAGCAATGGATACAAAATGAAGAGCCCCTCGAAATAGGAGAACCTTCAGCGCACGCTAATATAACAGAAGACACAATGGCCATGTCTCTTACCAACTCACCTTCATCACCAGTCCCCGCGAACACGTCATCTAATGGTCTTGTGACTGATGAAGTAACAATGGGAGAAGTAAACATAGCTTTAGACGAGTAAGACGCCACCTTTTGAAAATGGGAGCGGGAAAAACAGATACCCTCCAACAAGGTTCAACAGATTACTCTATTATGGATATATACTCAGTAAACTCTTACCTTAAATGAGGCGGATACCAGTCTGATCGGTTCCTAAGAGCGCTTGAAAAACCAACTGTACAGTATGCGGTTGGTTTTTCAAGCGCTCTTATCAATATATCTGGGGCTGCACTAGCGTCATGCAATGAACTGTAAATATGTAGCGCCGCATCGTTTGTCACATAACGAAAGCTTAGAGCGCCAGCTCAGTGTATATTCGGCTGGAAACTGAAAAAAGAACTTCTTAGACCAGGTTAAAATGGTAAAGTTTTACTTAATATGAACAAATCTGCCAAAATGTTTAGATTTCCTAGGGACTATTTTTATTCTAAAATAAAACCCCATACTCTAGGAAAGTCTTTCAGATTGAATAGTCCTTAACACTGACCAAGAATCAAAGTGCTCTGTGAGCAAACTCGTGAATTGACACATGATTTTTTGGATTATGTTTCATGTTATCTGGTTTAGGGAATTTTGTGGTTGAGTGTCATATCTAGAGTACGAGCAGTAGTTCAGTGTTCACTAATGTAGCAAAGAAACAAAGTAACGTTGGGATAAGAAGGCATTACAAATGAAATGATCATGCTATTGCATTTGACAAGGGTGGATGATGTCATGTGTTTCAAATGAGACAAACGGGAACGAGTTTTGAGTGATATAACTAAGCCAAGATTGCCACCGTCATTTTGGATCTCCGCCTGGGTAGATTTCAGTCACGTGCTAGGCAACGTACTGAATCAATAACAAGATAGAATTTCATTTCAGGCCTATTTATCAATTTTGTGGTGTATAACTTTCGCATTTTAGTACGTAATATGTATTTTGAATCTTCAAATTGTCTTGAAACTTAAAAGAAAATTGTTCTTTAAAAATTCACTGAAAATCGGTAGCTAAAATTGTTTGTTTACGTGTTATTTGATTTTCCTGTTAACTTCTAATTTCGTTAGTCGCCGGCATCTTCTGTTGCTTCGCACAGGAAAAACACACGATACGAAGCGTAATGATCGATTTTGTCCGTAGCAGAAAAAGCTTTTGAACATCTGTAAACTCTGAGCGCTTCGCAGTAAAGGATATTTTCAAAGAATCTTCGGATTGTTTTCAAGTTCAAGGATTGTAAATTACAATTTTATGAAAAACGAAGGGTGTTCTGTTATTTCAGTGTGAATACTTGCATGCCTGCCAGTCGCTGGCGCCGCTTGTTGAAACTAAAACGAAAAAAAAAATTCTTTTAAGATTATCATTGGCTTCTTTGTCACCCCACCACTATTCTTAGCAACAAAGATCACCGTTTCGTTTGTTTTTTGCTCGCCAAAAACTATCAAATGCACTCAAAAGCCTAAAATCGAAAAAAAGTTTACAGGAATCGACCAATCGAGCAAGCGAGCGAGCGTATGCCATTCCCCACACCGTATCTACAACTCGCTCTTACGCATGCGCGCAATTCACGAGTTAAAAATGATATTTTATGCGTTTTCTCGACTGCTAACCTAGATGAACACCAAGTGTTTTTTTTTCGCCATACAAAAACAGAAAGAACAATTATTTGATGAAGAGTATGCAATAAAGTGATTTTGTTAGAAGATATCAGTTGAGGACCGAGAGAGTATTTCTGCCGTCACGTAATGTCACGCAAAGGTTACTTATTCTTGGCATAACAACTTTGAAAGGGGCTTTTAAGAGGTGTAGGAGATACTATTGTTCAGTTTTTAGAAAAAGAAATGACGAAGGGCCTTCGATTTCACGTTTAATTATCTCACAAACTTCGTGCACTGAATGGACTTAGTAAGCAATGGCTTAATTTCTTCCAGTCGTTAATGAATAATCTGTAAGACTTTACGCCAGTAACTAACGGCGTAATTTCTTCCCGCCGGTAATATGTATATGCAAGATTTTACGCCAGTAACTAACGGCATAAATTCTTCCAGTCGGTATGTAAACATACCAAAAGATTTTATGCCGCTAGTTAACAGCTCACAATCTTACAGTATATGTACCGTCGCAGATAGTGGCGTAAAATCGTACAGGCTGTCCTGTAAAATTTTAACAAAATCGTCCCTGATATATATTCCCCGCCGCGGAGAAATGTTTTATATTGACGGAACCTCCAAGCGTCTATCAAATCTCAACTGGTTTATTAAACTTGAAAGCTCTTAAAAACAGAAATACAATAAATTGAAATAGGCCATAACCATACAATATACACTAATCGAAATGTCCTAAACTCGAACACGCGGGGCGTGTACACAGATAAATCAAAACAACACAAATATCATAAGCGAAACAAGATGACCTTTGATTGTACACGTTTCGGCATATGAATACAAAAATAAACAAGATGACATACCTCTTCCCCCGTTCTATTACTCTAGTATTTCGACAATCCTTCGATCTATCTCATCTTCTGGCTATACTTGCGTCTAACACGTGTCTCGTGGCCGAATGAAATATAATGCCGAAAGTATGTCACACAAAACAGAAGGGTATTGAAAGTCACGCAAATCACAACTAGAAAATAGCCTTCTTTACACTCGATTTGCGAAAATTTTCTAGATTTTTGAAAGATTCTTGGATTGTAAACTATTTTCGATTTTCATGAAAGTTATTTGCGGATCTATGAATTAAACCAGGATTTGAAATTGATTTCTCGATTTGACAAACTTTTCAAAAGCGATTTGTCTAAAAAAGATATTAATTCTAAACATTTTTCAGGATTTGCAAAATATTTTTTGATTGTCCCTTTTCGGCTTCCGTGGTTTGAAATATTTTTCAAAATTTTGCCCTTTTTGTGGACAAAAGGTAGAAAACGACTCTAGCGCAAGTGAAACAGATAAATGTGCAAAAAAATGCTTGAGCTTCAAAAAACTATGCTGCAAAGAAAAGCGAAGAGAGGTCGACTCATTTTCGATCAAGTGGCTCCAAGAGAAGAGGGCAGAAGAAGAAAGAAGAGGATCCCTTCGTGCTAATCAGTATAGACCTGATGCGATTTATTGGCCCAGATGTGATAACTCCGATCCGTGGCAAGACATTGCCCATGAAAGTAAGAAAGGATTCTGGATATGCTGAAGTCTTTACAGAGGCCTTGGTGAAACGCCAAGCTCATGACCAGGTATTTGACTCGAAGACAAGGCGGAAATTGGTTTACCCAGATGGACAACTGGCCATGAATCTTCCAGGTCAGCAAGAAGAAGAATTCACTCGGCTAAACTACAAGGAAGATTTAGGTAAACCTTACCACAAAATTACTTTGTACCTGTGCCCAGAGGAACCGGCAGACGAGTTTATATTGGACGGTGAGACTAACCCCGAGCCTGTTACTCAGGGTGTTAAGTAAGATACTGAGTCACTCTCGGCTATCTATGCCCTTGAGTTTTTTGGGCTCTGAGAACAAGAAGAGGAGGAAGAGGAAATAATACGAGAGGGGAAATTAAATTAGCTTTAACTTGGACACTTCACTCATTATGGAACGTCAAAAGCTATATCCCTTTTCGATATTTTTTCAGAAGCTTAAGCTTACATTATTCCAGTTTAACATACATAGTCATCCTTGGGAAAGTGCTCTAAGGGGGCTTATGAGAAAATCTTTTTCTCTAGATGACTAGGTTCCAGTTTTAGTTTACTGATGATTCTGGAACTTCTGAGGGTGCAATTGACTTAGGGGGACCAAAGAGAGAACTCTTTGACTTTTGAATTCTTTGACATCGTCGTGACGATGGCGGCTTACTTCCTGACACCTATTTACACCTCTTCAGGAAAAAGGCCGCTAATTAGTGATTGTAATAAAGGACCTCTTGTTGTAGCGTTTAGATCACCCCTGATGGAGGTACTAGACAGGAAGTGTCGAAACATTGGGTCTGTGAATTGTAACTTCTTCGGTTAAATTCATTAAATCTGAAAACCAGAGTAGTATCAAACTATGTCTGACATGGCAAACAGTTGAAAACTCATTTATTCAAATTTTCAACATTCTTGAAGGTAAGGGAAAACTCTACGATAAACATCCATGTTGCTACAGCAAACACATGCACCTCATTTCCGGTTTGTGCTTGAGGAACCATTGATGTGCGAAATAATGAACAGAACTGACTATTTATCATTTAGAACAAAGGCCCGGTTTGTTCTCACAAGAAATAAATCATGAGATCTAGAACGATTGTTATCAGGTATGCATAGCAAGTAGCTTTGAAGTGTAGCGAATCCAACTACTAATTCAACAGCTAAAAGAGTATTGTGACTCAAAACTGTTTTGCACTTCCTTCTACGAATATTAACCGATATGGCGAATCTCCGCGTAAGTGGACTTCCGAAAGAGTCGGTAGGTTTTGCAGCAGTAATATAAAACATCAAAAGTTTGTAGAGTTATTATTATCAAAGTTATTATCAAAGTTATTATCATGTTTACAAAAGTATTTGAAAGTTTCAACCTAAAAAGTTGCTTCTAGAAACTGCCGTGAGAGAGACATTTAGTTTTGATACATGACTAGCGTTTACATTTTTACAGAAGGAAAAAGTATTAACGCGGTAAAGAACGAAAATGTAGAATTAACTCACACACAGGTATTTTGTGACTGTATTGGTGCTGAAGTGTGGACGTCTTGTATTCTGCAGCATACACCGTTTTTGATATCTGTTGGGCTATACCAGCAACTAAACTACTCTCTACATCTAGTTACAAGCTCGGCTTTTATAGGTACGGTTGAGGATCTAGAACGCTCCGTAACATTACAACAGATTCTATCTATATATTGATTCACGGATGACTAAGCATGACATAGCTATACTTTTAGAACATTCTTGAAGGTCACACTACGTCCTCTCTTCTTTACAAAGACTGACGAACAGTTCATTAGGGAAATCACGAGAAATCACATTGCCTATTGCAGTCTATTAAAAGTCTCTAAGGTTATTTAAACAGAACGAAGTCTTTATACTTTGAGTTTGGCTTGACTTGTCTCTGTGATCTTCTTACGCCTTGTCGAATCGGTACTGGTTCTGATTTTGATTTATGTTTTATGTCACTCAACTGCATTTGTCCTGTTTCGTTATTGACTCCAGGTAATTCTATGAACTTTGGCTGTGGGGCAGTTGGGAAGGCTGCATCTGACTGTGTGGGTGGGCCCACAGGAGAGTCTAAAGAAGGGTCTGTGACAACGACTTTGGGCGTTGTCATTTCTCTAGTTTTCCTGATGTGACACCGATTCCTCCTGTACTCACGGCCATCGGCCTTCACTATGTAGGATCTGTCAGATTCTCTTCTGACCACATGGCCTTGTGTCCACAGGGGCGACGACTGAGGCCTGACCTTGGCGCGAATACTATCTCCTACAACAAGAGGGGGTAGCGGCTTTGCTCTCTTATCATGATACCTCTTGTTCTGTCGCTTCTTCATGACTGAAGCTCGTATGATGCTTGAGGTTGGTATCACGTGGGGTTCAAGTAACTCTGATTTCACTGGTATAACTGTTCTTGTTCTTCTAGAGTTCAATTTCTCATTTGGTGATGCCAACTCATCAGGTGTATTATTTATTCCTAAATAACCATCCAGGGGTCGTGACTCGAGTATCTTCTTAGCTTGTTTGACTGCAGCTTCCGCTGTACCGTTTCCTTTTGGATGGTGTGGTGAAGAGGTATAGTGATGAAAGTTCCAACTCTCTGAAAACTCCTTAAATTCCTTGCTAGCATATTCAGGAACATTGTCTGATATCACCACTTCAGGGACTCCCTGCCGGGCGAAAATCTTCTTCATCTGTAAGATTGTGGACTCAGCATCAGTATCATGCAGTTGCTCTAAGTCCCAGTATTTTGTGAGATTATCCACAACTACCAAGTAGACGTCTTTCTTCACATTGAAAAGATCAGTACTGACTATTTGCCATCTTCTCTTTGCAATAGGCTCGCTCTGTTTCTCTAGGTTGATCTGACTTAGCTCCCTGACATATTGAACAGTTATCGCAGAGATATTTTATATCATGATGAATCGATGGCCAATACAATGTATCTCTCGCGAGTCTCATGAATCCCTCTGCTCCTAGGTGAGCGAGGTGTGTTTTTTTCTAACATCTGTGGGCGCATAGCAGTGGGAATGAGCGCTCTCGTTCCTCTGTAGATTATTCCATCCTGAACTGCTGGCTCATCTCTATACGGCCAGTAGTCTCGGACATTTGGCGGTACTTGCGTCTTGTCCTCAGGCCATCCACTAGCTATAATTTCAGCTAAGGTCATGAGATTATCATCTTTTGAGGTTGCTGTTGCTACTTTCTGAAGGGTTGCATCTGTCATGTTAAGATATTTGGATCTGTTCCTTCGATCTCTTTCATGAGAAGTTCTTCTGCGTGAATTGTAAAGACTTCATAATCATCTATTTCCTTCTTTTGCGTTCGGCCATTTGGGAGGGCAGATCTTGACAGATGATCACTTATGTACATCTGAGTTCCCTTTTTGTACACAATATTTAGGCGGTACTTTTGCAGTCGTAGCATCATGCGTTGTAACCTATTGGGCGCGCTGTTGATACTTTTGGCAAGTATGGTTTCTAAAGGCTTATGATCTGTGATTGCTGTAATCTTTTCTCTTCCATGGAGATAGTGGTCAAATCGTGTACAACCAAACACCAGTGCGAGGCATTCCTTCTCGATCTGAGAGTAACGTCTCTCAGTCTCAGTCATAGTGCGACTAGCAAATACCACTGGTCTGCTGGCTTGAAGTAGAATAGCTCCTAGTCCATAGTCACTTGCAGCTGTCTCAATCGTTACTTCTTCCTCCAAGTCGTAGTAACGGAGTAGAGCAAATGATCTTATACCAATAATGAATATTGTAAATCAGTTTTATTCAACTTTGTCATGATTAGCCAGACAGGCATTTTAAAAGCAGTCAGAACTACCAAAAATATTAAATGTATCAAATGCAGTTGGTTATCAACTGGAATATAGTGAAAACTACTCTGGTACTGTTCACTAAGAAACTGCTGTAGAGGGATATCAGTACTGTACCTTTTTACAAAGAGCCTTTGAGTCGCTCATATCTGAAAACTACACCAATTTCATAGTAACAATAAGGTGTATTGCTGTTGCAATCTATTGTTATAGTAACATAGGGTTCAAACTATTTTATTCTCTAGAGATTTGTATGGTTGAGGGCAGCCTCAAGACACGTGTGTTCTTATCAAAGCATTGTCCCTTGATAGCTAAGTGCATTATTTTCAGAGTATACAGAACAGTGATATATTTGAAGTGAGAAGAGTACAAATTGAGAATATTGAAAATAGGATGGTTTCTCAAAACAGTGTGAATGAAACCACAAACTTTAATCTAAGTTATGCTGTAGCTTTATATTTTCTTTGCTAACTCTAAATGGAAACAAAAATCAATTGGAGGGTAATAGTACAAAATATGCTAGAGTATATTTCACAGGCTCATGAGAACCACTCTAACAACCCCATAAAATTAATAGTTCATCTGCTAATAAGCTTTGGTAGTGACTTTTTGTTTTCTTTTGGTGTTTAGTAAATAAGCAATTGGTTTTCTTGCATGGGTTAATAGCCATCACCCTTACACTTGGGGTTGTTTATAATTAAAAGCTTTCTCAGCCTGGAATCTTTTGTTAACCAAGAAAAATAAAACATAAGAAGACAGCCTATTTGATAAATGGTTCAGCCCACTACAAAATAGGAAAAAAAGGAAAAAAAATGGAAATAATGTTGAGGAACAAGTATTGAAGTAATAGCCATCAATGTAAGGCACTTACTCCCCCACCCCAGAAAAGGGTCTTTACACTACATAACAAATGCTGTTGTCAGCTCTCACAAAGAAAAAAACAAAGTTTCTTTCCAACAGAAAGCCTGAGTGAACGCAAATATGCGTCCAGTTTGCTTTAAATTGCATCTTTTTCCCAGCCAATAAGGAGGCTACACCAAAAACAAAGTAACCAATCAGATTTCAAGGCTTGTTTGAAGTAATCTATCAAATTGCAGGAAAATGAAAGACAAACAGTATCATGTAGTAAATTTTGCAACTTTTGTTTCCAAAACTCTTATTTTTTCCCCCCAGAAAATGGATGAATTTAATTTCAAACCGGCTCAGTTCTGCATCAATAAAATATTTGAACTGACCAAGTCCTGTATTTGGGCGATTTCAAAATGGATGTAATAAAGTGGTAATTGAATCTCGTGTTGTGCAATTTTCGTCTGAAGTCATACTTGTGATTTCAAATCAAATTAGCGCTGCTCGCTTGTTCGATTTTGAAATCATGCATATGATTTCATCCCAAATTGCACTCCACTCAGTTCAATTACCATTTCAAATCATTCACTCCAGATAACAGAATCAAATAAGCATGCTAACGATGGTATCTGAATTCGTCCTTGGCCAAACCTAAACGACTCCACAAGATCACTCTCTCCAGGCAACGAAAATATTTCCATTCGTCCAGTGTTCTCAAAATTACCCTCGAAACAGCCAAAAACATTCCCTCAACAGTCAATAATGACATAAAATCCACCTTGCAACACACTTGCAATTGTTCAGACTTCTAACATTGAAAGACCCGATCCCAGAGTAACACACCATGATGTTTACCATGAAATTGACTGCAAGCAAACCACCCAAGAGAAACTCAGCCATCTTTCGTAGAAAAATCACTGTTCAATAATAACACCTCTTAACACTGCATATCAGTCAGACACGATGTCACGTGAGGCGAAAAAGCTACCTAGGAGCCACAGAAAATAGTCCATAATTAATATTAATCAGACATTCATCTAGAGATAGCGCCAAGCAAACCAATCCAGAAAAATATAATTGGCACTCTCAACAAATCATGAATCTTGCAACACAGCTTGCTGTTAAAGAACTGCTCAAATCAAAATGTTTGGTGCAATTCATCAAAACCTCAAGAAATATTTGATTTGAAAATTTTCCACTCACTCTCATCATTAAGGAACAATAATTCTCTCGAACAACTTTCCACCATTTTCTTAGCATGAGTAACACGTTTACTATAGGTAATCTGATGTCTTTCATATGTCCAGCAATATTGCATTTCTCATAAAGTGCGGTAAAATACATGTTAAAAATACAGAAAAGCCAACATTTCTCATTCTAAACAATTATTCCATTTTACGAACCGCTCTCTCTGAATCCCGTGTTAATTTGTTGAACTTTGAACACCTCTCACCCATTAATTTTTTTCTAAAATTGGGGCATGAAACCAAAATTGGGACTCAATATTTCACAGGTCACAAATTTAGAAGGGAAAACTTCAAATCTCACCTTTCCTTTCCTTTTTGTAAAATTCACATGTCACATAGTAATTGTGGGCTACTGATAGTTGTGAGTCACTCGTCAACCCTTTGCCACCCAGTTCTATGATTAATGATTTTTTTATAACAAATTCTTTGGTAGAGTGCAGCAACATATCTCATGGAGGGAAAGAACAATGACCGCTTTGAAACCCATCCCACCTCTCAAACATTGCGATGGTACCTTCTAGCAAATTCCCAAAAATTCTATGTTTTGGAGCTGATGGCTGCATTGATTCTTCTTGCCTTGGGACTCACTGAAAAACCACCAGCACTAAAAGCTAATAATTTGAGTGTTCCAGTCGAGGTAAGTGTACACTCAGCTCAGGCAGAGGTGTTATGGGAGTGGGGGGAGAGGGGGGGGTTGAAAGGGAAAGTTATACAACATATGGCTTTACAAAGTATGAATAAAGGGAGTAACTTTCGAACTTTTGCTTGGGGCTTGGAAACTAGACAGACTTTGAACTTGACATGATAACCCAATATCTGCCACAGATATTGAGTTATCGTATCAACTTCACATGCTATTGTATACTGAATGTATGCTCATAGTTCTCCTAGGGTTAGCCTAACCCTAAGCAAGTCTAATGTATAATAATGTCCATTGGCCACCATAAAGAGTTTCTAAAGCTGATATTTCCAGCGCTAGCCCTTCATCAGAGCAAAAGTGTGATCCTGATTTAGAAAATGACAATGAGAAGATGCAAAAATGAATATTTTACTAAGCCAATTTTATACTGGGAAAGTGTCTCCCAATTTGAGGGTCACTGTGGCTCTCCTACCTTCCCCACCTACTCTCCTTTACAGCTGCAGATTACACTTGTGATTATAATGCAGTTGTATTTTTGGGTAAATGCAAAATAATTAACCTCTAAGTTGTGTTTTAACATGATGTCCTTAAGCATAGAGAGATTGATTCTATAAGTAGTCAAGAAGTAAATCCTTCAGTATCAACCAATGATTGAAATAGCAGTTTTACTGAATAATTTAGAGGGCTTACTATTTAATATGGGTAATTGATATATAAGATTAATAATTTGATATTGTAAATTACAATAATGAATTCAATATTGTTTACCAGGTTCATGCAGCCGTGGAGATTCTCTCACTGATGATTGTCCTTGCTGGACGTGCTGTAAAACTGAAATGGCAGGGAACAAAGCTTTTCTTCTCCCATAAGAGAACGCTTTTCACGGTACATTACAGTGCTACTTTGGTTGTAACATGCATTAATTTTCCGTCACAAAGGGTTGATAGAGGGCTTTTCAAGTGAAAGTATAAAAAAACAAAGCCAAATTAATTACAGCGACAACCAGAAAAATGAAAAAGAAATTACCAGAAGCTGATTAGGACTTGAATTAAAAACAACCAGAATGCTCAGAGGATGGAACTAAATGTGCACAAGCTATCACACTGCAATTGGTTGAAGTTTTACATCTAATTCGTTGAGAAGGTAGTAAAACTTTTATGGACCAATCGCCAAGTGAGTGATTGTAATCTTGGATTGTTCTCAACACTTGATTGAAATTTCTCTATCTGGACAAACTGGGTGTGGATGTTTTAGTAAGATAATTAGCATCATTATTATAATTGTAATTGGAAAGGAAGTGAGACTCAGAGGGAGTACTTAGTTTGATAAAAATGACAGGGATTCTTACTATCTAGAACCTCTTAAGTGCCACTCTCGCTAAGAGCGGTCCTCTCGACTTTACTGTTCTGGTGTTTAGAACATACCGCTAACTGTTTTATTTTTTCCACATCAGGGCTGAAATACCCAAAGCCACTCCAATCTTTGCTTTCCGTGAATCAAGTAAACATTTAAACGATAAAATTCTCATTAAAATGTAACATTCTTCAGTCCATTTGAATAACTTTCGATTCCAATTCGTTACATTAACTAATTTTGGTTCCAACTCGTAGAACCTGCGAAACAGGTCGTATGACAAAGAGAAAAGTTTGCACACTCACGTCACGCAATACATCAAGCTGGGTTTGTCCAGTTGATTTTGATGGTCGCAAGGAAATGTCGAGTATGTCGCTCAAATCCGTTGTGGTCCATAAGAGCGTAACATCATTAATGACGGAAACAAGTTTGCAGAAAGAGGGTTAGTTCATCGGGTTCCGTATACTAAATCTCGGGAGAAACTGCAAGAATTGTTTCGGAGTGTATGCGTGTTGTTTTGTAAATATAAACTCTTCAACCTATTTTAACTTGTTTTTGTGTCCTTTTAAGCAACGCGATATGTCTGTTATGACCAGAGTGCCAAATTGGCTAAACTTCAGAATACCCCGCAACTTTGGTCCGCCTCACTTACATGTGTCGGGAGGCTTTGAAGATCGAGGCATAACACAATAGACGCTATTCTTATTCAATGACATGTAAATGAGTTGCGGGGTATTCTGAAGTTGCTCCGCCAAATTTCATTCTTTAATTTTGATCTTCTCCACACTGCATAGTTCATGACCTGATATTTCAACGTAAATTATGGAGAAGGCGCCTTCCGATCACCTTTGTCTACTTTGAAAGTCACGCAAGCGCGTAAGCGTTACGACCGATCACGTTTACGCAATGTTTTAGGACAACTCGGCATCTAATCTCCATTCAGTTGCTGTGAAAACCTAAAATCCTCAACGTAGAAGATAAACGAACGAAGTTTGAACTGTCAAAAGGAGATCTTGGTCAATTCCAAGAATCATGCAAATGATCTTTGACACGAGCGCAATTGAGCAAACACATGGATTTGCGTTGTTTTTAAGAAGTTGGTGGATGGAAGCTAGAGATATACCCGCGGGTTTGAGGCAATCCGTGACCTCATTGGTGTATAAACTATGCACTGATATGCTTTTTCGGCCCGATTAACGCCTGCATTTTGAGAATTCTTTCGTACAAACTAGTGAATTTTTGATATGCAAACTAAGGTCGAAGAGCAGGGTCTCCTCTGATCACGCTGGTATGAAAAATATTTCAGCTGAAGTTTCCATATTTTGTCTTTGAACTAACTGAATACACCTTATAACATGTAGCAAGATAGAATTCCGTGAGCTACATTGTTGCAGTCGCTGTGCGCTGGACAAAATCTTTGAAATTGACACTTTCGATCGCTGTTCACAGAGGTGGTCTGGCCAAAAATGATTTTTGGCTCGTGGCGAAGCAAAAAAAGAGAATTGGAGAACAACTTAACTATTTTTGAAACATGTACTCTAAACCCTTTTCATGGGCAAAAAATAAAAGAAAACTTCGAGAAAAATTGACACTTTCGATCGCTGTTCACAGAAGTGGTCTGGCCAAAAATGATTTTTGGCTCCTGGCGAAGCAAAAAAAGAGAATTGGAGAACAACTAAACTATTTTTGAAACATGTGCCCTAAACCCTTTTCATGGGCAAAAAATAAAAGAAAACTTTTTTCCGACGGGAAGTCGAGAGGACCGCTCTTAGCGGGAGCGGCACTTAGGTGTTATAGATCGATATGGGTCTGGCAATATATTTTTTGGCTTGCTGAAATACCAATCCAACTTTAAAACAATTCAAATGTTTCACCTACTATCAGGTTGTTATTTGGTGCGTGGTATTTGTAGAAGCCATTGTGGTGCTGGTGAGAAGGGAGAATCATTTTCGAGTAACAAGATCTCTGCGCCCACTCTTTCTTATTGACACGCATTATTGTTCTGGGGTGAGAAGGTGAGTCTCGTTCTGTAAGTTAAAATTGAAGTTAAAATTGTCACTGTGGTTTGTGTAAATAAATTTTTTGTTTATTGTTTCAACCTCAGAGTATTGACAGGGTCCAAAAATCTCTCCTGGAAGAATTTTCCTACTAAATTCGTGATCAATGTTGAAATAACACCAATCTCAAAGGTAGATCTTGGGGAGGGATCAGTTTTGGGGTTCACTGTTCAAGGGCTACAGATCAGTTTATCTTGGGGATCATCCTATAAAGAGTACCCCTCCCAATCAGGGAAAATAAAGCTGTAACATATCCTGATAAGAGAGCACTGGGATTGGTAATCCACCAATTCAAGACGTTGGCAGCAAAATGTCTTTGGCTGTTTTGAACTTCTATTTTCTGAAATGACTGTTATTTCTTCCTGTTGTTTGAATGAGATTCATGCACTCTCTTTTACTTTAAATTTTTAGGGTTCTCAGACAGATTTTACTTTCACTTCCCCCAATCCTGTACATGCTCTTTCTGCTGTTTTTTATCATGGTAATCTTTGCTATGTTAGGTAAGAAATAAGAAAAAAATTAGTATTAGAGAAGTATGCTCCAGAAATCAGTTGTTAGCTTTTATGTTGTTCATTAGAAGGAATGATATATGAAAGGCACTGGTTACCAAATTCTGAGATTGATTAGAGTTAACTCCATGAATTCCTAAATGAAATGATTTGTGAAGAATTGTTATCTTGGAGTGTAGATTGTAGAAGTTGTTTTCTAGTTTACTAATCATTCTTATTACAGTTGAAGAGACATTTGGCTCAGATATATGATCTACCATCTTTTTAACATTGTTTTATGAAACAACATTTCACCAACAGTTTCTGTAATGGGGCCAACACTGACATAAATCAATGTAACAACACTGTGTTAGAGAAATTTTTTATATTGACGGAACCTCCAAGTGTCTATTAAATCTCAATTCATTTATTAAACTTGAAAGCTCGTAAAAATTGAAGTACATTAAATTGAAAAAAGGCATTACCATTCAATATACACTAATCAAAATGTCTTAAACTCAAAATAGTGGATTGTTGTCGGTGTAAACAGTGAAGAAGGTGGAGTAGTACAAGTAATCACGGAACTTCTCAGTTACTGCCCATTTGAGGGCAAGGAACTCCAATTTTCCCGCGTGCATGTGGTAATTTTTCTCTGCTGGAGTTAGTGTCCTAGAGGCATAACCTAGAACTCTGAGCTTCCCGTCCTGTTCTTGATACAATACAGCTCCAAGTCCCTCTTGCGAGGCGTCTGTGTGAAGTACAAATGGCTTCGTAAAGTCGGGAAATGCCATCACTGGAGGAGAAGTCAGTCGGTCGACCAGCATGTCAAGCCGCTTCTGATGTTCCTCTGTCCATGTTACCTTATGATTATTAGCCAATCGATCAGGGCCAGCCATTAGATCGTACAGGGGCTTAGCTATGCGTGAGAAATCCTGGATGTATTGCCTGTAGTAACTCAGGAACCCTAGCAATTTACGCACATCACCCACTGTTGCTGGTTTCTGTTTCGCCAAGTTGTGTACGGCAGCCGTGTCCTCTGGGTCTAGAGAGTAGCCATCGCCGGAAACAACCCGCCCCAAATATCTAACTTGTCGTTGGAAGAACTTGCACTTTGATGGCTTTAACTTTATCCCATGTTCCTGCAGTCGACGCAGGACTTGTTGGACATCCTGAACGTGTTGCTCAAAGGTCTTACTATACACCAAGACATCATCCAGGTAGGGGATACAGATGTTGTCACGTAAGCCATCTAGACATTCATTCATGCACCTTTGGAATGCCGCCGGTGCATTCATTAACCCAAACGGTATTCTATTCCATTGATACAATCCCCAGGGGGTCACGAATGCAGTCAGGGGGCGGCTTTCTTCTGTCATAAAGCCTTGGTGGTAGGCCTTCCCTTGGTCCAGAACTGTAAACCATTTGTTGCCGCCTAGGCCATTTAAGATATCCTGTATACGGGGAATCGGCTGTCGTTCTGGATATGTTTTCTTGTTCAATTCTCGATAATCAATACAAAGTCGCAGACTTCCATCCTTTTTTGCGAACACAGACCATGGGTGAGGAGTAAGCCGAACAGGACTTGCAGATCCAATTTCGATTAATCAAGTCTTCTAAGTACTCTTTCACTTCCCCATAGAGTGGCTTGGGGATGGAGATATAGTTCTTCTGTACTGGCTCATTGTCCTTTAACTGGAGATCAAGCACCAAGTTCTCCACGCAGCCAACCTCATCGTCGTTTCTTGCAAAGGCACCAGCTTCTTGCCGTAGCATTTCGTGGACGATCAATTGTTCATTGTCTTCTAGCTGACTCAAGTCAACTGGTGGCTCCCATCCATCTTGTTCCTGACCAGGATGCAAGGTAGCTTCAGGGTAAAATCCTCGTCTCCTCGAGAGTACGAGTCGGGAGTATTTGGAATTGGTAGAACTGACTTTACCAGGTGTATCCGGCCCAATTCTGTTCTGCGCTTTAACAAGATGTTTCTGTCTGTATTGTTTTGGACCACGACGGCCACGTGACTAGAGGTTCCCGGGTTATTTTAGTAAGTTCCTCGCCCAATTCCAGTCCGTCTGGGAGCTCGCTGTCTTCCTTGGGCTCAAATATTACTGGCATCCCCTCTGGAACTGGTCCGAGGTGAGTTTGACACTTAACTGTCGTTGCCTCTCCTTTTTGGCAGCATAACATCTCTCTTTCCGACTTTAACAGCTGCAGTACCGGTATCCTGTGTTCTTGACTGGATCAGATTGATCAGGGTACCTACGCGAGTATGATGAATTGAAGGGAATGACTGCTGAATGATGTTACTTGCCGCTTGGTGGTTTCCACCATGTTGAGCGAGGACTTCTTCTATAACATTGAAGCCAATGATTGGGTACTCTTGTTCCTTTTGTCCCACCAGTACTGGAACTGTCAGCTCATGAGCAGTTGTATCATCTCCAGCCAACTTAAACCCGACCTCAATCCAACCGTCAAATGGAATGTTTGTCCCATTCATCGCTTCCAAATTCAACTCTTCTCCTGCTCCCAACAACTCTTCAACATTTCTTAACACCTCCAGCGGTAAGTGAGTTTGTTGCCACTTCCTTGACACAACACAAACCTGGGAACCTGTATCCCATAATGCCTCCACTTCCTTTCCTTGAATTAGGCATTTTACCACGCACCTCCGTCCCACGATTTTTGTCAGTCCGAGCTGCTGCCTTGGCGTCAGGTGGTAGGGAAACGTCGTGTTCAAATCATCGCCATCATCTCCGGCTGCTTTCTGTTTCTCAAGTTCCTGTATAGCCATGCAAACTGGTTTATGCACAGTTCTGTATTTTACTTGACATTCTTTTGAATAATATCTATTGATCTTACAGGCTCCGCAGCGGTTAAGTGGTACATGGTCTGTGCTTTGTTTTCCACACTGCACGTAACGGGACTGATTTTCTTGCCTGGTCACACCCTGTCCCATGGGCGTGACCTCTGGCCATTCCCCTGAGATTCTGCCGGAGAGCGTCGGCTGAATTGGGCATTACACTCGCGTACATAATGGCCACTCGCCCCACACCTGAAGCAATGGTTGCACGGCCATCCATTCCCACTTTGTTGGCAGGTCCTACACAGTGGGGGTTGTCTCATAGGCTGTTGTGTGAGGGGGTTTGAGCCCGGAGTGGGGCCCGAACTCTCTCTTTGACTGCGGCCACTTCTGCCTTGAGCTCCCTTAGTTCTTTCATGAGACCTTCCTCCACCCCATTATTCTTTGTCTCCTGCTTGTCCCTCCCTTTTGAACAGCATTTACCTTGGGGTTAGCTGTGAACCGAATTTCTGTGATCGCTCCAGTTCGTCACTGGAACACACATTTAATTTCTCGAATAGTTCTTCATCGCTTATAAATTTCTTTTCCAAGTAAGGCTTCATTTCGATCTTGATATTCTCACTTTGCAGGCCAAGGGAAAAGCTATGGACAAACATGCCATGTACTAAGGTAGGATCATATTTCAGGTCCGAGTCAGTTTCTTGAGATGCAAACAAGATCTTCTGTTTCAAATCGAGAAGGCGGATCAAAAATTCTTGAGGTTTTTCCTTTGGCTGTTGTACAGTTGAGCTCAACTGATGATATAGTTCGGTTGCTGTTCTCTCCTGATAATGAGAACGCATAATTCTCCTCAATTTGGCCAGTGTTAAATCTACCTTACCCTCCAAATAACTTCTTAGGCTTAACGCCGGATTTATCGCTTTTATCACAGCCTCTTTAATTTCATCCTCTGTATAGTCGTTCTTTAAACCATTCTCAATTTGATGCACTAGCGAGGAAAAACTCAAACGATCCTTCTGCGACACGTCGCCAATCTGGCCCGAAATCTTGAAGTCGCGTTTGAATTTTGAAATTGACACCACGGGATTTTGCTCTATTTTGACGGTCGCTTTACTATTTTCAGAAGCTTTCGGCGGTTCCGTTTTCTGTTCCGGTACAAATTTTCCCTGCATACTTAGAGACGACGACAACACTTTGAGCTTCTCATTATCTAATTCTTCCGTTTCGAGGTATTTATTTAGAGCTCGGATAAAACCAACCTTCCCTTGCTCTCAGGCGGTACAGTAATGTTCAGCCCACTACAAACTTCTTTAAGCCTTTCCTCGCTCAAGGAACACAACGCGGCCTGAATTTCGATCTGCAGACTCTCGGTATCCATCATACTTCCAAAAATAATCTTTCGTACTCACCAATAGTGCAATCAGCCGTTCACAAAAGAAATGCGACACTTTACGTCCAGATCAGTCCGCCGTCGACAGCAATCGACCACAACCAACTCGCGCTCGACGAATCAACCAAGCGTGCCAATTACTTTGTCCTTCACAACCCAAGGCAGTTCTTCGTCGATGATAAGCCTCTTCGGTCGAGTCCTGGCAGGGTCGCCAATGTTACACACTCAAATCACCAGATTAATTAAACACAAGGTTGTATTTATTCGAAAACTTCGAGCACATGCTTTTCTGTTTTTTTTCCCGACACCCTTTGTGGTTCATGAACTCAACAAAACATGTCACGCACTCTACATAAGTGATACAGAACTACCCTTGATTGTACACGTTTAGGTATATAAATCCAAATATAAACAAGATGACATACCTCTTTCCCCATTCTATTACTCTAATATTTCAACAATCCTTCAATCTATCTTCTCTTCTGACTACACGTGTAACTCACACGTCTCGTGGCTGAATGAAACATAATGCTAACAATTCAAAAGCATGTCACACAAACCAAAGGGTATTGAAAGTCATGCAAATAACCAAAAATAGCCTTCATTACAGTTTCCTTATTGCTTGCAGGGTTCTATCTGTTTTCTGACAATGAAAAGGATCAGGTAATTTTATTTATTTACTAAACCTACTTATCAAACATGTTGACATATTTGACAGACCAATTTTCTTTTCCACCATCACACCTCACTCGCATGCTAGATTATTCAATTAAAGAAAAGTTAACTGCTTATTAGACTTCTAGTCTTTCCAAGGACTTCTATTTAATTCAGTCTTCTTTTGCAAATTAGTTTTTCAGCAGCTTTGGGAGAAGCTTCATCAGCTTATTTGTGTTACTTACAACAGCAAAGTAGGTGAAATTAAATAGTTATTCATAAGTTAAGCAAGAATGATTTTAGTTCCTTGAAATATTCTCCCTCTTATTAATTACACTAAATTTGTGGATTCTTTTCTACAGTTATCCTGATGTAATGATGCCAGCATATATCAGATCACGATGGTCTGTTATCTACTTTGCTGTTTACATTGCAGTTGTTCTTTACTTTCTCATGAGTCTGGTAAGGTTTCAACACACCACAATGTTAGTTAGCCAGACCATAAGTCACTCATTACTTTGTCATGACAAAAAGTTTTGTAATTTTTTTTTCCAAATTTTGGCCCCAAACAAAATTAATTACATGTAGCCCATGGTAAACATACAATGTTTTCTTGCTTTAACATTGCAGCTTTTGGCTGTGGTTTATGATGACTTTACAAACATTTTAAAGGATAAGTTTAAAAAACTCTTTCTTCATAAAAGGTAAGAATTTCTGGGGCAAATCAGTTGAATTTTGGCTAGTGTCTGCAACCTGATGGTTTTAGTTATTATAAGGAATTCTAACTACTTCATGATGTCAACTCAACACCATTCACAATATTTCTTTCTCTTCCCTCTATTCTCCTTCTTAATGGTCCAGGTCAGGGAGGAAAGAAAGATCTTAAGAATCTGACGCACTTCAGAGTAACAAAAGTTTCTCAGACTTTAAATGTGTTTGTTAAAGTCTTGACTGGTATAGTTTTCTTTTCTCTAAGGAAAGGTATAAGAAAAGCTTACAAACTTCTCCACGGTGAAAATGTAAGTTGTTGATAAGTTAGTTATGTATTATTAGTTTATTATTAACAATGAACTGGTCAGTCAGTCAGTCAAATAGGTCATCTTCTGTCTGTCAGTGGAGCAGACAGCCAGGAGACAAGTACCAGTAGGCCATGAGTCAGTCAGTAAGTTAGGCATTAGGTTTTCAATCTAGTGGTCTGTCAGTTTGTCTGAGTTAGTCAATACCCAATTTAATTAATTCCCTGAAATAGTCCACTTTCAAATAACTATTGTGTCAAACTAAATTTAACAACTTAGGTCTTGATTCAAGGCAGGGTCATTTATATGTCAATTACAAATTTCCAGGCACAAAAAAAATAATCTACCCCTGAGGTAAGATAATTTACACTTTTTTTCATAGCCTCCACATGGGATCCCATGGGAAACTTTTAAAGGCTTGATGTCACATTACGACCCCAAAAGGAGTAAGTGCTTTAATTTACTTATAAGTAAAAAATGTGCTCAAAGTGTTTATTACTTTTTACGAGTTCGCAATTAACTATAATATTTTGAATATTATTATCGATAGTCAGTCAATAAGAGCCTGGACTAGTCTCAAATCTTACTCACACACACTATTGTTGTGGTTTAAATATTTTAGAGAAATATTATTAAGGTCATTAATCTAAAGATTGTTACTTTTCCAACAGCTGATGTGGAGAATTATCTTTTTTTTAAGTCACTAAATGAAAGTAACACTGGACAACTAAGGTAATGTCCTCTTTCAAAAATGCATTATTTTTAGGTTTTTCTAAAGATTTGAATTGGTAATTTGTTTTTCGGCTTCATTGTAGTTTAGAATTTATTTAGTTTCTACATCTGGTACCATTGTAGTTTGACTGTGACTCAATATTTATACTTACTGGTAGTTATCAACTTTTATTTTAGCCTGGATGAATTTTACAATGTTTTTGAAAACAGTGAGATGAGGTGGAAGCGGGTATGTGTCTATTATTTTATCCAAAGAAATTGAAGAACATTTTGAAAAACACAAGTTCAAACCCTGCTAAAACTACTGTAAAAATCGTGTTATGATTTATCTCACATGGTTACTGTTGTTGTTTTCTTAAAGGTAACAGAACATTACAATCAGTGGTTTAGGTGTTTTAGGTCATGTACCTGTTTGTACCGCACACTTAAAGGCAAGATTTAATATCCATGTTCAGTGTATTTGAATCGTCTTTTTAGGGCGGTGTTCGAATTGAGTGTCGTAAAACCAAAACCAGAGTAGCGACAACCACCAATCAGAAGACAGGAAAATACTTTAAGAGCAAATTAGAACTCAAAGTGAAAAGAAGTAAACTGCCTAAAGCGCGGGAAAACGCGGGTGACCATGTCGTGATTGGTTTTAGTTTTGAATCTGATTGGTTGAGGAAGTAGTGGAAGTCTTCCGGACCAATCACTGAACGAAAGAAAGCAAAACCAAAGAAATTCCGAATTACTTTCGACACTCAATTCAAAATTGCTATATAAGTGGGAATTAATTGTCCAGCCAAGACAGGGAGGATAACGACTGTGTAAACACTTATTTTTACCTCTGGTTCCTTTGGCCTCGGATATCTCAGAAATTATATCTTTCTTTTGTAAAATAGAGAATTGTGAGCAGTTGGCAGGAAGTTATTCATGTAAACTTTTCTGACTTGGAATTCTCTTAAATCTCCTCATCCACTTCTAGTGGCCTTTTTGACAGTCTTTTCAAAAAATTGTGCTTGAAATTTTTCAAACTCTTTTTCTGTATATCTCCCTGGATATTTTAAAGGGTGTTTTGTTTGTAACACTGTGGGAGCTTGTTAAGAAAGATCCTTGAAGATTTTAAACCTACAAACCCATTCCTAAATAACTAAAACCATTGAAAATAGTTCAAAGTCTTAGAAAAGTTTCGAGAATTCTTGGAAAGTGAACGATTTGTTATGACCAGTCCAGAAACAACCAAGTCACGAAATTCATGCGATCAGCATAGTTAAAAGGCTTCCTCCGCTTGATTGCTATAGCTTGCAAAACCCCAAGTTGGTGACAAATGCCAATTAGTGATTATTGTCTTATCGAAACTTAGATGTGTTAATTCGTCCTGATACAAAAGTCTCATTTCTTTTCACAGGTATTCGCTGGCTCATATCACAGAAAGCTTTTGAATTTGTTATCTGTAAGTCTCTTTGAATCTTTGCTGCTAAATTGTAGAATTGCATTTCACTTGAATTTAGCAAATTCACTTACACTTTGGAATATTGTCTTGTAATTTCCAGACATTTCAAGAGCTGAAACGTAAAGAAATTAACTCAAACGTTTTTAGAGGCCTTGTCGTAATAGCTAAGCTTCATTAATTAGACCTATGAACAAACATTTATTGGCCTTGAACTCCACTTTCAGGTAATGCTTAGCTACTCTTCATGTTACATTCAGATCATTAATTTCTGCTTTAAATAATCGTCTTTGAAATTTTCTTCTTTAACAGACGCAATTATTATTACAAATGGGATTTCAGTTGTTGTGGATATCATTGTGTTTTCCAGTAAGTTATTTTTTTCTCTTTGATCTTAAGCTTATCCAATTATGTCGTTAAAAAATCTGTTTAGAATTGAAGTGTCTCATTACACCACGCAACGAGGCGGCGGCCTATCAAAACTGGAGGCAATTTCTCTTGACCGGTCTTGTGACTAGTACCAAAAGCGGGAAAAACGCCCGTGAAAAAGCCGCGGCGCGTGTTGGGTTGGCTTCTGATTGGCTAAAATAGTGGAGTGAGTTTTGTGAGCCAATTAGATAACGCGGGGCACTTACCCAAATAAAGAAATTCTGTGCATCCGTGCATAGATGATATTTGTTCTGACCGAAAAATATGTTGAGCGTTCCATGCGAAAGATTTTATTTACTCTTTATTTGCAGACACTCCTCAAAATGAAAGGCAAAAGAAGATTAGAGAGCTCCATTGGTACCATATAGTCTTCATTTGTAGTGAGTTGATTCATCGATGTGACATGTATTTTTCCCTAAATTCTTTTTTCTGATACGATGCATAGCTCGATTTATCTTTGTAAAAGTTTCTAAGTTGGTTCCGTTTTGGATTTAAATTATTTGGGCTGTTTTTAAAGACTCTTTCAGATATTTGCAATGTAACTTTAATGTTTCCAGTTTATGCAACAGAAGCCTTGCTCAAACTCCTTGGTCTTGGTTTAAGGGAATATTTCCTGTCTGGCTGGAATATGTGAGTATTTAAGAATGGAGTTTAAGTTATGCTTTCTTGTGTTGCAGTTAAGGCTATCGTTTCTGTCTTTGTAGAATTTTTGTAGATTCTGACTTGGAACTAATTTTTGCTCAACGCGGCGCAGTCGCTGAAACTATGAACAACCGTGAATATCGACACTGGTTGCATTTCGCATTTGCATTTTGTGTGTATTAAGTGAACAGGCATTGAAGGATAGATACATTGCAGATGTTTGTTTGTTTGTCTTTTTGCGGGAAAAAACTTTGAAATATGTCAAACTGTTATTTACATATTACAACAGCGCTAGCTGTTAGCCAAAGAAAGTAAATATGTTTTAGAAGAGTTTTCCCCGAATTCAAATCATTAATCTGGGATTAATTGTCGGTATCTGAGCAACTGTACATGTGCACCTACCCCTCAACATTAACTCAACATTAACCTTCGCTCAGTTGTTATCAGTTGACTGTTGTCGAGTTAGGGGAGGGGTGGGTGTGCAGTTGTTTAATAACTGACGTTGATCCATTAACTTCCTTATCGTGAATTAAACGCTTCTATGGTTACGCTATCTTACAGATTCGACTTCTCTGTAACTGTGGCTGGTTTTATTGGTGCAGTTTCAACATCTTTCAGTTTTGTCGTCTGTGTGAGACCCTTGAGACTTTTGCTGTAAGTATTCAGTTCTTTTTAAAAAATCTTATTGAGTTTTTCATATTACTAAAGCAATTAATATTCCTTGCAGACTTTTTAAAGTGAAACAAATATACCGTGACTTGTTTGAGACAATAGGTGTCTTGTTACCTCGAATGGCCAGGTAATACGTTCTTGTTCCAGTGGAATTGTTCATTGTTAAGTAGGCGTTGCACTGTTGCTGAAAGTTTATTCATGGCTGAGCGTGAGAATGACAGTTTGTCACGCAACGTCTTAACGTTACTCACAAGAAACGATTTTTCTCTCAGGGTTGCCGTCGTCATTCTGTTGATGTACTACTCGTTTGGAATAATTGGAATAGAATGCTTCTCTGGACTCGAACTAAAGAATTGTTGTGTGTAAGTATTTTCCGTTCCAGTTACAGTCTTTTATCGAATATTTTTTCACATGGATTCTTTACAGGTAGTCTCTCAGACTAATGATTGTTTATCGAAACGACCGCATGAAGACCAAGCTTGATCGAATGTTCCGCGTGAAAGTGATATAATGCGAGTCGATCACGTTAAGGCTGGTTTGGTGTGCGAACATTAGGGGAAGTAGTATTCCGCATATGTTTGAAACCAGAAATAGCTCAAGTGAAATCGACGTACCCCACCCAATAAGCAGTCTGTTCTCCTCTTTCCCTTCATTATCTCTTGGATGGTCTCAGTTCAGTCACAAGTCACCTTTAGCTCGGAAGTTAAAAGTCTTACGAACTAATTTACCTTTTGGGCTTTAGATTTCATGTGTAGTATCACGTGACTTTTGATGTAAACAAACCCCGAAAGTTTGGACATTGAGTTGAGCTCGCAGCTCATGTGTCCAAACTTCGGTTTTGGAAATTTTTCTTAAATAACTCCCCACTTTCAAGAAGTGTCTCTACGCTCAAAATTGACATATTTCTTTTGTCATTTATTTGATCGTTTATTAAGCAAGTTGTCATTTCGCTGCCGCTGAAGCAGATGCGAAGAATGTTACAGGAAGCGCTGCGGCATGGAAAAATTGAACTAGTTCTGCGTACAGTGATTATCTGATCAGGTATTTTCAGGGTGTTTAGTGCGTAGATTGTCAGATAAATCCCCGTCCGACAGGAAATGTTGGGACACATGTGCTGCGAGCTCGCCTCAATGTCCGAACTTTCGGGGTTTGTTTACATCAAAAGTCACGTGGTACTACACGTGAACTCTAAAGCCCAAAAGGGTCGAATCCTTGTTGAAGCGCTGAACATTTGTTTCTCTCCAATATAGGTCGGTCACCGACTCAACAACCTTGTCTTTCCTAGCATTGTGTTTTATTTTGCACACTATCATGCAGAACAGGCATTTCTTTGACGCATTTTAGTCGAGCAGTGATTTTCAGGCTGTGCAGCGGAAGCATTCGTCCCTATTACTCGTCTCGGCTGAGAAATGTACAAAAATCTGCCAGCATTTTTAGACCTATGATAGATTGAGAGAGTGAGACCTATGAGAGATTGAGTAAGACGTTACGATTTACATTTTGATATTCCTGAATGTATCTCATCTCTAACTGTATTTTTTTTATTTTGCACAGAAACACTTCGTGGGAAGGAGCATACAAGGAGGGTGGCTATCATATGAACAACTTCGATGATTTGCTATATTCATACGGCAAGCGCCTTTAAACTGTTTTCTGCTTAAAGTATTATTGCAAATAGGGAAGAACCACAAATGAAGCACTTTTTTTATAACGAACAAAGGATATCTAGTTTAAGGATGACTAGTTTCTGTGTTATAGGCAGCTAAACCACACTGAGGGACACCCCACGTCTACGCTCGATTTCCGCCGTTTTCTTTAGTCCAACCTTGTCGGAGTGAGCGCAGGCTCAATCTCAATTCCCGAAAAACGGCAGGTAATCGAGCGTACCCTCTGTCGCTATCACCTCGGTACTACAAAAGACCTCTTTTCACCTTTCAATTGTAAAACGTCTGTAAACATCCTGCAATTAGCATACACTTATCGTAATTATTTGCGTCATTGCGTCACTTGATGTGATTTTACAGAAATAGCCCGTCATAAGGTAAATTTTGATAAATGGGCCTTTTACTGATACGCAGGTAATTAAGAATTCAAAATCTTTCTCCAACTCACCCACCAACTCACTTCCCTTTCCGCCTCATGCTTGCAATTTTCTCAAATTCTTTAAAATGGCCACCCTTCCATTGGAGAGTGTCATCACATCGTATATAACCGTTTTTTATTACGTTTCTCTGCAGTGACTTTGTTCGAGTTGACAGTGGTAAACAACTGGTTTATAATAATGGTAAGAAAACCCGATTGCTTGTTTCAGTGTTCCACTTGCTTCATAAGCTTCCGACGGTGTTTAGTTGGATCAGCCTTCGTGAGTGCATGGGATTCCTGTGCATCATTATAGTTGGGTTGAATTGGTTACCTTGTGGTGGAGTTAACGGCTTGTTTTGTGCAACTTCTGGATCAGTTTTTTCCTTTTCATAATCAGCTTTCTTTTCCTATTTATTGACAGGAAGGGATAGTTTACCTGACATCAGACTGGGCCAGAGTATTCTTTATGTTATTTTACATTGTCACAATGGTAAGTCATAAAATCACCGACTATCATAGTTACACAAGTTTTTAGACAAAGATCTGCATACTTGGGCTTTTGAAATAGCTTCAGGGGAAGGGGTACAAAAGTCAATGTTTGCTGGGTGTGTGTCGCTGTCCTCTCATAACCACTAACCCATTATTGACTGTTTTGTGGCCTATTAAAGATCCCATCTTAGTCACATTTGGGCCTACACGGTAAGTTTAGGAGAGCTACTCTTCAGCGAGTTACTTAGGCTACCTATTAGGTCCATATGCAACACGCGGAGATAGAAAAATTATCATAGAATGAAAGAGATGGTAAATTTTGTCCTGTAGATGAGTAAAGGAGGATCCAAAACGTTTCTGAAACATTTCAGACTTTTTTAGCTTTTTATAGATATTTTTAGGTATTTCTATCTTATTTTGACCAGGTTGTTATGACAATTGTTGTGGCGTTTATCCTGGAAGCCTTTCGCTTCCAGATGAAATATAGACAAGAACATCCTACAGACGAAGAAGGTGAAGAGCTTCAGATATTACTCTAATCTAGACTGTTCTGGACCACTCCGCCGTAAATAACAACATTGAAATGATGAAAACGTTCTCCGTTGTCTCTTTTGTCAATGAATTTCGTATTACAAAGATCACGTATCTTCGATCGTTAGTGGCGTCACAGACGTTGTACAGCAAAATAAACCTAAGTCGTGTGTGTTACCTTTCAACCTACCATAAAAAAGGAAAAGGTTCGCAAAGCGTACACATTATACGAAGTTGCGTTAATTTTTTTGCTTGTCAAGATGGAGAATAGCTGCACTTAGAGGAAAGTGTATTCAATATTGACAAAATGGTTTACCTCTCCACAGAGGATATGAAAATCAGGATGGAAGTCATTGTGACCTACGAAGAACTCCTGACCTTGGGCCAAAGCTATGTGGGGGATCTGCAGCCCCGTCAGCGCGTAAGAATATCATTATTTCGTTGTCTGTCAGACATTTTCAGTCATCTCCCAAGTTTTCTGTTTTTAAAGGAATGTTCCTTGAGTCATGAAACACCAACTTCGTGACTTCAACTTAAATTCCTGGCCCATCAAGGGACCAGTCAGAGATCTGCCGCTAACCCACACAGCAAGCATAGTACATGATTTCCCACTACGGTAGTATCAAAATGACCGTATATTTATGGTTTCCATTTGCGCTATATTCCGTTCAACAACTAAACAATAAGTTCAAAACTTTCAATCTATTATCACTGGTTATCAAAATGAATTACGAGATACCATCCAAGGGTCCCGCAAGACAGCTTCCTATGCTCATCAGATACATTCAACCGTTGAGAGACCCATAAGTTACATTGAACGTATAAACAGGTATCGTTATTTGAGGGTTCTTGTTCATAAATTTTACACTTGTTGGGCTGTAGTATTTTGGTCAATATACGAAGTTCCCAAATGCGTAGCGGCCTGTTGTACCGAGGTTTAACTGTTTCAATACAGTTTGAGACTGTTATGTGAATCGCCTACACTCATTTCATTGCAGGTTCGTTATGAAGGAAAACGCCCCAAGACAAAAATGGATTTGAGAGTAAGAATGTACGACGATGAAGTCAAGGTATAAACTTTTCATTTATCATTAATTGATGAATTATTCGGTAGTAAATAAGTCAGTTCTTAACTGATGAATTATTCTGTAGTAAATTAGTCAGTTGTCAATTGTTAAATTACACTGTAGTAAATTAGTCAGTTAGACAAGTAATGTAAAAGCGATGAGGTCACACCATTTTGTCATTGCACCCCTTTTTCTTCGTTCTTTGAATATTATCTCGTTTGTAATAAACCTGTCTCGCTTTTCCTTGTAGCAATGGATACAAAATGAAGAGCTCCTCGAAATGGGAGAACCTTTAGCGCACGCTCATATAACAGAAGGTACAATGGCCATGTCTCCAACCAACTCACCTTCATCACCAGTCCCCGCGAACACGTCATCTAATGGTCCTGTGACTGATGAGGTAACAATGGGAGAAGTAAACATAGCGTTAGACGAATAAGACGCCACCTTTTGAAAATGTTTCGCTTTTCCTTGTAGCAATGGATACAAAATGAAGAGTCACTCGAAACAGGAGAACCTTCAGCACACGCTTATGTAACAGAGGACACAATGGCCATGTCTCCTACCAACTCTCCTTCATCACCAGTCCCAGCGAACACGTCATCTAATGGTCTTGTGACTGATGAAGTAACAATGGGAGAAGTAAACATAGCGTTAGACGAGTAAGACGCCACCTTTTGAAAATGGGAGCGGGAAAAACAGATACCCTCCAACAAGGTTCAACAGATTACTCCGTTATGTATATATACTCAGTAAACTCTTACCTAAAATGAGGCGGATACCAGTCTGATCGGTTCCTAAGAGCGCTTGAAAAACCAACTACATAGTATGCGGTTGGTTTTTCAAGCGCTCTTATCAATATATCTGGGGCTGCACTAGCGTCATGCAATGAACTGTAAATATGTAGCGCCGCATCGTTTGTCACATAACGAAAGCTTAGAGCGCCAGCTCAGTGTATATTCGGCTGGAAACTGAAAAAAGAACTTCTTAGACCAGGTTAAAATGGTAAAGTTTTACTTAATATGAACAAATCTGCCAAAATGTTTAGATTTCCTAGGGACTATTTTCATTCTAAAAAAAAATCCCATACTCTAGGAAAGTCTTTCAGATTGAATGGTCCTTAACACTGACCAAGAAAAATGATATTTTATGCGTTTTATGATATCTTTTTCGGAAGCTTAAGCTTACATTATTCCAGTTTAACATACATAGTCATCTTTGGGAAGGTGCTCTAAGGGGGCTTATAAGAAAATCTTTTTCTCCAGATGACAAGGTTCCAGTTTTAGTTTACTGATGATTCTGGAACTTCTGAGGGTGCAATTGACTTAGGGGGACCAAAGAGAGAATTCTTTGACCTGGTTCTGACAATCTTGACAGCTCATTGGTTTGTAATTGAGAGGGTCCATGCAGTATTTGAGCAATTTAAAGAAGGGCTATCCTAACTAGGTGTCCTTGAAGCTATGACAGAAAATTAAGAGAAATTTAAGGGTTTTTTTGGCTGTTCTGAAGTAACACTAACTGCAGAATTATTTGGTTGTCTTTTTTCTGTCCATTATAGTAAAACTGGTTCAAATAATTGCCAACTTGAAGGGCTAGTGTTGTTGCAGTGGAATGATTTTTTTACAAGATGCTTAGGAAAAAACAATCGAGTTGACTTTCAGAGATATTCTTTGTTATATCAGTGGAGTTAGGGAAGTTCCCCTAGGTGGTATAGAACTGCACATTGGCTTCCTTCATGCACCTGAGCAATGTGGTGAAAAATCCAAGTTACCAAAAGCAATGCATTTTCCTGCCAGTTGCTATTACCAGTGATGCAGGCACATATGATGACTTTAAAAAAGATATCACCTTTGCATGTACAAATACCAGGGGATATGAACATGCATGATGTTTTAAAACTCTTCCCCCAGTCTTTTGAAATTAAATGGTCTTAATACTGTTCTTGTTCATGTTTAACTGAAAGGGTAAATGCAAATGAATAAGAATGTCACCTTTGCATTATTTTATAAATACTAGGGGATAGTAAATGATGTTTCAAAACACTTTCCTCAGTCTTTTGAAAACTAAGGTTGCAGTATCGTTCTTGTTCTTGTTTAATTAAGTGAAGTAAATGGATACAAGTAAAGTTCCACTTTACCATATTGTATCTTATTTCTAAATGTTAAAGAGTAGAGCATCTGTTGAGAAAGACAAATGCCCTATCAGAGTAATCACAAGTTGTACTTTTGTGTACAACCAATGTTGCAATCTTGTTTGCACTTAAAGTACTGAATAAAATGCATAACATTTCATCTGAAAAATTGGTGGAAATTATTTCAATCTGCTGCTTTACCATGGTACCACTGGATTGTACTAAAATGTCCTAGAATGACTTATTGTGAAACTTTAATTAAATGTTGGAAAAGTGTTAATGCCTCCCTCCAGTTTGTTGGACAGTGTAAATTTAAACTCTCCAGCGCATAATTAAAATACTCCATAAAATGTTTTCTTCTGTGTCTGTTGTACTTTACAAAGCCATATCATAAAGTTGTTGTTCTGTAAAGGGACATCTGAAATCTTCAAACCCACTGTTCTCTGGAAGGTAGAAAAGCTCATCAGGCCTACCTGGGATTGTATCGTGATGTGATTTTTTATTGTAATGGGTGTTCCAGTTATCCCTTACATGATCTAGGTCTGCCTGCAAGACATCTTTACAACAGAACCACAAACAGGACATACTTGATTCACTAGCGGTATTGACAATGTTTGTTTCATCTGAGTCTTAAAAAAAATTAATCAACCATGTTAATCTGTCATGCCAATAAAATGACCACCATCCTTCTATGCGCTGGTTTGCTGGGGACGATCCGTACCTATGTGCATTTAATCCAGCTTGGTGGTCGTTACCGTTTCCTCGAAAATAACACTGCATGGTCGCCATGGTCACATTTTCAGTTCCACAGTCTGTTCGGAGAACTCTTAGGCAATCTCTATTTGATTTGACCCAATCGTAAAACAATGAAGCTAAGTGGCATGGGTCATTATTCCAGGGGCAAATTTTCAACCACATGACTCGACGACTGAAACCGTCCACCGCACCAAGAGTAGGAAAGCCGTATGGCTTTAACTTATCGCAGCCGTCAACGTGCCAAGCAAAATTCGGGCCTGGGTTAGTTTACGACCTTCTCCTTAGTGCATGAGCATTTCGCAAGGCTGTTCTTTAAGGGTCAACTTGTTGTAAAATTCCTTCTAGGAGCCTGTATTCCGTAATCCAAACGAAGGGTGTGCCACCTAGCTCGGTAACCCCTCATGCAGCCTGGCATGTCCAATTCTTGTTGAATGGCCTGGTAAATTTCGGCATCGTAACTTTTTGCATTCCTTCTCCTTAATCCGTACTCGCGAAGTCTATTGTGCGAAGTACGCACAGACATTTCTGTTGCATGGTACTTTTCTAAAAAGAGTAATATAACCGAGTGATCAAACCCACGCTGAAAATAATGACGAATAAGAACCTCCTCTATGTCCATAGTTGCTCCACATCTAGAGCAGTACTGGTAAGTTTCCTCGAGCTCCTCTGAGCAGTTCAAGCAGTTAAAACATACATCCATTCACGCGACAGATCACCACATGCGTAGGATCGACCCATGCGAAGATGACAAACAAAATGGCGAGCATGATCTAAGCGTATAGCATGTCAGCGGTTAAGTAATGATGGCTCTATTCATTATATAGTAACAAATCCTGCACTACGTAATAGGGAAATTTTGTGTCGTGTTTCACAAATATTGAGTTGTGTTTTCTAATTCGTGTTGTGTTTTGGTAAAATTGTGTGATGTTTTGCAAATACTGGGTTGAGTTTCTATATATTGTGTGGTGTTTCGATAATACTGTGTTGTGTTTCGATAATATTGTGTTGCGCTTCGATAATAGTTTGTTGTGTTTCGATAATACTGTGTTATATTTGGAAAAGTGTTTGTTGTGTTTCAGAAATTGTTTGTTGTATTTGCAGATATGGCCACCGTACTGACCACAACTCGACGGACGACCCCTTGGCCCAGGATGAATCTCGTCGTTATTTGACACTATTTAACAAATAGAGAAGCCTTGACTGTGCTCTGTTCTGTTATAAAGCACGCAGGAAGCGGCTAGAGCACGAAAGAAGTGTAGGGAGAAACACGAGACGTAGTCGAGTGTCTCTCCCCACTTCTTCTTTAGCTCAGCTCTATGCTCTACACTCTCATGGTGCACGCTCTTTCAACCAATGACAGCGCGTGTTATATCCGAACTTTATAAAATATTACGATTACATTATGCACTCATTTTAAGCAAAGTATAGTGTCAGCGGTCTTATCTTTGACAAAAACAAAGAACACCCCAAACTATCGACCGCTGCGCGACAAAATCTGCGATTGAAATTGAGTCTGAGAAATATTTTTAAAGACATGTCAAACATATTAAAGTTCACATGGCAACCAGGTGGATAATCAGACATAGTTTGATGCTACACTGGTTTTCAAATTTAATGAATGTAATGAAACCGGTGTTACGGAACCCATCAAGAGAATTTGAATAGTCACAAAGTTGCTCAAAAACCTTTTCAGGCTTTGGGGCATATTTTTGCCAAACCTAAGGATCCTGTCACGAAAGAACAACGAACCGACGCCATTTACTCTATTCCTTGCAATGAATGTGACAATGAATACCTCGGACAGACCAAATGTCAGTTTGGTACACGTTTGAAAGAGCATCAATGCCAAAAAGAAAATTCAGCTCTATCGGAGCACACATGCCTAACTAATCATACAATTGGGTGGGATAAGTCTAAAATTACCACCACAAATCGGCGTTACCACGTTGCTACAGTAAACCTTATTTCTGGTTTGTGCTTGAGGAACCATTGATGTGTGAAATAATGAACAGAACTGACTATTTGTCATGTAGAACAAAGGCCCAGTTTGTTCCCACAAGAAATAAATCATGAGATCTAGAACTATTGTTATCAGGTATGCATAGCAAGCTGTGAAGTCTAGCGAATTAAGCTACTAATTCAACAGTTAAAAGAGTATTGTGACTCAAAACTGTTTTTCACTTCCTTCTACGAATATTAACCGATATGGCGAATCTCGGCATAAATGGACTTACGAAAGAGTCGGTAGGTTTTGCGACAGTAATATAAAACATCAAAAGTTAGTAGAGTTATTATTATCAAAGTTATTATCATATTTACAACATTATTTGAAAGTGTCAACCTAAAAAGTTGCTTCTAGAAACTGCCGTGAGAGACACTTGCATTCAGTGGAGCCGTCGATCCAATTCACCCTTGAGCGTGAAAAGGATAGACATTTGCCCTTTCTGGATTTAAATGTGTCCAGAGGGGTTCAGGGTAATTTAGAGACAAGTGTCTACCGTAAACCTACTCACACCGACAAATACTTCGCTTTCGATTCTCACCACCCTATTTGCCCTAAAAAGTCTGTAGCCAAAACTTCACTTAGGAGGGCTGACTGTCTACCATCTCCACTCGATTCGAAGGCTGAGGAGAGGAAATATGTTTCTAGTGTCCTTAGGGCAAATGGCTATACAAAAACCTTTCTCCGTAACTGCCAATAATTAGTTACAAACCTAAGGATCCTGTCACGAAAGAACAACGAACCGACGCCATTTATTCTATTCCTTGCAATGACTGTGATAACGATTACATCGGACAGACCAAACGTCAGTTTGGTACACGTTTAAAAGAGCATCAAAAAGCGGTTTTCTTTTGCAAAAGGGAAAATTCAGGTTTATCAGAGCACACATGCCTAACTAACCATACAATTGGGTGGGATAGTTCTAAAATTATCACCACTAATCGGCGTTACCACCAGCGCCTTTGTTTGGAGGCTTGGCATATTAACTCCGCCCACGCTCCTCGTTCGTTCATTACACCCCGCTCCGTTCATTACACCCATTTTGAAATCACTGGTGGTCCCTGCAATCTGATTGGCAATTAGTGTGATTTATTCATGAATCACATCATTTTTACTAGGGCTTTCCAAAGGAAACGCCCGAGTTGAAATTCCGGTTTTGTTTTTTTTTTTCGTTCGGTCGCAAATCGCAGTCAAGTCCTTATCACGCATGCGCAATCTTTAGACTCTGACACACGCACCACGTTTTGACTAATAAGCACATAGATTAATGGCGGATGAAGGGGAGATTTCGCGGTGCAAAATCAGCACAGACACTGTGTATAGTACGCTAAAAACGCATACAAAATATGCACACATCGTTCGCGGTAGACCCACACTAAAAGATGTTGAGCGTTTTCGGAACGGGTCGGTCCGCGAACCTTACTAGAGATCTCTTTATGAGCGAACATTTATGTGTGAACCTCTCATCGAGAAACATGCTATATCAACTGAGCTATGTAATGTTAATCGAGAGAAGCATAGACACAAATCTCATCGTGTATGTAGACGTGATCGTGAACCAAGCAGAATACCAATACGAAGTTTGAAAAGGTTAAGGAACAACAGCAGAAAGGTTAGAAAATTTGTCTATGCACGTATTCTTTCGTGTATCCCCACGTCATCTACATTGTACTGTTATGTTAATGCTAAAAAAACTATTGAATAAAAGGACGTTTAATTTTAACTGTCGTGAAAGAATTCGTCAAAGTATAAGAAAGGTAAAATGTCGTGCTAGTCGATACTTTCTTGTAACAAACTGATGTGTTCTTGCAAGAGTGAGGCTCATATAGCAAATTATTGCAACTCCAAATTAAGTGGAGACATAGAAAAGAATCTTGGTCCTCCAATATATTTTGACCCTAACAAAACAATAGCAGTTCCATAAAGTCAAGGTAACGAGTCAGTTGTTGGACAGATTGCAGGACAAAAATTTGTTGCAATGAGTTTGTGCTCTTTGATTTACAATAACACACAAGGGATCAGCTCAGCAAATGATCTTATACAAATAATGAATATTGGAAATCAGTTTTATTCAACTTTGTCATGATTAGCCAGACAGACATTTTTAAAGCAGTCAGAACTACCAAAAGCATTAAATGTATCAAATGCAGTTGGTTATCAACTGGAATATAGTGAAAACTACTCTGGTACTGTTCACCAAGAAACTGCTGTAGAGGGATACAGTACTGTACCTTTTTACAAAGAGCCTTTGAGTTGCTCATATCTGAAAACTACACCAATTTCATAGTAACAATAAGGTGTATTGCTGTTGCAATCCATTGTTATAGTAACATAGGGTTCAAACGATTTTATTCTCTAGAAATGTGTATGGTTGAGGGCAACCTCAAGGCACATGTGTTCTTCTCGAAGTATTGTCCCTTGATAGTTCAGTGCATTATTTTCAGAGTATGCACAACAGTGATATATTTGAAGTGAGAAGAGTACAAATTGAGAATATTGAAAATAGGATGGTTTCTCAAAACAGAGTGAATGAAACCACAAACTTTAATCTAAGTTGTGCTTTCCCCCCAGAAAATGGATGAATTTAATTTCAAACCACCTCAGTACTGCATCAATAAAATATTTGAACTGACCAAGTCCTGTATTTGGGCGATTTCAAAATGGATGTAATAATGTGGTAATTGAATCTCATGTTGTGCAATTTTCGTCTGAAGTCATACTTGTGATTTCAAATCAAATTAGCGCTGCTCGCTTGTTCGATTTTGAAATCATGCATATGATTTCAGCCCAAATTGCACTCTACTCATTTCAATTACCATTTTAAATCATTCACTCCAGATAACAGAATCAAATAAACATGCTAATGATGGTATCTGAATTCGTCCTTGGCCAAACCTTATCGGCTCCACAAGATCACTCTCTCCAGGCAACGAAAACATTTCCATTCGTCCAGTGTTCTCAAAATTACCCTCGAAACAGCCAAAAAAATTCCCTCAACAGTCAATAATGACATAAAATCCGCCTTGCAACACACTTGCAATGGTTCAAACTTCTAACATTGAAAGAGCCGATCCAAGAGTAGCACACCATGTTTACCAAAAACAAAAAACAAAAAACTCAAAAATAGCTTTTGTTAATTGTTTGTTAATTGGCGGTTACAGTCAATTGTTCTGGCCCCGGTTGTTTGAAGATTGGATAATGCTATCCACTGTCATGTCATGAGCATGTGCTGTGTGAGTCACTTATTAACCCTTTGCCACCCACTTCTATGATTAATGAGTTTTCAATAACAAATTCTTTGGTAGAATGCAGCAATATATCTCAAGGAGGGAAAGAACAATAACCGCTTTGAAACCCATCCCACCTCTCAAACATTGCGATGGTACCTTCTAGCAAATTCCCAAAAATTCTATGTTTTGGAGCTGATGGCTGCATTGATTCTTCTTGCCTTGGGACTCACTGAAAAACCAAGAGCTCAAAAAGCAAATAATTTGAGTGTTCCAGTCGAGGTAAGTGTACACTCAGCTCTAGGCGGAGGTGTTATGGGAGTGTGGGGGGGGTTGAAAGGGGAAGTCCTACAACATATGGCTTTACAAAGTATGAATAAAGGGGTTAAGTTTTGATTTTTTGCTTGGGGCTTGGAAACTAGACAGACTTTGAACTTGATGTGATAACCAAATATCTGTGGCAGATATTGGGTTATCATATCAACTTCACATGCTATTGTATACTGAATGTATGCTCATAGTTATCATAGGGTAAGTCTAACCATAAGCAAGTCTAATGTATAATAATGTTCATTGGCCACCATAAAGAGTTTCTAAAGCTGATATTTCCAGTGCTAGCCCTTCATCAGAGCAAAAGTGTGATCCTGATGTAGAAAATGACCATGAGAAGATGCAAAAATGATAATATATTTGTATATTATACTGGGAAAATGTCTCCCAATTTGAGGGTCACTATGGCTCTCCTTAACCTCCCCTCCTTTACAGATACAGATTACACTTGTGATTATAATGCAGTTGTATTTTTGGGTAAATGCAAAATAATTAACCTCTAAGTTGTGTTTTAACATGATGTCCTTAAGCATAGAGAGATTGATTCTATAAGTAGTCAAGAAGTAAATCCTTCAGTATCAACCAATGATTGAAATAGCAGTTTTACTGAATAATTTAGAGGGCTTACTATTTAATATGGGTAATTGATATATAAGATTAATAATTTGATATTGTAAATTACAATAATGAATTCAATATTGTTTACCAGGTTCATGCAGCCGTGGAGATTCTCTCACTGATGATTGTCCTTGCTGGACGTGCTGTAAAACTGAAATGGCAGGGAACAAAGCTTTTCTTCTCCCATAAGAGAACGCTTTTCACGGTACATTACAGTGCTACTTTGGTTGTAACATGCATTAATTTTCCATCAAAAAGGGTTGATAGAGGGCTTTTCAAGTGAAAGTATAAAAAAACAAAGCCAAATTAATTACAGCGACAACCAGAAAAATGAAAAAGAAATTACCAGAAGCTGATTAGGACTTGAATTAAAAACAACCAGAATGCTCAGAGGATGGAACTAAATGTGCACAAGCTATCACACTGCAATTGGTTGAAGTTTTACATCTAATTCGTTGAGAAGGTAGTAAAACTTTTATGGACCAATCGCCAAGTGAGTGATTGTAATCTTGGATTGTTCTCAACACTTGATTGAAATTTCTCTATCTGGAAAAACTGGGTGTGGATGTTTTAGTAAGATAATTAGCACCATTATTATAATTGTAATTGGAAAGGAAGTGAGACTCAGAGGGAGTACTTAGTTTGATAAAAATGACAGGGATTCTTACTATCTAGAACCTCTTAAGTGTTATAGATCGATATGGGTCTGGCAATATATTTTTTGGCTTGCTGAAATACCAATCCAACTTTAAAACAATTCAAATGTTTCACCTACTATCAGGTTGTTATTTGGTGCGTGGTATTTGCAGAAGCCATTGTGGTGCTGGTGAGAAGGGAGAATCATTTTCGAGTAACAAGATCTCTGCGCCCACTCTTTCTTATTGACACGCATTACTGTTCTGGGGTGAGAAGGTGAGTCTCATTCTGTAAGTTAAAATTGTCACTGTGGTTTGTGTAAATAAATTTGTTGTTCATTGTTCCAACCTCAGAGTATTGAAAGGGTCCAAAAATCTCTCCTGGAATAATTTTCCCACCAAATTCGTGATCAGTGGTGAAATAACACAAATCTCAAAGATAGATGTTTAAGGGAAGGGATCAGTTTTGGGGTTCACTGTTCAAGGGCTACAGATCAGTTTATCTTGGGGATCATCCTATAAAGAGTATCCCTCCCAATCAGGGGAAACAGAGCTGTAACATATCCTAAGAGAGTGCTGGGATTGGTAATCCACTAATTCAAGATGTTGGCAGCAAAATGTCTTTGGCTGTTTTGAACTTCTATTTTCTGAAATGACTGTTATTTCTTCCTGTTGTTTGAATGAGATTCATGCACTCTCTTTTACTTTAAATTTTTAGGGTTCTCAGACAGATTTTACTTTCACTTCCCCCAATCCTGTACATGCTCTTTCTGCTGTTTTTTATCATGGTAATCTTTGCTATGTTAGGTAAGAAATAAGAAAAAAGTTAGTATTAGAGAAGTATGCTCCAGAAATCAGTTGTTAGCTTTTATGTTGTTCATTAGAAGGAATGATATATGAAAGGCACTGGTTACCAAATTCTGAGATTGATTATAGTTAACTCCATGAATTCCTAAATTAAATGATTTGTGAAGAATAGTTATCTTGGAGTGTAGATTGTAGAAATTGTTTTTCTAGTTTACTAATCATTCTTATTACAGTGAAGTTTCTGTAATGGGGCCAACACTGACATAAATCAATCTAAAAATGCTGCGTTAGAGAAATTTTTTATATTGACAGAACCTCCAAGTGTCTATTAAATCTCAATTCATTTATTAAACTTGAAAGCTCGTAAAAATTGAAGTACATTAAATTGAAAAAAGGCATTACCATTCAATATACACTAATCAAAATGTCCTAAACTCAAAATATGCGGAGCGTGTATAAAGATAAATCTAAACAACACAAATATCCTAAGTGATACCGAACTACCCTTGATTGTACACGTTTAGGTATATAAATCCAAATATAGACAAGATGACATACCTCTTTCCCCATTCTATTACTCTAATATTTCAACAATCCTTCAATCTATCTTCTCTTCTGACTACACGTGTAACTCACATGTCTCGTGGCTGAATGAAACATAATGCTAACAATTCAAAAGTATGTCACACAAACCAAAGGGTATTGAAAGTCATGCAAATAACTAAAAATAACCTTCATTACAGTTTCCTTATTGCTTGCAGGGTTCTATCTGTTTTCTGACAATGAAAAGGATCAGGTAATTTTATTTAGTTACTATAAACCTACTCATCAAACATGTTGACATATTTGACAGACCAATTTTCTTTTCCACCATCACACCTCACTCGCATGCTAGATTATTAAATTAAAGAAAAGTTCACTGCTTATTTGACTTGTAATCTTTCCAAGGACTTCTATTTAATTCAGTCTCCTTTTGCAAAATTAGTTTTTCAGCAGCTTTGGGGGAAGCTTCATCAGCTTATTTGTGTTAATTACAACAGCAAAGTAGGTGAAATTTAATAGTTATTCATAGGTTAAGCAAGAATGATTTTAGTTCATTGAAATATTCTCCCTCTCATTAATTACACTAAATTTGTGGATTCTTTTCTACAGTTATCCTGATGTAATGATGCCAGCATATATCAGATCACGATGGTCTGTTATCTACTTTGCTGTTTACATTGCAGTTGTTCTTTACTTTCTCATGGGTCTGGTAAGGTTTCAACACACCACAATGTATAAATTGTGGCACAGATCTGCACCACATTATTGCCAGCTAATATTAATATATTTCCACCGGTCTCTACCAATCTGACAAGTCACTTGACTCTGATGATGACTTCTGCTCAGGTTGTTGAATGTCAGTCACTATGACCAACAACACTCTGAGTCCTCTTAGGACTACTCTCACCTGGACAATCAGACTACACAGTCATTTACTGTGTATGGTAATTACCACCCAGTTTTCTTGACCTGTCTCTTTTAACCTTTTAACCCTCCATACATCATATATTATACATCATCCCTGAATCAAACTAAGGTCAGTGGAATAAAGGAAATGATTGTGAGGTCAAGAAGCTCTTGATTATTATGCAAATTCTCCCTGTAAGTACCTTAAAAAACTTGTGGATAACAGTAAAGAGAACTTGTAAACTGATGTGAGGGTGGAAAGCTATGAGTTAACCTGTCACCCCCAGAAGTGACTGATGAAATTAATTTCTACCAACAATATCTCTATATTGTCAAACTGGCAGGAGATAAGAACATAAACAACCAGAGAAAATTATTAATCAGGAGATATCTTTTCCTGTTAGTAGCCAGACCATAAGTCACTCATTACTTTATCATGACAAAAAGTTTTGTAATTTTTTTTCCAAATTTTGGCCCCAACCAAAATTAATTACATGTAGCCTATGGTAAACATATAATGTTTTCTTGCTTTAACATTGCAGCTTTTGGCTGTGGTTTATAAAGACTTTACAGACATTGTAAAGGATAAGTTTAAAAAACTCTTTGTTCATAAAAGGTAAGAATTTCTGTAGCAAATCAGTTGAATTTTGGCTAGTGTCTGCAACCTGATGGTTTTAGTTGTCATAAGGAATTCTAACTACTCCTTGATGTCAACTCAACACCATCCACAGTATCTCTCTCTCTTCCCTCTATTCTCCTTCTTAATGGTCCAGGTCAGGGAGGAAAGAAAGATCTTAAGAATCTGATGCACTTCAGAGTAACAAAAGTTTCTCAGACTTTGTGTGCTTGTTAAAGTCTTGACTGGTAGTTTTCTTTTCTTTAAGGGAAGGTGTAAGAGAAGCTTACGAACTTCTCAAAGGTGAAAATGTAAGTTGTTGATAAGTTAGTAATGTATCAGTCTATTATTAACAATTAACTGGTCAGTCAGTCAGTCAAGTAGGTCATCTTCTGTCTGTCTGTGGAGCAGACAGCCAGGAGACAAGTACTGGTAGGCCGTGAGTCAGTCAGTAAGTTAGGCATTAGGTTGTCAATCTAGTGGTCTGTCAGTTTGTCTGAGTTAGTCAATACCTAATGAATTAATTCCCTGAAATAGTCCATTGTCAAATAACTATTGTGTCAGACTAAATATAACAACTTAGGTCTTGATTAAGGCAGGGTCATTTATATGTCAATAACAAATTTCCTGGCACAAAAAAAATAATCTACCTCTGAGGTAAGATAATTTACACTTTTTTTCATAGCCCCCACATGGGATCCCATGGGGAACTTTTAAAGGCTTGATGTCACATTACGACCCCAAAAGGAGTAAGTGCTTTAATTTACTTCTGGCTTATAAGTAAAAAATGTGCTCAAAGTGTTTATTACTTTTTACGAGTTCGCAGTTAACTATAATATTTGAATTTTATTATCGATAGTCAGTCAATAAGAGCCTGGACTAGTCTCAAATCTTACTCACACACACTGTTGTTGTGGTTTAAATATTTTAGAGAAATATTATTAAGGTCATTAATCTAAATATTGTTACTTTTCCAACAGCTGATGTGGAGAATTATCTTTTTTTTAAGTCACTAAATAAAAGTAACACTGGACAACTAAGGTAATGTCCTCTTTCAAAAATGCATTAGTTTTAGGTTTTTCTAAAGATTTGAATTGGTAATTCGTTTTTCGGCTTAATTGTAGTTTAGAATTTATTTGGTTTCTACATCTGGTACCATTGTAGTTTGACTGTTACTCAATATTTATACTTACTGGTAGTTATCAACTTTTATTTTAGCCTGGATGAATTTTACAATGTTTTTGAAAACAGTGAGATGAGGTGGAAGCAGGTATGTGTCTTATTTTATCGAAAGAAATTGAAGAACATTTTGAAAAACAATTTCAAAACCTGCTAAAGCTGCTATGAAAAGCGTGTTATGATTTATCTCACATGGTTACTGTTGTTTTCTTTAAGGTAACAGAACATCACGATCAGTGGTTTAGCTGTTTTAGGTCATGCAAATGTCTGTACCGCACACTCGAAGGCAAGATTTAATATCCATGTTCAGTGTGCTTGAATCGTCTTTTTTAGGGCGGTGTTCGAATTGAGTGTCGTAAAACCAAAACCAGAGTAGCGACAACCACCAATCAGAAGACAGTAAAATACTTTAGGAGCCAATAAGAACTCAAAGTGAAAAGAAGCAAACTGCCTAAAACGCGGGAAAACGCGGGTGACCATGTCGCGATTGGAATTCTCTTAAATCTCCTCATCCACTCCTAATGGCCTTTTCGACAGTCTTTTCAAAAAATTGTTCTTGAAATGAAACTGATTTTTTTTTCTGTATATCTCCCTGGATTTTTTAAGGGGTGTTTTGTTTGTAACTCTGTGTGAGCTTAAGAAATATCCTTGAAGATTTTAAACCTACAAACCCATTCGTAAATAACTAAAACCATTGAAAATAGTTCAAATTCTTAGAAAAGTTTCAAGAATTCTTGGAAAGTGAACGATTTGTTATGACCATTCCAGAAACAACCAAGTCACGAAATTCATGCGATCAGCATGAAAAGCTTCCTCTGCTTGATTGCTATAGTTACCAAAACCCCAAGTTGATGAAAAATGCCAATTAATGATTATTGTCTTACCGAAACTTAGATGTGTAAATTCGTCCTGATACAAAAGTCTAATTTTTTTCACAGGTATTCGCCGGCTCATATCACAGAAAGCTTTTGAGTTCGTCATCTGTAAGTCTCTTTGAATCTTTGCTGCTAAAATGTAGAATTGCATTTCACTTGAATTTAGCAAATTCACTTACACTTTGGAATATTATAATCTTATAATTTCCGGACATTTCAAGAGCTAAAACGTAAAGAAATTATATCAAACGTTTTTAGAGGCCTTGCCGTAATAGCTAAGCTTCATTAATTAGACCTACGAACAAACCTTTTGTTGGCCTTGAACTCCGCTTTCAGGTAATGCTTAGCTAGTCTTCATAACACATTCAGATCACTAATTTCTGCTTTGAATAATCGTCTTTGAAATTTTCTTCTTTAACAGATGCAATTATTATTACAAATGGGATTTCAGTTGTTGCGGATATCATTGTGTTTTCCAGTAAGTTATTTTCTTCTCTTTGATATTAAGCTTATCCAATTATGTCGTTAAAAAATCTGTTTAGAACTGAAGTGTCCCATTACACCAAGCAACGAGGCGGCGGCTTATCAAAACTGGAGGCAATTTCTCTCGACCGGTCTTGTGACTAGTACCAAAAGCGGGAAAAACGCTCGTGAACAAGCCACGGCGCGTGTTGGGCTCTGATTGGCTAAAATAGTGGTGTGAGTTTTGTGAGTCAATTAGAAAACACGGGGCACTTACCCAAATAAAGAAATTCTGTGCATCCGTGCATAGATGATATTTGTTTTGACCGAAAAATGTGTTGAGCGTTCCATGCGAAAGATTTTATTTACTCTTTATTTGCAGACACTCCTCAAAATGAAAGGCAAAAGAAGATAAGAGAGCTCCATTGGTACCATATAGTCTTCATTTGTAGTGAGTTGATTCATCGATGTGACATGAATTTTTTCCTAAATTTTTTATTTCTGATATGATGCACAGCTCGATTTATCTTTGTAAAAGTTTGTAAGTTGGTTCCGTATTGGATTTAAATTACTTGGGCTGTTTTTAAAGACTCTTTCAGATATTTGCAATGTAACTTTAATGTTTTCAGTTTATGCAACAGAAACCTTGCTCAAACTCCTTGGTCTTGGTTTAAGGAAATATTTCCGGTCTGGCTGGAATATGTGAGTATTTAAGAACGGAGTTTAAGTTGTGCTTTCTTGTGTTGCAGTTAAGGCTATCGTTTCTGGCTTTGTAGTCTTTGTAGATTCTGACTTGCAACTAATTTTTGTTCAGCGTGGCGCAGTCGCTGAAACTATGAACAACCGTGAATATCGACACTGGTTGCATTTCGCACGGTGCACAACTGTGTGTAGTAAGTGAACAGGCATTGAAGGATAGATACATTGCAGATGTTTGTTTGTTTGTTTTTTTTGTGGGAAAAAACTTTGAAATATGTCAAACTGTTATTTACATATTCCAACAGCGCCAGCTGTTAGCCAAACAAAGTAAATATGTTTTAGAAGAGTTTTCCCCGAATTCAAATCTTTAGCTCTATAATCTGGGATTAATTGTCGGTATCTGAGCAACTGTAGATGTGCACCTACCCCTCCCCAAACCCAACATTAACCTTAGCTCAGTTGTTATCAGTTGACTGTTGTCGAGTTGGGGAGGGGGGTGGATGTCCAGTTGCTTAATTACTGACATTGATCCATTAACTTCCTTATCGTGAACTAAACGCTTCTATGGTTACGCTGCCTCACAGATTCGACTTCTCTGTAACTGTGGCTGGTTTTATTGGTGCAGTTTCAACATCCTTCAGTTTTATCGTCTGTGTGAGACCCTTGAGACTTTTGCTGTAAGTATTCAGTTCTTTTTAAAAAATCTTATTGAGTTCTTCATATTACTAAAGCAATTAATATTCCTTGCAGACTTTTTAAAGTGAAAAACTACCGTGGCTTGTTTGAGACAATAGGTGTCTTGTTACCTCGATTGGCCAGGTAATACGTTCTCTGTTCTAGTGGAATTGTCCATTGTTAAGTAGGCGTTTAGTTTATTCATGGCTGAGCGTGAGAATGACAGTTTGTCACGCAACGTCTTCTGCTAGGCTAATGCGATTTGTTAACGTCACCCAAGCACTAACGTGCAAGAAACGATTTTTCTCTCAGGGTTGCCGTCGTCATTCTGTTGATTTACTACTCGTTTGGAATCATTGGAATAGAATGCTTCTCTGGACTCGAACTAAAAAATTGTTGTGTGTAAGTATTTTCCGTTCCAGTTACAGTCTTTTATCGAATATTTTTTCACATGGATTCTTTACAGGTAGTCTCTCAAACTAATGATTGTTTATCGAAACGACCGCATGAAGACCAAGCTCGATCTAATGTTCGGCGTGAAAGTGATATAATGTAAGTCGATCACGTTAAGGCTAATTTGGTGTACGAACATTAGGGGAAGTAGTATTCCGCATATGTTTGAAACCAGAAATAGCTCAAGTGGAATCGACGTATTCCACCCAATAACCAGTCTGTCCTCCTCTTTCCCTTCATTATCTCTTGGATGGTCTCAGTTCAGTCACAAGTCACCATTAGCTCGGAGGTTAAAAGTCTTACGAACTAATTCACCTTTTGGGCTTTAGATTTCACGTGTAGTATCACGTGACTTTTGATGTAACCAAACCCCGAAAGTTCGGACATTGAGTTGAGCTCGCAGCACATATGTCCAAACTTCGGCTTTGGAAATTTTTCTTAAATAACTTCCCACTTTCAAGAAGTGTCTCTGCGCTCAAAATTGACATATTTCTTTTGTCATTTATTTGATCGTTTATTAAGCAAGTTGTCATTTCGCTGCCGTTGAAGTAGATGCGAAGAATGTTACAGGAAGCGCTGCGGCATGGAAAAATTGAACTAGTTCTGCGTACAGTGATGTATCTGATCAGGTATTTTCAGGGTGTTTAGTGCGTAGATTGTCAGATAAATTCCCGTCCAACAGGAAATTAGTGCCCACGAATCGCTGTAGAACGTGAGGAAGCCTTAATTCCCGCACGTAATTACGTATCTGGGTGTGGATTTCCTTAGCTGATTAATGTACCAATTTTTTTAACCTTAAGTAACGCAAATGGGAAATTCTGCGAAACTCAGAACAACCTTCAAGAAGAGTTAAACTTAAGAATGGCAGATCACAAAAGTAAAGCTGATTTCAACGCAATGAGTGTGGCAGAGCTTCAAAAATATCTACAAGAACGGGGGATTTCAGCGAGCGGATACTTGTAAACCTCGTTGGTGGAAATCACCTCCGCAGTCGAAAAAATGGTTCTGCCAGTGGATCCAAATTTCGAAAAGGCGACGCCACTACTTTAGGCGAATTAATAATTCATGATATGCTTATACCCTAAAGACTGTTAACAATTTTAACGCGTCGCCGCCGTTTGGATTGTACGACATTTTTAATTATTTGATTTGCTCTCCTAAACTCATCACTAGCTCTACGCTCAGATCTGAAAGGGCTTCAACTGCTGCGTATTCCTCTGTCGATTTACCAGTTTGACGATCAAGTGTCAGAAGGGTTTTTGCCATTGACCGTTCAAGGCAAACTTTCATGCACCTCTCTTTGTCTGCTTCTTGTTGGCAAGATACCTTCCGTTTACGAGTCGCGACACCGAGGCATGGTGATATAAAAGAATGACTGAATTAACTTACCCTTTCTTTACTAACTACAGCAGATATGGAGTCAGTATCCTCTTTTGTTGGACCATTTCCACCGACGAAATTTAGACTACAAGCGTAGCTGTCCTTCGTGCACACAAACGAGTCACCTCGATGACATAACCTTATCCACCTTTGCCTTCTCTCCTTTTGTCTAACTGCCCCCGGAAAATGGAAAAACTTGACTGAGTCGCCGTTAGCGTTTCTTACCCAGGAGTTGAAGTATCGTGAATCGTTTTTCAGGTGCCATAAGCTCATCTCTTTGTCGTAACCATTATGTTTAGGTATACACTTACTAAATAACTGCAATCGTACACGTTCATAGAGTTGAAATCGGTTTTATTTTTGGGAATCAAGGCCTCCTCACGTTCCACAGCGATTCGTGGGCACTAATTTCCTGTCGGACGGGGATTTATCTGACAATCTACGCATTAAACACCAAGAAAATACTTGATCAGATACATCACTGTACGCAGAACTAGTTCACGGCAGCGAAATGACAACTTGCTTAAAAACGATCAAATAAATGACAAAAGAACGATTTCAGTTTTGAGCGAAGAGACGCTTCTTGAAAGTGGGAAGTTATTTAAGAAAAATTTCCAAAGCCGAAGTTCGGACACATGTGCTGCGAGCTCACCTCAATGTCCGAACTTTCGGGGTTCGTTTACATCAAAATTCACGTGATACTACACGTGAACTCTAAAGCCCAAAAGGTGAATTGTCTGGAAGATCATAGGGTCGAATCCCAGTTGAAGCGCTGAACATTTGTTTCTCTCCAATATGGGTTGGTCACCGACTCAACAACCTTGTCTTTCCTAGCATTGTGTTTTATTTTGCACACTATCATGCAGAACAACCATTTCTTTGACGCATTTTAGTCGAGCAGTGATTTTCAGGCGGTGCAGCGAAAGCATTCGTCCCTATTGCTCGCCTCGGCTGAGAAATGTACAAAAATCCGCCAGTATTTTTAGACCTATGATAGATTGAGAGAGAGAAAGACCTATGAGAGATTGAGTAAGACGTAACGATTTACATTTTGGTATTCCTGAATGCATCTCATCTCTAACTGTATTATTTTGCACAGAAACACTTCGTGGGAAAGAGCATACAAGGAGGGTGGCTATCATTTGAACAACTTCGATGATTTACTACATTCATACGGCAAGCGCCTTTAAACTGTTTTCTAGTTAAAGTATTATCGCAAATAGGGAAGAACCACAAATGAAGTACTTTTTTATAACGAACAAAGGATATCTAGTCTAAGGATGACTAGTTTCTGTGTTATAGGCAACTAAACCACACTGAGGGACACCCCACGTCTACGCTCGTTTTCCGCCGTTTTCTTAAGTCCATTCTTCGGTAATGGGTGAGTGGAGTGAGCGCAGGCTCAATCTGAATTCCCGAAAAACGGCAGGTAATCGAGCGTACCCTCTGTCGTTATCACCCCGGTACTACAAAAGACCTCTTTTCACCTTTCAATTGTAAAACGTCTGTAAACATCCTACAATTAGCATACACTTATTGTAATTATTTGCGTAATTGCGTCACTTAATGCGATTTTACAGAAATAGCCCATCATGAGGTAAATTTTGATAAATGGGCCTTTTACTGATACGCAGGTAATTTTTCAAAATCTTTCTCCAACTCACCCTCCAACTCACTTCCCTTTCCGCCTCATGCTTGCAATTTTCTCAAATTCTTTAAAATGGCCACCCTTCCATTGGAGAGTTTCATCACATCGTATATAAACGTTTTTTATTACGTTTCTCTGCAGTGACTTTGTTCGAGTTGACAGTAGTAAACAACTGGTTTATAATAATGGTAAGAACACACGATTGCTTGTTGCAGTGTTTCACTTGCTTCATAAGCTTCCGACGGTGTTTAGTTGGATCAGCCTTCGTGAGTGCATGGAATTCCTGTGTATCATTATAGTTGGGTTTAATTGGTTACCTTGTGGTGGAGCTAACGGCTTGTTTTGTGCAACTTCTGGATTAGTTTTTGCCTTTTCATAATCAGCTTTCTTTTCCTATTTATTGACAGGAAGGGATAGTTTACCTGACATCAGACTGGGCCAGAGTATTCTTTATGTTATTTTACATTGTTACAAAGGTAAGTCATAAAATCACCGACTATCATAGTTACACAAGTTTTTAGACAAAGATCTGCATACTTGGGCTTTTGAAATAGCTTCAGGGGAAGGGGTACGAAAGTCAATGTTTGCTGGGTGCGTGTCACTGTCCTCAGGGGAAGGGGTACGAAAGTCAATGTTTGCTGGGTGCGTGTCGCTGTTCTCTCATGACCACTAACCCATTATAGACTGTTTTGTGGCCAATTAAAGATCCCATCCTAGTCGCATTTGGGGTTACACGGTAAGTTTAGGAGAGCCACTCTTCAGCGAGTTACTTAGGCTACCTATTAGGTCCATATGCGACACGCGGAGATAGAAAAATTATCATAGAATGAAAGAGATGGTAAATTTTGACCCTGTAGATGAGTAAAGGAGGATCCAAAACGTTTCTGAAACATTTCAGGCTTTTTTAGCTTCTTTTATCTTCTTCTATGTGCCTTTAGAAAATGATTATTTTACCATAGTTTTTCCAGTTCTCGGTAGTCAGGTAATCAAGTATCCTCTTTTTCTATCTTATTTTGACCAGGTTATTATGACAACTGTTGTGGCGTTTATCCTGGAAGCCGTTCGCTTCCGGATTAAATATGGACAAGAACATCCTACAGACGAAGAAGGTGAAGAGCTTCAGATGTTACTGTAATCGAGACTGTTCTGGACCACTCCGCCGTAAATAACAACATTGAAATGATGAAAACGTTCTCCGTTGTCTCTTTTGTCAATGAATTTCGTATTTCAAAGATCACGTATCTTCGATCGTTAGTGACGTCACAGACGTTGTACAGCAAAATAAACCTAAGTCGTGTGTGTTACCTTTCAACCTACCATAAAAAAAAAAAAGGTTCGCAAAGCGTACACATTATACGAAGTGGCATTAATTTTTTTTGCTTGTCAAGATGGAGAATAGCAGCGCTTAGAGGAAAGTATATTCAATATTGACAAAATGGTTTACCTCTCCACAGAGGATATGAAAATCAGGATGAAAATCATTGTGACCTACGAAGAACTCCTGGCCTTGGGCGAAAGCTATGTGGAAGATCTGCAGCCCGATCAGCCCGTAAGAATATCATTATTTCGTTGTCTGTCAGACATTTTCACTCAACTCCCAAGTTTTCTGTTTTTAAAGGAATGTTCCTTGAGTCATGAAACACCAACTTCGTGACTTCAACTCAAATTCCTGGCCCATCAAGGGACCAATCAGAGATCTTCCGCTAACCCACGCAGCAAGCATAGTACATGATTTCCCACTACGGTAGTATCAAAATGACCGTATATTTATGGTTTCCATTTGCGCTATATTCCGTTCAACAACTTAACAGTAAGTTCAAAACTTTCAATCTATTATCACTGGTTATCAAAATGAATTACGAGATACCATCCAAGGGTCCCTCAAGATAGCTTCCTATGCTCATCAGATACATTCAACCGTTGAGAGACCCATAAGTTACATTGAACGTATAAACAGGTATCGTTATTTGAGGGTTCTTGTTCATAAATTTTACACTTGTTGGGCTGTAGTATTTTAGTCGATACACTAAGGTCCCAAATGCGTAGCGGCCTGTTGTACCGAGGTTTAACTGTTTCAATACAGTTTGAGACTGTTATGTGACTCGCGTACACTCATTTCATTGCAGGTTCGTTACGAAGGAAAACGCCCCAAGACGAAAATGGATTTGAGAGTAAGAATGTACAAAGATGAAGTCCAGGTATAAACTTTTCATTGATCATTAATTGATGAATTATTCGGTAGTAAATAAGTCAGTTGTTAACTGATGAATTATTCTGTAGTAAATTAGTCAGTTGTCAATTGTTAAATTACACTGTAGTAAATTAGTCAGTTAGACAAGTAATGTAAAAGCGACGAGGTCACACCATTTTGTCATTGCGCCCCTTTTTTTTCGTTCTTTGAATATTATCTCGTTTGTAATAAACCTGTTTCGCTTTTCCTTGTAGCAATGGATACAAGAACCTTCAGCGTACGCTCATAGAAGAAAAGATACAAGGCCATGTCTCCTATCAACTCTCCTTCATCGCCAGTCCCCGCGAACACGTCATCTAATAGTCTTGTGACTGATGAGGTAACAATGGGAGAAGTAAACATAGCGTTAGACGAGTAAGACGCCACCTTTTGAAAATGTTTTGCTTTTCCTTGTAGCAATGGATAAAAAAAGAAACAGAAGAACTTTTAGCGCACGCTCATAGAAATGATGAGGTAGAAATGGGAGGAGTAAACATAGCGGTAGACGAATGAGATGCCACCTTTTGAAAATGGGAGCGGGAAAAACAGATACCCTCCAACAAGGTTCAACAGATAACTCTATTATGTATATATAACCAGTAAACTCTTACCTAAAATAAGGCGGATACTAGTTTGATCGGTTCCTATGCGGTTGGTTTTTCAAGCGCTCTTATGGAAGGTACATTTTTTATTGGGGGGGGTCGGGTCGGGGTATTTTAGAAATTTTTTGCGAAAAAAGTCGTGGCCCTCCCACTTCCCAGAATGGATTAATGCATGACCCCTCACAAATACCTACACAAAAACATCTGACCCTCCCCCCACCTCCTCCAAGACAAAAATAACCGGAAGTGAAAATAACTAACCGGAAGAGGTACTCACACAACCACGTCTGCGCACAAAGCAGTTAATTGCGTGGCGTGTGATTGGACGGTGAAAACTTGAAAATGGGCAAGGATGTATGAGGAATAGAAAGAGGGGAATGCGCTTGTGGTGAATGCGAGGATTTCGTGAGGTCAGATGGGCCGACTCGCCTTCCTAAAAAGGATGCCCGCTACTCCTCTGACTATGTTGATGGCACATCAGGCGCGGAACCAAGTGAAAGTGTAAGCCAGAGTAGCTTAAGTGACGAATCGTCACCGGAGACTGAAACATTTCGGAAACATTACCGCCGTAAAAATATGGACGAAAGCGGACACGGGTCGAGAGAGACGATTATGTTAATTGGAAAAGACAGTTTTTTGATATAATATTTCGACACCTGTAAATAAGTCAGATTAATCTTGACTGGTAGCTTTGCTTGTATATACAAGCTTTAGGTTTCTTTACACTTCGCGTGTTTGTTAACTAATAAGAGTCAACTAAGCGACATGGAGTAATTTTTTCCTTGTCAAAAAAAACTGTGACCCTCCCCCGGTTGCGAATAAAACAGGTTTGACCCTCCCCAATTTGTAAAAAAAATACTAATAATCCTCCCCTCCGAAGCCCCGGCCCATCAACCCCCCTTCTCCCCCCCTCTCTTCCCCCCTCCCCAATAAAAAAACGTACCTTCCCTTATCAATGTATCTGGGGCTGCTCTAACGTCACGTAATGAACTGTAGTTATGTGACGCCGCATCGTTTGTCACACAACGAAAGCGTAGAGCGTCAGTTCAGTGTATTCAGCTGGAAATTGTAAAAAGACTTCTAAGACCAGGTTAAAATGGTAAAGGTTTACTTATTATTAACAATTCCGCCAAAATATTTAGATTTCCTAGTGGATTATTTTCATTCTGAAAAAAGAAAAAACCATACTCTGGGAAAGTCTTTTAGGGGGCGAGACAGAGAGAGCAGACCATGACATTGCGGCTGTTGTTGACTGTTTTTTCACGTTACCATAATGCGCTCACTTGCTTGTAAAACTTATTCTCTTAATGCTCCACTATAACGAAACATAAGCTGAAAGCTTCTAGTCTCCAAATTTATTATCAAGAATTCTAGTCCAGAAAAGGAAGCGAAAAGACATAAGTTGTGAAAAAGCTAGTTGATCACTTTTGAAATATAATTTCCCCCTTTACGACAAACCTTAGCAACATTATTTACGTAGTAAACCTTGAGAATATGCCATACACTTAGTTTACTTTTTTATTCGGCTCTTATGCAAGCGACGTCAGTGAAAAAGAAAAAATAATAATACAAGCTCAAAGTTAAATAATTTTGCAATAAATATTCCTTGATTCCGTTTGATGAAATGTCTAACTCTAGTCGATCTCCCAGCGCGAAAGTGTTTTTCTTTTCCATTTGATATTTTCCTCTTAACAAGGTAAGCTTAACACTTGCATACAAAACATACCTAATGAGTTTAAGCACAACCCGTGTTCCCTTTTTTTTTCTATTTGCATTGTTTTTGTTTTTTCTAATTATTTTCCGTTTTTGTTCCACGCGAAATATGATCACTTGACTTGTTGATGTACTTTGAAGCTCCCAATGAGTGATTCCAGAAAGTGATTTGTTCCTTTTTTGCGGCTTTTAAATCCAACCGCTGGTCAACGAGTATTTATTCAACAGTTAGACGCCACTAGCGGTGTTCCATCCCGTCACATGACCGTACAGCATGCTACGTTCCTCCTCAGCTTACAGATCCGGGGGAGTACGGTCATAAGACGAAGTGCAATCTCTTCAGTCACGTCGAGCCGATGTACCATGATCCATTCTTCTGCAGGATTCTGAAATGAACTTTGTAAACTCTGCGCAGTACTTCCATTCCGTGAATTTTGTTCTTCACGTAGAGCGGGCTCTTCCTCTGCCGTCAATGTATTTTCCAATTCATTGCTTTGGGTAGGGGTGTCCACTTCGTGTTCACCCCCAGGAACTAGTTTCGCATTGCCTTCGTTTCCGTCTCGTAGTACCCCCGTATCCGAAGATACTCCTTCGTTAATAACCCGTACTTCTTCGTCTTCGGTATCGGGATCGGTAGTAGTTTCCACTAGCCCTTCTACTCCAGATGTCTCAATTTCCGGAGGTATTACATGTACCTCGGCAATGGCTTGTATTTCGTCATCTTCGGTATTTGCATCGGTTCCCGATGTGTCGCTTTCCGACAATTCATCGTCTTCGGTAAACGGATAAGCCAAAGCAGTGACCACTGTAAGATCCGAGTCGTATCCGTCAAGATGGCGGTGGCGACTTTCAGATTTAGTTTCACTTGTCTGCCTTTGGATTTCGGTGAAGGTATTTCCCTCGTCACTGCTGCCTTTGGTTTCTTCAGCCTTAGTTTCTTCTTCTTTATTTTTCTTCGCCTGTTCGTCAATAGCAACTCGTACTTCGACTACACGCCCTCCTAGAGCTTCAGCAGATGTTTCAATTTGTTTAGCTTTGCGCGCAACAATCTCTTGAGAAATTTCAACGTCGGCTTTGACTTCCTCCTGTTCATCGATTTTGTTCCTTTGTGGCGACAACTCTTTGTTTCCTTCACAGTTCAACTCATCAGCGCTATTTTCTTTCTCTTGATTGCGCTCTTTTGTTGTCCCATTCTCTAAATCGTCTGCCACGTTTGATTTTACTTCAGATGTTTTTGCGTCTTGCTTTACTTCAACAACCACAACAACATCAGCTGTTTCTCCGAGCGCATCTTTGTCTTGGATCTCAATTTCATGATCTTCCCTCTGCCTTTTCAACTCTCGATTGCTGTCTGTTAACTCTTTCTTTCTCTTTACTGCTTTAGAATTTTCTTCGCATTCGGTCGATTTTTCTTCAGTATCTTTTTGGGCGACACTTTGTTCTTCAACACTTTCCTCCAATCCAGAACATTCACTCTTGTCTTCCTCCTCATTCCTCTTTCTAGCTCCCTTATCTGCGTTGACAGTTTTTTCATCCCCTTTCGATTTTTTCTTCCCATGTGGAACAGAACTTGGATTCGTAATCTTCCTCAATGAACGACGCAAAATATTCTCTTTCTTCTTTTTCTTCAGTGAAAGTTCCGTTGTCACTTCATGCGCCTTTGCGGAGCCGTCTTCCTTTTCTGCGTTGCTCTCTTCGTTTTCGAGAGAATTACCCTGTTTCTCTACAACAGAGCCCGATTTCTCCTCTGCTGGTGCATCTTCTTCCTCCGCTACAATCGATTTGCGTTCTTCTCGGTTGTTTGAAATTTTCTCTTCAAAGTCGGCTTGCTTGCGTAGTGCACCGCCATCCATAACGTTGACGTCATTAGTTTCTTTGCCCACACCAATTTTAGCGCTCGCGTTAATTTCACTTTTTTCTTCGTCTTTTTTACTTGATTTTCCTTTTGGTTTTTTAAGACTTTGTTTGTTGCGCTTGAAGCTTAGAACCGTCACTTTTTTCTTCTGCTTACTGGTCTCTTTCTTCCTAAGGTCCGCTTTTTCTTCTCTCTCATCATCTTTCTCCTTCGATTCACCTTTGTTAGCTGCAACAGGTAGTTTGAGCGAAGTCTCCTCCACGTCCATATCCTGACGATCTTCAGGGCTCTCGAATTTTTCAGATCGCTTCCCATGGCCTTCGCATGCGTCAGTGTTAAAGGTCTGGCTGACATTGTATTTGCCTTTTGTGGTTTGACGGAAACTTGCAAATTGCTTTATATTCATTCCTTTGTTGTTCGTCGCTGTGGACTTTTCGTTTTGGACTCCCTCGGGAGAAGTAAACGGTTCTCTGTTTTCCATCTCCACCGAACCTTTAACAGTCTCGAATTTCGCTTCGTCAGCTTTATCCGCTCGTTTGTCACAAATCTCATCCGTCTTCTCCTCGAAGATCTTCGGATCCTCTGCGATAGTTTCACATTTCAAAATTTCAACACGTTTTTCTTCATCGAGTGAGGCTTTGCGTTTGGAAATTTTGCCTTTCTTAGAGCGGCGAAAACTTAATCTTCCCTTCTTGCTGCTGTTGGCTTGATCAGGTTTGAGGGTTTGTTTTTCATTGCTCTTTAACTCTTGAGTTCTTTGTGTCTCCTGTTCACCTTGGCTTTCTTTGTTCGTACTTTCTTTAGCTGTTTCTTCCGTCGTTGCGATTTTCTTGCTGTCCTGTGAGGTGCTTTCTTCTCGGTCAGTTGCCGTTTCACTTGCTTTTTTCTCCGCAAAGATTTCTCCTTTTCCTGCCGTATTCATCTCAGAATTATCGACAGTATTTTTTTTGTCGGGAACAAAATAAGAACTTTCCTGACCTTTAAACCCGCTCTCCAAACGTCCATTAGATTGTGCTTTTGTTGCCTCTTCTCCGCCCTGCGTTTCTGGCGTCGATTTTCGGCCGGGTTCGTCTTTGGCGCCGGAAAGCTGCTTGTCAATTCCACTTGTGTGCGAACTCTCTGCCATTTTAAATACGAAATTTTATAAAGATCCTAACGCTTGCGTTACAAACTTGTCTTAACAGAAATGATTAGGACTATTTTAACTGAAAGAGAGATATCAAATCTGTCCAATGATCGTCACAGGGACAGTCACGTGACGCATATGCACGTGAAATTAACGAGTGTTTTGTACGAGAGCTTTATCAGCTTGGCATCGAGTATTTCGCGTCGTCAATTTAGGCTATGTGCGTTTTTCTTTTATCGCTGAGACTGTTTAGCCAAATTTTATAGTTTAGAGGAAAAGGGTATATAGTTAGTTCTACAGTGTTAGTAGCCAATCAGAATAATTTTTAAGTCATAAACTTTCTGCCACATGTTGGCAAGGTGTAAAAATTAGCGCAGTGCTTTAAACACGTAAGCAGTGTCACGAGCTTATATGTGATTTACATGTGAAAAGAACGTGAACAACTAGATCAACACTCATTCTGATGCCTCGAATATAATTTTTATTTGTCTTTTTCCGTTTAAAACTGTTAGCCACAAAAATTACCTCAAAATAACGCTTTTTGTCTTAACGGTGGACTTCCCTTAGCCTTCATTTTGACGGAGCGTGTTTTAAGCTGTTTTTTCAGCGCTCTTTCATCGAAACGTTTCCCTCTCGATAGCGATCAATACACGAACAGTTGTTTGCATCCTTTACTTGGTCCTCGCTATATTAAGTTGCGGTTCGAGCATTTTACATGCACGCACTTAATCAATAGAGAAGGTTCTTGCGAACGGCAAAAACATTTCATCATTCCCTAAAATATTTTGCCGTAGGAGAATGCGTTTGTTCCTGATAAGAATAAACTTTTCTTTCACTCGCTCCTTTTTTGGAAGTAAATGAGGATTCAATAAGTAAACGAAGTAAAGGTCGAGCTTAAAATCCCTTATGACTCTCATGTGAGTTTAATAAAGGTTACTACGTCATGCTAATCTGTAGCCACGAGCTAACTTAATTGAATGTGAAGGAAAACGCGCTTAAAATATTAGTTTGCTAACTGAGATAGAAAACACCGAAATGAAGGTATGAGGGTGATTAAGAATGAAAAATATTGGTACAGATTGCAAATTTCCGACTGAAATATTGAGGCTCAATTTTTCACGATTTGTGAAGGGTAACGCACGCAATGGGCACATTGCTGAGAAGGCTTTGGGAGTCATTCTCGGTTGTTTCATCTAGTCTCAGTTCACTTATTTCATACTAAACGCGGCGGTCAAGTTCGGGGGACTAAAGTTCAACGAACAGGTCTATTTATGGGTGCAATCAATCGATTATTCATTTACCCTATGAATGTCGAACCCGTTTTTTCGAGGAGACATATTTTTTCCATCCATGATAAAAGAGTAAACTGAATTTTATGTGCCATAGCTAAACAGCTTCAACAATGCGAGTGAATAAAAAAAGCTTAAGCTAACGGAAAGCAGGACATTCGGTAATTTGGTAAAAAGGATTTGTTTTTTTTTCAGTGGTTAAAAAAACAGCGTGGTAGCTGATCCCCTCAAGGGTTACGATGATTTTCTGACATCTCTTTCATAAAGCTCTGCTTATACAATGAAGTGAGGACACGTTCCGTCAAGTACTCTCGAGCGAAAACGTCCAAAACTCCACAGGCCCAATTTTTCCTGTTTAAGAAATCTCAGACTCGCACAGACTTCAAAGCATTTGTTTTGATATTCGTTTAATATCTTGTTAATTTTTTTTTACAGATAAACCAGCCTTCCCTCGAAATCAAAAGAATAAAAATGCATTTTGAAATCTATAAAATAAATACTTTTGCTGGTTCCCTAAATCTGGTACATAATAAAAAGACGGAACGAACTATAAATTTAAATCGCCTTTTTTTCACCAAAATATTTTTGTTCAAACGATGCTTTTAAAATTTAACACATTTGAACTCTTCTCAAATTAAACCATCTACGTTTCTTTACAACCCTAAACATTTTCTAAAGTTCCGAATATTTGGAGCGTTACAAAATTTGGAGAAATCATATGATAGTGAAATGACTTTAAAAAAATTAATAAAAAAGAACTCTCGCTCGCAATATCCTCCTAGAGCTTAGAAACTCCGAACTGAACAAATTGCATCGGCTATGCGTATTTCTTCTGATCACAGTGTTGAATGAAATAATTCATATTTTCTGAAATCTTAACAAAACGTTTCAGCGATACGATTATTTTTTTTTCGAAATAAACTATTTCGAAAAGATAGATTTCTAAGGCAATGCCAAAGAACTGAAAACTGTTAAAATGCAAATCGGTGGGTCCATCATGCGCCGCACAGTCAATGCCGAGGATTTTTCAGTTAAATAACTTGATTTGATTTCTTTAGAGTTAAAGGGAACTCATGATAGCATGGTGACTTGATCAGTTACGTAATGAGGAAAATGTTAAAACAGCTTCAAAGCGACCAGCTTATTTTAAAATGTGATATGTAAAAAAGGTAGCAGTAAGGTTCTTGAGCGGTTGAAATGAAAATAGAATAAAAAAAAAAATAGCCATCGTTCTTTGATCATGTCCACAATCCTCAAACGTTTTTTTTTAAGCTCGTGATGGCAGTTCATATGTCAGATTCTTGTAATTCAAGTGAGCTACGCAAACTGCCCTCTTCAAAGTTTGTTACTGCTCACAACAGTGTCTCTTCAATCGGTTTTGCCGCTTCGATCTTCTTTTGAGCCTTTTCGATCATTTTTCGTTGTTTAATCGCAGTTATGAAGTAGTGGGGGTATTTCTTGATCAAAGGCCTAATGAAATACACCAGAACTTGTCTTGTGGCTTCTTTTGCTTGTTGCGCACGATTCAGCAGGGAATTCCAAAGAACGTCTAGTTTTACAAGGCCAAAACCATAGGCACACACGGACATTTCGTACTGAAGAAGGGAAGAAATTGAGCTGGCCAGAAGAAAATTGTCGGTGTTTAATCCAAGACCTTTGAACATCGCGTGCACTTCTAAGTAGGTTCCGGTTGAGGGCACGCCAATCTTGTCTTGTAGGTTCTGGAGACTCTCAACTTTCTTGATCACTTCCATTAATTCGTCCCCGTCGGGTTCGATTTTGTCAGAAACTACACTTTGAATCTCTTGGATTTCTGTGGAAACATCTGGGACTTCGATGTTTTCGCCCATGGCGTCTATGACTCCTTCTACTCCAACATCAGGGCTTCCATCGTCTTGACTGACTAGCTGTGGAACAATTTCCTCGGCGTTCAGGTTGTCCACTACTGGTGGGGTTAGAAGGATCTCTATCGGCAGAGGCTCCTGTTTTTCTTTTTCTTCTTGTCGTTGTTTCTTCTTCTTCTTTGATCGTCTGAATGTCAGACTACGTCGGAATCGACTCTTAGACTTTTCCTTTTCGTCCTCCAGAGTTTTCGTTTGTTCATCTTCTGTTAGTTCATCGCCAGAACTTGGAATTGGCAACTCGCTAGCGGTGACGAGCGAGCGATGTCGTCTGTGTACATTCTTCTTTTTCTCTGGTTTAAGAGTTTCTTGTTCAGGAGTTTCTTGTTCAGGAATTTCTAATTTTGAAGTTTCTGGTTGTGGAGTTTCTTCTTTAGGAATTTCTGGTTCAGAAACCTCTTCTTTCGAAGTTTCGTCTCCCTTTTTATCACTTTTCCAATGAAACATTCCAGCAAGGCCTCGCTTAACGGAAAAGCTCTCTGCCATGTTCACTTGAATAGCTACAATGACATAAAAACAGATGAACTTTGGTAGCAAGAATTTATGTATTCGTCCTTATATAGCAGAATGAGTTCAAACGTGTTAATTCCTTTACTGATGCAATGCATTACAAATAAGCGTGCCGCTCACCAGTGGAGCACGTTGATTGGACAAACATACGACAAGTGAAACAATTGCTTCGTTTAGATTCGGCAGTATCGATCAAAGTTCACATAGTTTGTTGTCGTAACGAATTTGTCAATTGAACTTTAATATGAAAATAAATTGAACATTGTTCGCTGAAAGGTAAAATACAGAGTTGTCTCCTTGTTGGTCGTACGTAGTTCCTAAGATTATATTTCTCCCATGGTGTAAAATCCGATTGCATGAGAAATGCACTGAAACCCTTTGTAGGCAAAGAAAAAATCCACATGGAGCCTTAACCTTGTACAAACAGAGCGTCACGTTAGTGGCAGAAATTGTATTGAAGTTAGGTTTTATTGTAAGTTTTTTCTTTCGTTGCAATAAAAAAAGTAACCAAGATTGTGTTACAGTGTTTTAAGCCGCTGTCACCATTTTTTTTTGACAGTATCGGTCAAAAAAGAAAAATTTCAGGTCAAGAGACTGAAGTAAGGATTTAGAATACATTCTTGCAACCAACAGCACCATCAATATATGACGAGACGTAAGGAGAATCTGCATTTTGACGAGAGGGTCCAAAGAACCGAAGTCAAAATAGATTATGTAAATATTCCGTGATAAAGCTCAACCAAAAGTTTCGGTTGGAACATGACCCTTGAAAATGACCCGAGAATGTTTCAGGTGTTGAGGTAAATACTTGTCATAACTCGAACTCAGAAAAAATAAAAACGCAGTCGTCTTCTTTTACCTTGGACTCTTTTTTTTGTCTGAGTTCAACGTATATATGAGGGAATAAATTTTTTAGCTTTCTTGAGAATGCTTGGAGATTAAGTCAGAATATTTACGTAGCGGTTAAACCTTTGAAACGATGGGACGTTCAAGTACGATGGGAAACGCGAGGTAGGCACGCGACAAGCTCGAGTCCGATCATAAATAATGCGTTGACCTTTATAAAATATTCGTTTGGACCATTGCATAATATGCGGCTGTACCTAATCTCGGATGTTTAGATAAATGAATGCTTCATCATTGGTCCACCGCCAACTGTTAATCGTGACCATTCCATTCCTTCGCCGGAAACAGGGTCGAATTCAGCCATGGGGAACGTGCACAGATGGCCTGCAATTTTAATTAGCGTCCTCCCCCTTTCCCGCCTCTCCGAACAGAAACAACATGCACATGATTGGAAACGTGCCGAAGACTCCTTAAATCTTGAGCTATAACTGTGTTTTTTTTCTCCGCCGACCTTGCGATTGATTGTTAATTGTAGCTTTTGTACGCTGTTAGTAGTGCGATTTGGGCGCTATCATTAGTGTATTTAGAGTCTCCCACATAAATCGAGTTTTGATAAAGCGATATATGCTATTATTATCCAACTGCGATATATAAAGCGATGTGTTATTATTATTCAACTGCACAAAGCAGAGTAAGAAAAAAAAACGCTTGAATCGAGTACAAACATCCTGAGATATATTGCATTGTAGAAAAACATGTTTAACCATTCGGCTGCGCGCGATACGCTTTTCCATGTGCTTCGCTTTTTCCCCTTTCTAAGACTTGCACATGAAATAAGCATTTGGATAATAACTTATAAGACGTTTTGGTGTGTAGTATCGCTGAGTATAAATTGCTCATCGCTCATCAAAAAAAGAAAAGAAAAAAAAAGGGACAAGTATTTTCTTGGAACGAACTCGCTTTGCTAACATGAAGTTGTAGAAACTCTTGTTCATTTACGCCATAGGCGCCTTCAAATCGTGTTTGAAACAGAGCGGGAAAGCGTGACAAGACGAGGTTTTTTCGTTGTTCTTCCTATGTATCCGTACGATCCCTATTTCGTTCATTTATTTGCTCATCAATTCGTAGTCTATTCCTTGCCTGCCTACTCGTTCGTTAGGCTTACTCATCAGTCTGCCGATCTTCGAACTCCTTTAGTTGCATTCAATGCGGAGATAAATGATTGCGTGAACTACAAATAAAACGCTCATTGAAGGATACAGGTGTTGTTTATTTTGCTATTGTTTTTTTACATATTTTCTGTCACGCAGGCTTTTGATTACATCCATCTCAGATGACTTCCAGTCATCTTTTGGAATGCAACTCAGGGGAAAGCAAACTCAGTTGTACTGTATTTGTAAAGCTGACCTCTAGATTTTTATAGAAAGTACATTACTATGACAAATTCACATTCCTCAAAATTCCTTCTTTAAAGTCTGACTTTTGTTAAAATGTAAACATATCTTACGCTTTTGGAAAAAAAAAGCAATTTGAACTAAGTTACAAAGTGATTGCGCGTTTTGTAACAACTTTTGTTCGCTCAAAATTCTCAAAATGAACCTATTACGAAAATGCTTAAAAAGGAACAAGCGATCTTTCATTTTCGACTGATCCTACAGTTAATTTCTAAATAAAAATAAATTTAACAATGCTATTATATTTCATTATTTCTCAGTACGAAATACGCTTCGTATCTGAGAGTGTTTGTTCAAAATAGTTTCGTAATACTCCTCTGTAATTGATGGATTTCCCTTCAACCATCCTTTCTTGAAGTTGTTCAGAGAATAAGGCAAAAACTCTCCGGTTCAACTTCTTTGTAAGGTGTGCATTTCCTTCTTAAATAAAGTGTTCGTTTCGCATCTTCCTTCTCAAAATCTCGAAGATTGAGATCAACTATTGTCCATTCTCCGATTGATGAGAAAAATACTGAACTCTCAGCGATCCCACAGACACTATGAACTGGATTTGGAACCGATCCGCGGCAAGCATCGGCGCTTTTAGAACTAGCTGGGTTTTCGTCGCTTGTGTCCTGTGTCTTTCCATAATAGCAGTTCGGTTTGTATTTCTCCATTTTGTGTCTGACGCCGTCCGATTTCGTTCTTTCCCAGAAATGAAGATTAAGATTTACATATTCAAAATCTCCGTTTGGGGTTTTAATCTTTGGATGTTTGTCAGTGTGCAGCTGTGCGATTTCCACCGGAATCAAATCGTGCGTTGTCCGAGTTTTTATTTCAGTAATTAACCCCTCGTCTGAGCCATTAGTTCTCAAAACGGTGGTTTGATCCTCGTGGAAGTTATGATTCCACTCCAACTGACAACTAGGGATTGCTGAACAGTCGCAGTGAGAGTTGTTTAGATCGCCGAATGGCAACTGGTGTTTAGTCATTACTTGCGGAAACCTTCAAGAAAATGAAAACAGATTAAAATGCAGATTCAGTCGCTTGGAATAACAACGTGTAATGTAAGTCAAAAATAGCAGCAAAGAAAATGAAAAATCAATGTGCTACTTTTCATTGCTGATTACATTGTTCGTGGTGATTTCCATTGGAATTACTAACGAAATGTTCCAATCTAATTTGGTTCTCAACTGTTCGTATTTACCGCCTGGTTTGGGTGATGTAGAAGCAGAACTACTCTTTTTATCGAACTGTTGGATTGAAAGCTGTTTGTAATCAGAGAGACAAAAGAGAACAGGACAAAACTAATAAAAAATTTAGTAGCAATTTACTACCAGCCTCTACGAGGCTATTGAGCCCAGGCCTCCGCCTTCTCCTTTCCCACATCCCCTTCCCGCTTCTCGCGAGGATAGGAACGAAAACACCGAAAAACGACGCTAATGTTACAAGCCAGTGAGAGATTTGAGATAACCAATAAAAGAGGAAGGAAAAACCTTTAATGAGAAGGTGCAAACTACCAGTCTTTTTATAACTATTGATAATCCTCCTCCTGTGAATATAAAACCGGTTGCCACTTATTTGCACTTAGACACGTCAAATTGTTTCAACGCCTCCGATCGATTTTTCTCTCAGGGATCTTGCGATTTAAGAGACATCATGAGTTAGAGGATGGTAACCAATTTCAAGCTAATTTTAGCTCATATGACAACTCATGTCGCTTCCCGTTTTACACCCTAACATCAGTATGCAGATTCTCCATACTGTTCTCTACATATTTCCTAAGGTGCTGACAAGGAGAATTTGCCTAACAATCAACAGCTTCTGTAATTGACGATCATTTCCATTATTCTCATGACCTTAATGTTTGAGTCAGCGGTGATATTGTAAGGAGAAATTAGATGTTGGTCACTCTTAGGGGTTAAAGCTCTTACTGGTGCATTCCTATTGCTGACTTCTTTTACACAAATTATATTTTTACATCGGGAGATGACGACATATAGATCGAATAAAACTTTGCGGCGACTTGAATACTATGTACATGAAAATGTATAGTTTTCATGAACGCATTTAGAATTTTTCTTGGCAGGAAAGAATTGAGGAATTACGATTACAGTTACATTACAGTTGGCGGTGGACCAATGATTCAGTGACGGCTGGTGTAAACCGATTTTAGGGGCGAAGAACTTCGGCAATATTTCGTCAAGATCAGATTAAGGACCGCTGGGAAATTATTTCAATTTCAATACAATCTCGAGCAGAAGGCAATGCGAAGATTAAAGAGGTAATATATTTTGACTGAGCGCCAAATTCTCAAGCCTTCAACCATAACAAGGAGATCTTGAGAGGTGTCAAATTGATGATGGTCGCGTGATCGCCCACCTGAATGTCTCCGTTATAAAAATACTTATTCAATGATGTATCAATGTTACAGACAGTTTATATAATAGCAAAATAAAAGTTAACACTACTCTGAAGTAGGGAAGAATATTATCAAACAATCGTTTCCATAACTAAATTTGGAGGACAAATTCCGAGTCGATAAAAGACGATCAGTAATTTAATTTGCAAGGTAAAGGTCTTTCAAGTTCGGTATTGTACACAAAGTAAAACTGAAGAAATTTTTGCTTCAGGGTTAATCCTAGAATAAAAAAACAAAATGCTCTCAATCAAGTATTGCTAAACTGCTGCAAAATGCTATTTTTTTCGAAAGTTTTCACTCTTAAAATTCAAAACACAAGTTGGACTTCCTGTCGCGAAGTTTGAATTGAAGTTTAACACGTGAAAGGTCGCGAAGTTTGGACTGGAAACCATATTAAATATGCGTTCGTTACAACGAAATACTTCTGAGTAAACGACTCTTTTTCGAAGAAGGATACGCAAGATTTTCAAAGATTAATATATGGAAAGAGATAAGCGTACCTGTACGAGACGGCTTGGGCAGATATTTCTGATGTGCAAAGTATACTGCTATTAGTGGCGGCCTGATGCAATGTTGGCGGATTTCTACTTAAGCTACAAACTTTAATTTAGCTCCCGATCTCTGAATCATCTGAAGCAACAGTCTTACATCTTTCACTGCAACACCTTATTGCTAATTTCACTTCCTTGTTTCTTATTCATGAGTGGAGGATAAAAATACGTACTGATTCCCTTTCTCTTCGTTTCTTACTCGTGACTTACTCGTGACTAAATTCATTTGTTTACATTTGGTACGCCTATCACTTCTAAGTCAAATTAAAAGCACAGATATTTTTCAAATTTTTCACTGTACTTACCATTTCTTCCTATGGAATTCCGTTTAGACAACGAAGGTCGACTACGAATTCGTTCAATTACTTAGAGAGTGAATCGATAACCTCGGGTATAAACAGGAACTGAACTTTACCCGAGTGAGTGTCGCGCGCGTAAAATTTTATCACAACCACATACCACAAGTGTAACGTGCGCGTTACTGACAGACCTGATATCACAAGGTTTCTTCGGTTGACAAGAAAGTCAAGGCTAACGTCTTCGGGATAAAAGAAGAAAGAAATACCAAAACGAAAAAGGATAAAAGAGCGCTTTCTATTCATCTCTAACTTCAGTTCAGCTCGTGAAACGTAAATTAACCCAACTTTAAAGTCAATATTGTCAATGGAATGTTAACCGATGATAAGTTTCTCGTAATTTCACGATATTTTAACGGAAGTACCTAAAATACTGACGAATGAACTTGACAACCTACACTTAACTGTGCACGTGGCAGAAAACCCCTAAGATTTGGTATGCTAATTATTTGGAGTGATAACATCCCCCTCAACAAGTTCTCTCTGCTATTCTCCTACTCCCCTCTTGTGCCTTGTCCTTTCCCACCCTCCTCCCCCACCTCCTCCCCTACTCACTCCTCCCCTACCCCCCTCCCATACCCCCTCATGTACCCCTCCTTTTATTCCATTCTGCAAGGATAAGAAAGTGCAAAAATTCCTATATTATAATGGTGGAAAATATTTTAAAAAATGTAATTTTTCCACATTTACCTTGAGGACAAAATAGAAACTCGTGCAGCACAGGGTGTGTGAATATGGTATGTATAGTTATCCTTTTACAACCTGACATCAGTATGCATATTCTCTATACTGTTCTCTATACATTTCCTTGAGTGTTGACAAGGAGAATTTGTTTAACAATCATGAGCCTCTTTTCTCGTTTCTTTTTAGCCTTGTGAGTCAGGGGTGATACTGTAAAGAGAAATTAGATGCTAGTCACTCTTAGGGGTTAGAGGGTTAAGGCACAGAGTGGTGTGAATAATGTAACTTGTATGAACACAACACAGTTTAAAGTTATTTTATTTCATAGGGTAGTGTCAAAAAAAGGTTACAGAATATCAAAGTCTATTACTGGCTTGGTTTCTTGCTACAGACATAATAATTTTACTAAAGTCTTCCCTAAAACCACCATAACTTCCATATCAGGGTTCAGATAACTATCTTAGTAACACTATTTGATCAATTTTGAACAAACTTTTCTTAAATTTATCAGGCCACTGATATTTATTGCCTACTTAAGTCACTGGAGGTGGAAATCAATAACACTTTATGCTGTACATAATAAAACTAAAGTTTTAGTTCCTTCAAAAACTTAGACAAAGCGGATGTTTCTTTTTGGTGGCTAGCCATGTCCCTGGTACAATTAGTAATTAAATAATAATTTTATGTCCCTGGTGCAGATGAAGCTGCAAAGGAGATATGATTAATACTTTCCAACTTAAACATGATTATCAAACCCTTTAACTCCCAGAAATGATAAACACCTTCCTATAGTATCCAAACATTATCCAGTAAACAGTTAGTGAGATTACTCAAACTTATCAAGTACAAGATAGTATCTTGATGGAACACTAAATTCTTGTAACCAATTCACAAGGAAAGGTATAGAAGCAAGAGGAGAGAGTTAATGATCAGATCTTGGGAGTCAAAGGGTTAATTGAGCAGAATTGACATTTCCCTTGTGATAGAAAATTGTACCCTCTTGGAAATTCTACATAAATAGTTCTGGCAGTTGTTTTAGGATGGGTGCATTCGAGTCACAAGCAAAACCAGTAGAGGGAACAATTTTTCAGACAAACTCAAATACTTACAACATATTTAGAATTTTCACTAAAAAACTGATGGTATTTCTTTGAAAGCACAGGGAATCCCAGTAGCTAAAGTGACCAGAGCCACTCCTATCTCTCATCATGATATTGCTCATTATTTGGTTTGAAAATTATAATTAAATTTTATGCACCTCTTATAAACCAATCATTTAGTCACTTGAAGTACCGGTCTCAGTTAATAAAATAAACTAGTAAGTACCCTGAGGAAAACTTATTTAATAGGGCTAACTGCACTATTAGGTTACAAGTAAAATCATGTGTTTTCCATGAAACTAGCTGGCCAATAATTGTGTCATAAGCCTACTGCCTAATTGAAATCCTCAAAGGATTCAATACCTCCCCTTTCGGATATCAAATGTGTTTTAAGCATTAGCGCAACCAATTCTCGAGTACTGTCACATGCTTTGTATCGGAACAACAATGGAACAGTTGTTAACATAAGATCTTTATCTATCCAGTCTTTGCCCTCTTTTACAAAACCTAGAGAGTTTGCTTGACAATCTATCTAAAGAGCAAGTACTTATTTATAATAGTAAATGTACCTATTACAATTTCTCTACTTTCCCTCGCCAATAAAAGATATACAAGGCTTTCTCTGGCCCAATTCCCATGAATGACGCAACTTTAGTATCTACTTTCATTTTCTTGACATTTGAGGTCATTTTGAAATGAAATAAATTAATATATCTCATACCGCTTTTTGACAACTTCTACGTTTTGCAATCTAAACGATGGAAATCAAGGAACCTTCCGTGGATTTACTTGATCAAGAAATAAATTAATGCTTCTTCTAGTTCACATAACACAACAACATACTTGATCTTTTCCATAAACTGAACTCAAAAGAAGCAAGTTCTCGTTCACTTCGTGGGTAGTCTTGTTCATGTCTACATAGATCCATTCTTCGTACGCCTTTTTGGCGTCTGCTGAAAGTTCTGTTGATTTTTCCATCGACGATTCCGAATAATCGGCAACATCCTGATCTGTGATAAAGACTGGCTCGTCTCTTCCAAATCCAAATTCCAGTTCCTCATCGTTACTATCAGCTTTTAATGGAGTTGTTTCTTCTGTAACTTGTTTTATTTCGATATCGATATGATCCTCATCTGGATTATCATCAACTTTAAGATCAACGTTTTCGATAGTTTGCGTTTCTGATCCACTTGCTGCCATATATATACTTTATCTCAGATCAGTACAACACACCAATGTTCGAGCGTAATCGCGTCACGACTTGTTCCTCGCCTTTCTGTACGGCACTTTTACTATCTGTGCGTTCTTAATGCTTAAAAAACTTCAGGGAAAGTTTTTTCTTGATTCAAAATACTGCCCACTACAGCTCTCTAAAACTTCTCAAAGAAGAGATTGATCTCAAATCTTCCTCCTCGAAGCTATTTGCGTTCGCTATGTCGAAGCATGAGTTGCCTTTAGTCTCGTTTTGACGCTTACACATCACGTGAGTTAGGTCACGGATGTGATCACGCAGATGTCACGCAAAAACCTTCCGATCACGCATTTACAGAACGTAAATTTGCTCTGAAATCGTAGCTTTGGTTACATTTGATTTCCCGAAGAACCAACCATCAAAGTCTCTTTTTGGGGGACTTCGTGTCTAACCGAAAGATCCGAGTTAGCACTAAAACTTCGAATCTCAAATACCAGACATACCAAGGTTTATGTCATCATAACAATAAATTAATTTTTTTCAGGGATGAAGTCAGCTCAACTCTCACAACAAAACCCTGGATTAAGAACTAGACGACAGGTGACAGGACGGTGCAATATTCATTATAAGATTTTGATGGTTTTCATTGCTTTTGCTCGGTTCAAGTAGCGTTGCGTGACGTGTCTAAAACCGTCTGCAAAGGAGATTTAACCCATTCAGAAACTAAACCTAATCTCTTGCCCAGTTCTCTCACATTAACGTAGAAGGTGGCATTGTCCGGGAACACCCAACCAACAAAACCTTGAATTCTTCAAACGCCAGCCGAATTTTTGAAAGTTGTTCACAAGTTCAGAAAGTGACACAAAGTACGATTAAATAGTTTTTAATAGCAAATTTTAATTACAAATTCACTCAAATCCAGTTTCTTTCAAACACCGACACGAAGGTATACAACTAAATTTTCTTTTAAAAGAGATGACACTTGAAATGCATGGCGGTTACTCATTTTAATACTAATTGAACGATGAAATCGAAAATAAACCCAGAATTCCTAGCTATTGTTTCAACTACATAATGGAACACTTTCCACCTCGTCCACATCCCATGCATTTTACAGTTTTTTCGTCAAGTTCGTCAACACTCCGTGTAATTTCTCGCCTTTCATTCTTCAAGCTTTTCTCCGACAGCAAATCAACGTCTTCAAACTCTGCCTCCTCCAAGCTAACGGCTTCTTCAACCGGTGATTCTTTCTGTTTTAATGTGTACGTTTCTTCCACGATTTTATTTTCAAACACGAGCGCGGAAAGTTCGGGTTTGAACGAAGATTTCACGACATCATCATGAACACTATCTCGTGATTCGACACTCTCATTCGATTTCCGAGAGGCGTAAAAATCTTTCCCGAGCGACGATTCAATCAGGAACTTCGGCTTGTCGTTCTTTGATTTCGATTTTGTCGTTTTTGAGGCCTCAACTTTAGGTTTCTTCTCGCTTTCAAACGGAGCTTTTCCGAATTTGTCTTTGTTGATGTCCTTTTTGGGTGGCTCTTTGATGTTCTCTGTTTCGTTCGGTTTTTCAGGTTCTTTTTCAACTTCCTTCTCAGGTTCTGAAACAAACCCAGGTTCTTCTGAATCAGGACTTACAATTTTTCGTTGTCGACTGCGCGAGCGCCTGGCATGCTGAGCGTACTCACCCAATGTGTCAATCGCGGGTCCTTCGTTCTTTGTTGCCTCTTTCTCAGTCTTTTCGTCAACTTGTCTTTCAACAACCTTTTCAGTTGGCATTAAAAGTTTCAAATCTGGTGTCTTTTTCTTGTTCTCCAATATGGCAGTTTCCTTTTCCTTGTTTTTAGTTGCTTCCTCTGTGACATCTGCGCCATTTTGGACAACATCTTTTCCAGCCATTAAATCTTTGATACCAAGTTTGGCTTTCCCATCGTCTACATCTTCTTTTGTTGACGGTTTTTCCACAATTTTCGTCTCATTTGGTGACTCATTTTCGTTGCTGGCGGGTTTAAGAACAATGTCATCAATATTGACCTTCTCTTTAAAGTTTTTGTTGTCATCCTTCACGGAGAAAACGTAACTATCATCCAGTTCTAGTTGGTTTTCTGTGTTGATGTCGGGAGCATAACTTTTCAACACTTCACTGATTAAATCCTCTGCTTCTTTTGAATCCATCATCTGCAGCTCCGAGTCATGCGAGTTCTCTTCAAGTTCCTCGATTTCTTTTTCTTGTCTCAAGAATTCCTCGTCCTCCTCCAAATCTGCGGCCGGTACAACCACTTCAATGGGCTCATCGCGAAATATTTGTTCCATTTTCCTCGCCTCGGAGAAAATGTACTTATCCAGTGGCGATTCTGAAGAGAAGTTTTCTCGTATTGGAGTACTGGGAGGGGTAGCAGGCTCTTTGTCGAAAGAAGGCTGCCTACCACCAAAAGTTGGTATTCCTGTTCTGGGCTTAGAGGCAGCCTGCTCGTGTCCATTGGGTAAGTTCCCCACGGACTTTTGCGTGGCTGCATGCTTCGGGAACGAAGGAATTTTGCTCTCCACGGGCGAGGACGCCGCTGTAGGATTACCTGTAGGCACGGTTTCTTTCTCTGCGCTTGAGGTTTTACGCGTTAATTTGTCGCCAGCATGACCTGGAATCTTGCTGGATGGTGTCGATTCGCCAGGCTTCGGAATCCCGCTTGTCTTCGATGCGATTGGAAGGGAACTTGATGGAGACTTAGCGGCGATTTTAGGTTCTGGAATCTTGGACCCTCCTGCTGTAGGAACCTTTGACTCGGGGGTCGTATCGGACGGTGTGGAAGGGGTTGTTGGAGTGCATGACGAGTTCCCGGGAGGTCCATCCGGTTCTGTAGCTTTGGATCCTACCACAGTGGAAAGTTTTGATTGGGGTATTTTAGTTCCAGGGGATGCTGACGGTGATTTAGTAAAGGATGGAATGCGGCTGACACCCATAGGAATGCCGCTCCCCTGAGGGGAGGAAGATGCATTGGGTATCTTACTTTGGGTACCAGTAACAGGAGAATGTGCCTCTCCTCCATTCTGCGCCACCTGCCCTTCATTCTGGCTGTCTTTGCGAGTCACGGAGGGTATTCTAGACTTGGGAATACCAGACTTGGAGAAAGACGGAATTTTACTGACTTGCTTAGCAGGTTCATGACCATTTGGTACACTTGTAGGATCTTTATTTTCTTTAGCAGAATCAGGTCTGTTGTGTGAGGATGTTGCTGATGAAGATATTTTACCTCCTGTCTTGTCTTTCTGCAAAGCACCCTCCTTACGTCCTGTTGTGGGTATTTGGGATTTATTTGAGGACGGAATTTTGCTCTTCGGAGGAGTACGTTCCTCAGCGCCATTTTTCTTTGTGATTGAAGGTATGCGGGAAACGTGCGAGTCTGTTTTTTCAGCGCTTCCTGGCGACCGAACGAGCGATGGAATCTTCGACATCTCACTGCTGCTTCCCGAGCGGGAGCGACTACTCTCTATTGAACTCTTAGAAGGAGAGTTACTCAACGAACTTGAAGTTAAACTTCGATTACTAGATGTTCTGTTTATATTGCTTCCTGTATCCTCGTAGGTTACAATCGGCGAATTAGTTCTTAATTTACCTCGCGGCCGGACAATGTCACTTTTTTCTCTCCTTTCACTCGGCGATGCACGATTTTTAGTGATGTCACTACGTTCACGTTGAAGTCCGGCTGGCGATTGTGAACGCGGGCTCGGTATAGTACCGTTTTCCCGTTTTAGATTAGAGGATGAATTTGATCGCGCGCTACTCGGGGTAGAGTTGTTATTATTAGCTGGTGATTGCGTTCGACGTGGTCTAACAATGTCACTTTTCTCGCGGCGGAGGCTTCCGTTTCTAAAAGAGTCTTGAGACGTCTGAGGAGACCTGGAGGCTGGTCCTGGTTTTTTAGGTGTAGAAAAACTGGCGCTGCGTCTCGGTCGCGCACAACTCTTATCCTGAGCGTTATCCTGTTTAAAACCGCCCTGATTTGACTTAGCGACTGGTTTTACAATGCGTGTTTTATTTGACGCTTGGCAACCGTTGTTGACTGATATAAATAGCGGATAGCGACTTGAAAAATCGTTCGAATCGTGGGAATGCTCTGGCAATGAGCACACACTATCAGCTGTAGTATTAATACAATCACTGCCTGATCCGCTGCTTAATTTGGATTCTGATGCAGTTGTTCCGTTACAGTTCACTCCGTTAAGACGATTATCACTTTCGCTCTCGCTGCGTTTTCTCTGAGCTTGACAGAAGTCCCCTGACCTACGCCTAAGATAAGGTCTTTTTCTGAGCGCTACATCACTATTGCTCCTTCGGACTTTCTTTGGTTCAGGAACTCTTTTGGGCGGGGCTGGTCTAAACTGAATCTGGGGTACAGGTGATATTCCAAAGCTGGGGCTGGCACCAAAGATGGCGGACGCGTTCCGTGCTCTGCTCGATGGTTCGGGGAGACTGAGAAAAAAAACAAAGGCAATTAATTTTGTTGGCTGGCAAGAAACAGTCATGGTTGTTTGCAAGTCGCTCACTTAAAGGATTAGTTAAACCTCTTTCATTAAATTCTTTTGTTGTTTTTTCCCCTTATTTCATCCCAAGCAGTTATGAGTTCATACATTTTTGATCCTTTGTCATCACAGATCTTTTCTGGCACTAATAAAAGGCTGGGATAAATCTCGAACCAAACAAACATTTTCACCCCCGAACCTAAACATAGCACGCAAGTAGATTAAAAAATGTCACTAAATTACCAACGCCACTGAGATGAATATCTCCGATATTGAGGTGAAAAACTCAGATTATGTGCATCATTAAATCGTTCAATCATAAGGAGACGTTAAATATATTCTCTAGAATATAACCAGACAAAATTACAAAGCCTTTCTGTTGATTTTCCAAAGGACTAGAACAAATTGCACGCTAAAGAGTTTATTTGTTTTGTGCATCGGTGGTTTTCCGGTTAAAAACAATTTTTGTAAAGTTCTGCCATGTG